GATTTAACTGTAAGTGTTATTCGGTTAGCAGAGTAAAAGAAAAATTCAATCTTCCTATCCAAGGGATAAAACCATGTAAGAAGATCTTTCGAATTTTCTTCTTTCGAAAAAGCATCGAAGAAAGATTGAAAAAAAAAAAAAAAAAAAAATCGAAGAATATAAATATTTAGCCCTGCGTATTTTGCAACACTTGCAAGAGATTCTACACAAAATTCTCTAAAAGATTAAAATTTTAAACTAATCTTAAAACTATGTATACATAAGTTCGAAAGTACCGAAATCCCGATATTCTGTAAATCAAAAATGCCAGAGTTCTGAATTTTCAAGAAATACTGTAGCTTCTGAAAACTATTTCTTTTTTTTTTTTTTTAATTCAAAATTGCTCAAATTCCAAAATTTAAAAAAATCTAATCGCGATTCTGAATTTTCCAAAGATGAAGTAGTTTCTGAGAAACATTTCTTTTTTATTTTTAATACGAGAGTGCCAAAGTTCCGAACTTAAAATAATTCTAATCGCTATTTTCAATTTTCAAAATATGCTATGTAATTTCTGTGAAAACCATTTCTTTTTCACAATTAAAAAAAAAAACCCTAATCGCTAAAGTCTTGAATTTACCCGTGTTTACGTTATATCATACTCCACTGCTTTAAGTGTTTTTATCATACTTTGCAAAAGTTTGAAGAGATCCTAAAATACCCAAAACTCTTTCAGGGAACTTTTCCGAAACTCTCCTTCTCTCTCCTTTTCCAAAGAATCCGTGGAATTCCGTGGACTTTCGGGGGATTCCGCCATTTCTGAAAAAGCCACCCGACACTTTTTGTCAATGCTCGACAAAACTGTCAACTATCTAGCGACCCTGAACGCGAAATCTTCAAAAAGGATGCGCGAGGATCCGAAGAAACCTAACGTCCCCAGGAACTGCGAATGGCCCACTTCGTTGAACATTATTGACTATCGTTTTTTTTTTTTTTACAATTAACATAGAATCGAAAATCAATAATTAATCCGATGATTCAATCCCTATTATATAAAGTATGCGCGAATCTAAGATTGGGACCTTTCTGCGAAAGGAGTTTCTGCATCTCTGCGTTATATTTTCGTGCACATTAATATGCGCGATGAGATAACGGCTAATTATTTAATTACAAAAAAAAAAAAAAAAAAAGTTGCGAGAGTGAATATAATCGCCACGCGGCAACAACCAACATCATCAATCATGGTTTAGTTATTATTAATTAATGGCGTCCCTGCGCGAGTTCCCTACATTCCTGCATTATTTTTATCTGTATTAATTCTCTGGCCTTTAGAATAGAAGTTAAAAAAACAGTAACTTTCAGTTTATACCGCGATTTATGATTGCTCAAAAGAAAAAAAAAAGTATTTGTATGTATAAAATTGAAAGATTCGATAAATAGAGCAAAATCTATGAGAAAGATAACGTTTTTCGACTTATAACTGCTCTTTTTCTCCCACCGATTGAGAGATCAGAGAAAAAAAATATAATTATCTCTTTTTGTTTCTTTCTCTTTTATATATCGCACCGTTTTCTTCCTATCATTTTTTCTCGATAATTACATGATATACGGTGGTATGTGCAGAGTAATCTGGAGGCTCGCAAAATTGCTACACACACGCTGCTAATAAAATGTATCACATGCCCTATATAATAGTATATCAGCGTGCGCCAATTAATATTAGTTCGGCAATTAATCGGGCATGTTGATGAAAAAAATGTCCTCCGGTACCGCAAAGGGCTGCTTCAGAATACAACAATATGTTATATCCTTAGTTCATTAAATACGCAAGACGAATCCGTCATCCTTCGACCAATGTCTTCAAGTCCAAGTAACTTCAAATCCAAACAAAAGACGGATTCCAATTTGTCCAAGATCCGGAGAAAAAATCTACCAAATCTCGTTAAGAATTTCTTCTCACATCACAAAATTGTCCCAACTAGAGTTGAAGAGAGAATAAGCAGTTCAAGGAGGTTCGAGGACTCCTTGAAATTTTTGAAGGAATGTCAAAGAGCCTAGAAGAGAAACGCGAGCTGTGCTGGTCGAAGGACGACGGGATACAGATATACATATATTGGCGAAAAAGTAAGAGTACAATCGTTCGCTGTTTTCACCGGAGTGAGAAAAATGACGGCGCAGATAATATAAATTTCGACAATATAAATTTCCACCGTTTGACGCAATCAACTAAAATAACAGGTACAACTGAACATTGTAGTTTCGATGGCGGGCCAGTCCGCACGTTATGAAACGGCGCGCAGGTTAGGACCACTCAGTGGCCAATTGCATAAACATCAAACAACAATGTATCGTATAATCATTCGTTGGTTCAACAACAAATTCCACTTTCGATATATATATAAAAATAAGGTATCAAACTTTTTTTTGCATCGAGGTACACAGCCATCGTGACTACGTGCTTAATTTACGTTTGTGTTGTCCCCTTAGAAACCCAGCAAGTCTCAGCAAGTCTCTCCAAGGATCGAGCCTTAAGATCCTTAGATCCCAGACTTCAAGGATCATCGAGGAGCAAGTTGCGATACTTTGATACGCGTTTTGAACAAGATGTAGATCCGAAGATCAGAGTCCAAGAGAGAACAAGCTTAAAGGAATAATATATATGTATATTCAAGGGTCTATAAAAAAATATTGAGTCATATAGGAATAAGGGATATTTCTAAATATATACGAATCGAAACACAGCAGCAGCCAAAATTTATATCCCTGATTATTTTTCAGGCTTCCGGCTCCTCGTCGGCCATATTGGAACTGTATGGCGTCAGATTCTTAGATCTGTCATTTCGAAATAAAAAGATATTTTAATAAAACAGCAGTTCAGGTGGTTTTAGTACACTCTTCAAAATATCTCCAAAATTATCCTTTTCCTTTAAAAGTGTTTGATTGTCAAGGGAAAAGAAGAGGTTTTAAGGTATTTAAGAGTGCTAAAGTCACATCTGAAATAGTGTTTCGTCGAAATATTTTTTAATTGAAAAATAATATCCAAGAATTTTCAACGTTCTCGCCTCTGACGTCACAATCTGACATAGCAGCAAGAATCCAGGAGCCTTAAAAGATCTCGGATATAAATGTAAGTTATATTTCTGAGACTCATAGTGTGTCAAAGATTCAAGGGCTCGAAAGTTCTATATAAGTACGAGTTGCAGATATTTCGAAATCCGCAAAATTTCGAGGATCCAAAGACCTCGGGGCTCGGTTGAATTTTTTGTATAAGATCATCGGAGCACGGGACACTTATTTAATAACGCTACGATTAGTTTCGAAGTGCCCAGAAATCAGTTTAGTTCCATTAGCGCGGCTCTGTTCCAGATATTCATTAGACATCTTCTAAACAGCTGTTCTCTATTCTATATAGCTATCTCTCTCTTACTCTCTCTTGTTCATGTTTAGTTTATCTTCAATCTTTCGCTCGCGGAACAAAGACAACTTGTTCGTTATATGTGTGCTGGAACACCTGAAAAACGGCTTAATTTTTATGCAAAAGGCCTTACAAATTTTCTTCCCATATAGAGCGCGCTTTTTTTAATTATTATTCGCTTTTATTATTCTCCTTTATTTTTTTTCTCGGTGTGTATGTGTGTAATCTCACGCGAACTATATAAATAAATTATAAATTATTACACCTGATATATAGTCTTAACCCACCCCCTTCTATATGTTTCGTGCATTTCGGAAAAAGCATTTATAATATAGTTACAATGTACTCGCACAAGAGGATTACTATTTATTCTCAATTATATGTACCTGTAGAGAGGGATTCGTGGACCATCATCAACGTGACGGTCAACATCTAGAATCGATATTATAGTGTGTGTACTTATATGCTAAATACTACATCAAAAATTCGAAAACCGGAATGTGCCACGATGAATTATAGCGTCGCCAACATCAAGTTCTCATCATTCTTTTTTGCAACTTAACAATTCAAGTCCACATACATATACATATAGTTTCAATTTTCAACTAAATTTAATGCGAAAAAAAACGAAAATAAATAAATCATGAAGAAAAACGCTCTCGGGCCGAATCGGTTCTCCTGACGGAAATAAAATATCATATATTATAATTATATAATTATATTACAAAGTTAGGATAGTTTAGATATTTTATATATGCCTCATTTCTTTACATTCTGCGTGCAGAAACCATTAAACCCTTAAATTTAATATTTGAATACTGACTATAGAAAAAAAAGTAATTGTATTTTCGAATTGTATTTTTCTGAATAAATTTCTCGGAATAAATGAATCTATATACATATATTGTACATATAATTTACATAATTTTATATAAATAATAAAATCTTATAATATATTATAGCTCTGCTGGTCTCTTTTATACTATACTATTATATACTATATTGATCGGTTCGATAATTTTAAATAATATATGTAATTTAATTTTTTTTTCCATTTTATAGATTTTTATAATTAATTAATGATAGAATTAATGATATTGCCTGTCTTACGCTTTAAATTTATAATTAATGATAGATTTTTATTTATTTTACTTAAACATAAAATTTTAAATAAATATAATATACTTTTCGTCTTTAATTGTCTAAATTTTATAATTCTCTTAATTACATAAAAACTCCCAATTAAATAACGTATATATGTGATATGTATCCTTTGGACTCAAATTGTTAAACATCTATTCTTTTTTTAATTTGAAACAACTGTGTTCGAGTTTTCAATTTCGATTAAATATCTCGAAATTAATACTGTTGAACCGTTGAACGGGCACAATTCCAGAAAAAATTAATGAAAAGAGCAAATAAAAATAAGTATTACATTAAAAATACAAAGCAGACTGCCGATTTTCAAAAATTTTAGCATCAAAAACATGAAATAAAATCAAAATTCGAAAATCGCGTGACTTTAAAAAAAAAAAAAAAAAAAAAAAAAAAAAAAAAAAAAAAACCACAAACAAACAAACAAACAAACAAATCTTCATAATATTATCTCTTTAGAGAGAACTTGAGAAAGTAATATTAATAATTAATTTATTCCTCGCAAACAAACAATTCTTCTTTACAAGATATTAAAAAGATATTCACGAATCAATTAAGTCCCACGAGAAACTCCAATTTAAAATTTCAGTTGAATTTCTCCCAAGAAAATATAATACATACACTGTAAAAAATATATAATATATTGCATAAACATATGTAAAATTCCATAAATAGATGTAAAATTACACGATAAATAATGAAATTTTACACTCATTATTGATGTAACTTTACATTTTTTACGTTTACGCAATATATTATATATTTGTTTACAGTGTACTCGAAAATTTAGTCAGCCTTTTTTTCCTCGGACGATAAATCGGCAGTCTACTGCAGCTAAATTGAAATCCGCTATCATATGCAGAGAGGCGCCCGATAAGCGGGCCGCCGCCTGCTTGCTTGCTTACCTACTTCACTTCATTTAGCCCGTACTCCGACGGTCTTGCACCGCGGGAAGCGTCACTGCTGCACCGGGGTAGGCGGATAGGGGTAACCGTAGGTCGGCACCGCCTGGAACTGGCTGTAATGGCCCATCGATTGATAGGCGCAAGCGCCGGCGTTGGGCGGCGGCCGGTTGGTCTGGAAGAACTTGTTGTTGACGAGGTTCTGTATCCCGGAATCCGCGGGGCCGCCGGACGGCATCATGAACGGCGGCGGCATCGAGTAGACGTTCGGCCCGTTCTGACCACCGTTGAAGCCATTCTGCCGGTTCTGGAAACGATTACCTCCCTGATAACCGCTGGTCCGTCCACCCTGGTACCTGGGCGCGCTCGGGGCAGTCTGATGCGTCGGTTGACACGCGTTGTTGGCCGTCTGGTAGCTGTTCTGATAGCCACCGGTGGATTGTCGCTGCTGCTGATGCGGTTGCTGGTGCTGCTGCTGATAGGAGTGCTGCGGCTGATAGCTGTTCTGCCGATTGGGTTGATAGCCGCCCGGGTTACGCTGGTGACGCGCCACCATCTTCTCCTGCGCCACCTGGTTGTGATTGTTGTGTCCGTGCTGACTCGTCTGATGGGGCATGTGCTGGCTCTGCCAGTTGTTTATCGTCGGACTAATATTGTTTCTGGGACTGCCGTGAGACAGCACGCTGTCCTGCTTGCCACGTCCGTGGCTCCATCGCTGTCGTCCTTTCCCGTATTGGTTTCTCATTGAGTTTGCCATGTCCGCCAGTTGCGGATTTATAGCTTGGCCGGCCTCTTCCAGCACCGCGATCAACTCCTTCGCCTGTCTCGCGTTATTCGGCGTGAAATAAGCGTAGGAAGTGCCGGCCATGTGGCAGCGACCAGTTCTGCCGATCCTGTGGATGTAGTCCTCGGAGCTATTGGGATAATCGAAGTTGATGACGTACTTAACGTCCTCGACGTCCAAGCCGCGCGCCGCCACGTCGGTCGCGACGAGAATCATGGTCTTTCCGTTACGAAACTCCGACAACACGTAATCCCGTTCCGGTTGCGACTTGTCGCCGTGGATCGAGATCGCTGACCAGCCGTCGCGCTTTATCGTCTTCGTGATATCGTCCACCTTCTTCTTCGTCTCCACAAAAATGATCATCTTGCTGCCACGCTCGGTCGCGATTTCGCGCAACAGTTGCGCCAATTTCATTTCCTTTTCGTGTTCCTGGCAGATCTCGATGATCTGCCGGATATTGTGATTCGCTGCCAAAGTCAGAGAGCCGATGTTGATCTGGATGTAATCGGTGAGAAAGTCTTCGGCGAGTGCCTGAACCTCCTTGGGCCAAGTGGCGGACCACATGAGCACCTGTCGATCAGGCCGGATTTGCTCGATGATTTTTCGGATCTGCGGCTCGAAACCCATGTCCAACATTCGGTCGGCCTCGTCCAACACTAGATAAGTGCATCTACGTAGGTTCGTGGTGCCCTTCTCCAGGAAATCGATTAATCTCCCGGGTGTCGCGATGCAAATCTCCACCCCGCGTTCAAGATCGCGAGCCTGAGGTCCCTTTGGCGAACCGCCGAAGATGCAGGTATTGCGAATGCATGATGACGAGCCAAAGTCGCGTGCAACTGTTTGAATTTGTTGGGCCAACTCGCGCGTGGGGGCGAGAATCAAAACAATCGGACCGTCCCCGCGACTAAGACGAGGCTGATGATTAATGTGCACCGTGGCTGGAAGGATATACTAAAAGAAATAGAAAGAACATGTAGCTTCTTATATATAATTGCTTATGTTATATTAAAAACAAAACACGTACACGAGATTTGCAAGAGGTTTGTCTATCACACAAAATGTTTTCGAAATTTTGAGCATTACATTTCTTACAAATCTCGTATCTCAAATCCTCAATCTCATACTTACTTAATTTATATAAAATATTTTTCATTATATAAAATAACAGCAAAGAATATATAATCCCTCGTCTTTTTATAATTTTCATTTTCTAATTTTCACGTTTTAATAATAAAAAAATTTTTATTATAAAAATATAATTAAAAATTTCTTTCTTTAATTAATACTATGGCGTGTTAATGTAATTCAACATACTCAAAGGAGAAAGAATCTTTCATCCAAAGCAATTGCATAAAGACTTAAATAAAAATTCAACAAAAATTCATTTAATAAATGTAAACTAAAAAATAACTTGTGTTAATATTAGTATGATGATTATAATTAGGCTGCGGTCCGAAATGCGCTCACAGTGCTAAAAGCATCATTCTATCTTCGTTTGACATTCGTTACGAAGCAAAGACAGATGCTCCTTACAGCGCAGTAAGAGCATTTCACTCCGCAGCCTTAACAGATGAAGGATCATAATTGTGGTGCTCACAGCCAAAGTTTTTCCAGACCCAGTTTGCGCAATTCCAACAAGATCTCGTCCACTAAGTGCAATTGGCCACCCCTGTGCTTGAATTGCAGTGGGTTCAGCAAATCCTTGCTTTTTGATTTCCTCCATTACATAATCTGGAAAATTGCTTTCCTCAAAGGCCTGGATTGGAGAGGGTGTATTGTTGCCTTTGACAGTAATCTCCTTGCTTGCATGATATTTGCTGATTTCGTCATGTGTTCTGTTTAGAACATTTATGTGGGGAACATATAAACTCTTTGTTATCGCAGGCATTTTTGTCAGATCCCAATTAGGTTTTTTTAATAAATCGCCTGGGGTCTTCCTGTTCTGTTTCTTTGTTCCGTATTCCTTTTGGGTTTGTTGCTGACTGTTCCAATAAGTTCCACCACTTCCTCCAGTACGATTAACATGGTCTCTAGTTCCTCTGGGCCTATAACTAATTGAAAACCTTATTTTTGTGCATGTCTGAACTAGAAACTCTCGAATTAGAGTCTAGAGCTGTATTTTGTAACTTGTAATGACGAGTTCTTTTTATTTAACAGTAAAATGTCAGAAGTCAGAAGATTAGATAAAAGCACTAGCGGATCCTAATATCTGTTATGGGGGATTTTTGCAAAATTATTTCATTAGTATTTTTTGTTTCATGCTTAACTTTTACTCAAGGATCAACGATAAATTTTTTCAATTTACAGGGGGAGTTTGACCCCAAACCCCACCTTCCCCCTCCCCAGGATTCGCTAGTGAATAAAAGAGAGGGAGAATATCGAATTCTTTCCCCGTCTCTTTTGCAAAATTTTAACAAAATTCGCAGATCCCGAATTTGAACAAAGAAAGAGCCACAAAGGACATTTCTGACTAATTCGTGATTCAAAATGTCAAACGCTTTTTTATCAAATTAGTATAAGCAAAATTACATTCCTTTTTCTTTTTTTTTAATTTTAGTTAAAAAAAGATACAAAAAAAAATAAATAAATATGTACTTACAAAATTTTGCAACAATGTACATTTTTTCACCGCGCGACCGAAACCTATCGACATTTTATTAGAACACAGGGAAATCCGTCGGGCTCTAAGAAATACTTTAAAATCCGTCGGATTTTGCAATTTCACAAATGGCTTGTCGCGTGAGATGGCGGCCATTATTGGAACCTCACTCCTCACAACAGCCATCAGCCATTGCGAGAAAACAAATTTCAATCTTCCATGATAAACCTAATCCCGGACTGGCGAAGGACACGTACCTGCCATGCGTTTGCGGATATCCGTTGTATTGCATGCTTTATTTGACTCTACAATGTTTCGGTGAACGGTTTGACTCGTTCTATCTTTCTCTCTCTCTCTCTATCCGGAAGTCCTCGAGAAGAGTTGCTGGTCAGCGACACGACTTAGCACTTGGTGAAATTGGCTCTTAGCGTGCGGCGAACGAGATTATGGACGTGGAATGGTGATCTGTTCCACGCTTCGTGACGTGCTGTCGCTCTCGGCTACAGCAAATTAAATCCACGGACTCAACCCACAGGAGCCGGCGAACGGAGCTGCTTCACAATCTTGACAGGCTCCGGACGGGACGGATGGAGGCAGGAGGAGTAGGTACATCGAGTGGCGACCGTGGCGTCATCTCTCGTCTCGTCAGCTAATTTTTCGCGCGAAGTGCACATTTCGAATATACATATCGAATTAATTGTTCGTGACATTTATAAATGTACCGTTTTGTCGAAAATAAATTTATATTATTTAATATTAATCATCCTCGAAACGATTCTTTTTCTATCTTAAGACTCTTATCGCTGGTAGAACGTGACACTTGCGTTCGCGGAAAATCGCCGGGCGCGATGCGCATGCGCGGAACCACACTGTCACTTTTATCGCTTCCGCTGTCATTGCTGCCCGCGTGCGGCTAGTCTGGTGCGGCATCGACCCGAGACTCGGCGCGTGCGCGCCTCGAGTCAGCCGCGCGCGCGCGCGTGTCGATCTACTATTGACGGAACCTGGAACCAACGATGGAACACGCTTTTTAGATCGTGGAATTTTTCACAAATATATATATTGATATATCAATGTATATCGATATATATTAATTATACATTGATTTATATCAATATATATTAATTATATATCGATATATATATATATATCGATTATATATTAATTTATATCGATATATATCGATCTATACCAATTATATATCGATTTATATTGATATATATCGCTTTAAATCGATATATATATCAATTTATATCAATATATATCAATTTACATCAATATATCTCAATTTATATTAATATATATATAAATATATAGATATATATCGATATATATCAATTATAAATCGATTTATAGCAATTATATATCGATCTATACCAATTATATATCGATTTATATCAATATATATCGCTTTAAATCAATATATATATCAATTTATATCAATATATATCAATTTACATCAATATATCTCAATTTATATTGATATATATATATATAGATATATAGATATATATCGATATATATATTGATATATTACTAAGTAAGAATGTTTTTAGAACTTTTCTCTCTATTTATTAATTATTTTGAGAAAGACAAATATCCAATGTCGCTGCAAATTGTATTCGAAAATGTCTTTATTTCGATTGGTCCATCGAATACTGAACGTCGAATAGAAAACGGTAACACTCGATGCTGATTCGCCGGCTGCGAGAGCATCGACCAATCACGTTCGACTTGTCCTAGGAATTTTCTCCGCCGATTTATCTCGTCGGTTTTTTTCCACCTACCTAGAATTCTTTTGGCCATCCTGACGATCCACGGATTCTCGCGTTGCTCGCTCACGTTGTTGCTTTGCGTTTTTGCGGCAAAAACGTTTCTACGGAGAAGTCGGGTGAAAAACGCGGCAAGTTGACTACGAAAGACGCAAATGTCGAGAAGAATTCGGACGACCTAACGCCCGGAATCTGAGATAAGGTCTCGCGATAAAGATAAGCCATCGATTCGACCTCGAGGGAATTAATTGCGACCGACATCCGGAGCGACCATGGAGACGGTGGTCGAGGACGGCGAGCAGCCGAACGTTCTGCAGGAGATCGCGAGCGACGAGGAGCTGGCCCAGATCCCGCGGGAACTCGCCAGGAGGATCCACGCGCACGTCAACGCCAAGGTCGACGAGTTCATCACCGCCAAGGCGGTCTTCGAGACCAACCGACAGAGCTTAGGTACGAGATGACGCCGGCCGTGGAATTTATACTCGCGAATTCATTAATATTTACATGACCTGTTTTATTTACCTTATCTTTCAGAGCTATTTGTTGTTCGTTCAATATTTTATTTTTATTGTCAATTTTTTAATATGTATTTTAATATTAATATTAAATGTGCGAGGCGCAATAAAATGTAACTGGATACAATTTTTTTTAATTTGTTGTACAGAAGAAAATTTGGAGAAGGCAGAGAAGGAGCTCTCGGAGCACAAGTTGAATCTTGATGAGTGTAGAGGAAAGTTAGAGTTAACTGAACAGACCAATGCAGAGTTATCGAACAATCTTGAGGAAGTGAAGACTGACGTACATAGATTACAAGAGTCTGTGAAACGGTAATAATATATGTATATATAATTATATTATAAATTAGAATATTATATTATATTAGTATATTAAAACAAATATTGAAATTATATTTACATACTTGCTCTCTCTCTCTCTCTCTCTCTTAATATAATCTCATTAATATTCAATAATCTTTTGTAATATTTTTCCTATTTATAATTTGAATTACAGATTGGAGAAGGAAAATGGTGAACTGCGGAGACAGAGAGATGCAATTACGGATGAGACAAATGCTTTACAGCTGCAAGTTGAGAGGCGGGACGGTGAGGCTGAGAGGATGCGTCTTGACTTGGCTTCTTTGACCTCTCAGCTTCAAACTGCTATTACATCCAAGTGCCAAACTTTGACTGAGACTGAAGAAATTCGTAGTCGCGAAATGACTTTAGAGTTTAAGTAAGTTAATTATCTTTTATATATATATATATATATATATATAGAAATTCTGTAAAATGTATTATTAATTTGATTTGCTATGTAAACAGGGAGAAACGACTGGAGCAAGAACGGGTGCTTCTCGCTCATCAAATGGCAAGTCTTGAAGAAGAACTGTCTAAAAGAACTTCTGAATTACAAACAGCAAGATCTGAAGCTTCTACTAGAGCTCTTTTAATCGATACCAAACTGTCACAGCGTGAAGAGGAACTACGAATAGCTAATGAAGCCAATTCTCATTTGCGAGATGCAGTTTCTTCTCTTCAAAAGCAAAGTGATGAACTAGCCCAGAAATTGGAGCAGCAGCGAGCTCACGAAATTGCCATAAATGATTCTTACCAGAAAGAAATCAATGCACAGAAAAATCTAGCTAATTTATACGAATGTATGAAGGATGATGCCAATGCTAAAGCTGAAGCAATCTCCAATGCAGCGAGCGAACTACAGAAACTTGTGGATAGCACTGCAGAAGAATATGGAACCTTGGAAACAAAGTATAATCAATTAATGCTCCAGCACAAGCAAGATATTGATGAGAAAGAACAGAGCATTCAGGAACTGACAAAGGAGTTGGAACATGCTAACGAATTGCTAAAAAATATGCAACAAGGTCAGTTACACATTTTCTCATTCGTTATAACAATTGCTGATTGTCAGTTTATCAGAAAACTTTTATCATCAACTTTTACACGTCTTGTAATAAGATTAGATATATCTTATTACTATATAATATTTAAACAAATTTTTTTCTGCAGAGAAATTGGACCAAGCTGTAGAACAATTGGCACCTACAGCAGCAATAACAAGTCGAGTATTACGAAAAGGCCTAAGTCTCACTCAAATTTATACTCAATTGGTTGAAGTCACCAATGAATTGACCATGGAACGAGAGGAAAATGAACGATTGAAGTCACAAATGGATCTGATCCTTCGCGAATTGGAACAAAAAGCACCATTATTGCAGCAACAGCGTCAAGATTACGAAACAGCCATGTCAAATGTGGCAACATTAACTTCTAGACTGGATGAACTTCTTGCAGAGAATCAACGTCTTCACCAAAGTTCCGACGAAGCTAACCGTCTCTCCAAACATCACACTGCAGAAAATCAAAAATTGAAAACTCAACTTGCTGATCTGGCTAGACAAGTGAGTTACACGGTTTTATATTTTCTATGCACTTATTAAATAAAGAAATTTGAAGAATTATAGATATTTTATCTTGATACACATGTTTATATCAATTTGCATTTCTGCAGGTATGTTATCTTCTCAAAGAAGTCCAAGAAAGCCGCACCGGTGTCCGAGTAGAAACTAGAGACTTGTCTTCTTCCATGGATACAGATGACATCTTATCATCACAGGTCATCAGCAAGAAGCTGGTGACTTTCAAGGACATTGAGCAACTGCAAGAAAATAATCAAAAACTTATAGCGGTTGTTCGCGCATTGTCATCCAGGCAAGAAGAGATCGAACAGGCTACCAACGAGATAAATTCGGGCGAAATGAAGGAAAAACTAGATCGTTATATGGAACAGCTGGCAGACATGCAGGTAGCACAAGAGAGGCATGCAAAGATGATGGATGGTCTCCTGAAGCAGAGGGACACATACAAAAACATGTATCAACAGATACTGAAAAGCTCCACTGAGAAGACGCAAATGGAAGTGGAGAAAGATGTCGAAGAGCAGAAATCGAATGCAGAGCCCAAGATAACAAAGGATAATGAAGAAAAGGAGGAATGGTCCAGGAAGTTGAAAGATGCCGAGGACAGGATTAAACATATTTCGGATGAGTACGAGATGTATCGTAAGGAGAGAACCGCGCACGAGAAGATGCTGAGCGAGGAAGTGGAAAGGCTCAGGAAAGAAGCAGAGTCAAATTCGACGAGGTGTTGCAGACTGAGGGCACAATTAGACTCGGCGAACGAAAGGTTTACAATTTTGCAAGGCAACGTTGCTTCTTACAAATCTCAGATCAAGGCTCTCGAAGAGAAATGCACTAATTATAACGTCACCATCGGCAAGCACGAGCAAAGTATTATGATTCTAAAGGACGAGACGCTTGCCACTCAAAGTCGCTTAGCACGAGCTGAAATTCAACTGGAGAACCTTCGTCAAGAACGTCAACTCTTGAAGGATACCGAAGGACGTCTCTTAAAGGAGCGAGAAGTATATCAAAGAGAAAGACAGACCCAAATTTTGCTCAAAGCGGACATGGAATCCATCAAGGCCAGTCTGGAGCGAGTTCAGGCTGAAGGACAGCTTAGAGCCGAGCATAGACTTGATGACGCCAACAGAGAATGCGCTGCTCTTCGGCGTCGTCTTCAGGAGGAACAGGATCGCTTCAGAGAGCTGGCAAGTCATTTGGAAAGACAATTGGTGGTTGTGCAGGATAGATTAAAAGAAGAGCGCGAATTGAATGAGAGATTGAAAACTGAATTAGATCAAGCGAGAGAGACTGAGACCCAAAACAGTCAGAAGATTGATGAACTAAGCAATAAATTGAGACAAGCAGCCACCCATTCCATCGCTAAACCCTTGACAGGAGATGATAATCTTGTGAAAAGAGTTAAAGAACTGGAAATGCAACTGAGCACCTATCAAACTGAAGCAAAGTCACTTTCCGATCAACTGAAGGCAGCTAGACAGCAGAATCAACAATACTGTGACATAGCCGAGAGTGCTGAAACGCAGCTGAGAGAATCGACAGACGAGTACAACAAGTATAAAGAAGAATTAGAGAACAGCTTGAAAGAATCGCGCACGGAAATTCTGTCATTGCAGAAGAGAGTACAGAATCTGAATGATGATCTAGCGAAAATGTCGAATGGCAGACAAGAAACCGATTCGGTGTTGAGAGATAGATTGGCCGAGGCCGAAAGAAAAGTCGAAGAGTTGGATGAAGTGAAAGGCGAATTGGAGTTGCTGAAGAATGATCTGAAGTCTGTCTCCATCACGGCTAAGGAGGCAGAAGAGAAATATGCTAGAGAGATGATGCAGCACTCGGCCGATTTACAGGTAAGTCTAACAATAAGAAAGATAAATTGATTCCTGAAGAAAGAAATTTATGAACTATTAATTTACTTTTTTTTTTAGATATTAGCCAAATTGAAAGAACAAGCTCAACAAGTTCAACAGAAACTTAGCATTTTAACTCAGGAGCGAAATGTAGCGGTGGAAGCTTTGGAAATCGAGAAGGTAGCTTCCAAGGAAAGAGAGCAGTTGCTCGTAAATGAGATTAAGGAGTCACAAAAGAGACTTGTGGATCTGGACGCGCAAAATGCACTCTTGCATAATCAAATTCAGGAATTGGGCGACCGAGTGGCCATCATACAGAGTCAACAGACGAAGATAAGTGGAAGGGACAGCCCCGATACTAGTTTGGAAGCTCTGAATAAGAGTTTCAGTTCCGTAGAAGAGGATTCCAATTCAGCCGAACAACTGTTAAGAGTCATGAAGTATCTGAGAAGAGAGAAAGACCTGGCTCTAGCCAAATCCGACGTTCTCAGAGCGGAGAATCTCAGAATGAAATCCCAGATCGAGATAGCGGAGAAGCGGTTGAAGGAAACCGAGATCTTGTTGAATTCTGAACGAGAGAAATCCGAAATTGATGTGATGACTACATCCAAGCACGCAGAATTGCTCCGCAAGGTGGAGACTTTGAATGCCATTACGGATTCCAACCGAATCCTCCGAGAGGAAAGAGATCACTTGAGCACGAAAATCAACGAGCTCACAGCCAAAGTGAATGCTCTATCCGAAGAGGTGGTGCCTCTTCGAGATACAGCTAGAAACTTGACAGGGAAAACCGAAGCTCTGATGGAAGAGAACAACAGTTTGAAGGGCGAGGCGACCAGGTGGAGGCAAAGAGCGAACACGTTATTGGAAAAGGCGAATAAGGCCAGTCCCGAAGACTGGCGGCGGCTTCAGACCGAGAGGGAGAACCTAAGCAAGCTGTTGACGTCGGAGAGGGAGATCCACGCGAAGAGTAGCGAGGAATTTAATCAAATGAAAGTGGAGCAGGCAAAGCTCGAAGAGGAAATGGCGCAGCTGCAAAGACAAATACAAACGCAAAATGAACAGATATCACGAGTGGAAGAAGACGCTCGCAAAGTGCGCCAGGAGCTCAACGACGCACTGGCCGACTCCTCGTCAAAGGCGAAAGACTTGGCTCTGCTGCGAAAGGATCTGGCCGACAAGGAAGCAACGCTCAATGACATCAAGAACAAAGAGATTCAGATCCGCAAGATAGCCAAGAAGTACAAGACTCAGTACGAGGAGCTCGCGAGAAACGTGGAGGAAGAGAAGACCCGCAACGAGGAGGGCAGGAACGAGGACGCTTCCGGCGCGAGTGCGCAGGATCGCGAGGATCAACTGAGAGAGGAGGGTCGGCAGGAGCTCCGCCAGGCGAATACCGAACTCGCGACGAAGTTGGACGACCTGACTCGTCAGATGACGACAGCTCAGAGCGAGGCCGACAATCTGAGGAAGGAGATCGAAGCCATGAATCGCAATAATTTGGAAAAGGAGGACCGGGCAAAGCAGGTTCTAAAGAACGCCAGGACGAAGATCATGCAGCTGACCGAGTCGAAGAAGATCTGCGAGAAGGAAGTCTTGGACCTGAGATCGAGATTAGAATCCGCGGGTGGTAGCGCCGGAGTTTCGGCTGATCATTCGGACACTGAGCACGACGCGCGTCTGGTTGCGCTCAAGTCGCAGTTGGAGGGCCGGCTCTCTCGGCTGGAGCACGAGAAGCTGGAGGTGCAGGCGGAGAAGGACGCGCTCCTGCAGCGAGTCGCTCAGCTGCAGCGCCAACTATCGGGGATAAGCGGCGTGAGCGCCACTACGGAGCCGCCCACGGCGAACATTAAGCCGATGCATTCGGCTAGGGCGGAGACGCCTCTGGCGAGTATCAGACCGATGAGCGTCGTGCAGTCGAGAACAGCGGCCGTGTTGCCCACGACGGCGAGCGCACCGGTGATGGTTGCGCCTCAGCAGCAGCAGCAGCAGCAGGTGGTGCACACGACGGAGACGAGTTCGCCGACCAGCAGTCTGACCGACTTCCAGCCGGCGAGCACCAGCAGCTCCTCGCAGAGCGCGCAGACCAGCGGCCTCCGTCAATTGGTGGTGCAGCCCCAATTGAGCGAGTCCGCGGAGTCTACGCAGAGGGAGGACCCGGAGAGCGCGGAGACTCTGAATCTGCAGCCGCAGCAGCAACAGTGCCAGCAGCAGCAGCAGCAGCAACAAACGGTGGCGCTGGTGAGCCCCAGAGTGGAGCAGCAGCAGCAGCAGCAGCAGGTCGCCATCAGCGATCAGCAGCAGACTGTGGCCAGCAGCTCCACGCAGTCGGTCAGCACGTCCCAAGGCTCTTCAGGATTGAAGAGACCCCGAGCCTCGGACTCGACTGCCTCTGGCTCCGGGATCACCGAGGAGATGGATCACGGACGTCAGGAGCAGATGCAGAGCCCGAAGACTAAGAGGAGTAGATCGGACATGGGGGCTGCTGCTAGTGCCAGCGTTTCCGAAGTGGAATATCAGGTAAGAATGGTACAATAAAATGTATCATTCTTGATTATTAAATTGTATTATTCTTGATTTATAATTCAATTTTTCTCGATATTTTAACTAAAATATGGTTACAGGTGCCTACGTCAAGTCAGAGAGATCAAGATGAAGAGGTGGAAGAAGGCTGCGTAGTGGTAGTAGACTGCGACGAGGGTGAAGGTGGAAGCAATCACCAGGCCCAAGAGGAGGAGGGCTTCGACGATCCGTACGAGGAGATAGAAGAGGAAGAAGAAATGCCCTATGAGGTCGAAGGTGAGGTAGAGCGGGATAACAACGAGGTGGAGATCATCATGGAGGAGACCAACGAAGTTCCTAGGCAAGGTCAAGCATCCATCCCTACAAATCAGCAACAGTCCGAAGCCATCAGCAGCGCCGGACCGACCGGAGAACCACCGACATCCTTCACGGCGAGGTCTAGAATCGCGCCTATGCCGCGGCAGCAGCAACAGCAACATCTTCTTCTGGTAATATTCAAAGCATTTATATTTTTATTTCGAAATTTTAATTTTTTTCATTTTTAAGAAAAATTACTTTTTTTTGCACACACATCTCACATCTTATATTCTTTCTTCTTGTTCCAAAAGCCACAACCAGGTTATCCCGAAGACGGTGATGACAGTATCGTTCCTAGCACACCTACACTCTTCGTTCCTCGTCGCGATGGCTTCGGAGAAGCTGTGAGCTCTCCACAAGTTCCCCAAGGACGTTTTACGTTTGGGGATCATTCAACGCCTACGACGGCCTCCTCGACTCCGTCCCTGACGACACCCGTAGGTTCTATCAGCAGGACCATATTTGGTTCTTCCAGCAGCAGTTCTACGGTATCTCAGGTTGTCCAAGAGAGCATGGATGACAGGATAGATTTGACACAGCTGGAAGACGGCGGAACTGGCCGCAGTGTTCCTACTACGCCTCTTCAAGTCTCTCCAGCTGCGGATTTACCACCTTCGGTAAGAATTATTTTTAATAAATATATAATAAATTATTAATATATATTATATATTATTATATAATATATATATTTTATATATAAATTAATAATTTTATTACAATAATAAATAATTATATATAAACTATATATAATATTATATAATAAATTATTTGATTATAATTTTCTACAAAAATAGAAAATATATGTTAATGATTACTTTTAATTTTCCTATCGCGACTAGACTAGTGGCCAATCGGAGGAACAGGAAACCACTGCATCTGTAACACCTGTTTCGTTAACTGCCACTTCCGGCGACAGTGTCGAAGAGCCTGGCATTCCTAACATTCGCATCGTCGGCGCCGATGATCAGCAACGTGGATCGACTGAAGCCACAGAATCTGGCGCGACTCCGAGTGAAGGTACTTCATCAGATCTAGTCTATTAAATTCATTAAATAATTTATTACGAGAAACAAATTACCATTCTTCTATCACTCATCGAATTTTAACTTACATCAATCTTATCATTTTCCTTCGCAGGCATGAGTTCGGAAGACGAAAAGCGGCCGGAAGAGCCGCTAGCCTTGGCGTCCGGCGAGGACGACACCGTAGACACGGTGGAGGTGACAGAAGAAGCAGCAAGCGAACTCGTGGAGGAAGAAGTTGAAGAAGAGAGTCGCGAAGCAGAGGCTTCGCCATCCAGTAATACTCGCCAGAGGACAATGGCAGCCAGCATGGCGAATGATCCTACTGGTGCTAGGGGAATGACGGTGAGAAGATCCCCGAGGACGACTTTCAGGGTCGCCAGGGGTGCGAGGCCTACCCCGATTGTGTGGGACAGCCAATCGGGTAGAGGTGAGTGAAGAGAAGAACGATTAAATTCTTGTCTGTAATATTTTGTGATAGACATATATTTAATTAAAATATAATATATAATTATATTTTATATAATTTTCATCATTATAATTTATAAAACATCATATATTTTTATATAATAAATATTTTATAATATATTATATAATATATATATATATATTTAATTATATAATATAATATATAATTATATTTTATATAATTTTCATAATTATAATTTATAAAATATCATATATTATTATATAATATATATTTTATATATTATAATATAATATAAAGAATTTAAATTTCTTTCTTTTTAATTCTTTAAAAAAATCTAATTTACTACTTGTGCATTTTTATGATTGATGGTTTAATAATAATTATACATGTTTCATTTTCTTTGATAAAATTAGTTTTTTTGCAGTAAAACATCCAGTTTCCAAGGATATTGGAATATTTTGCGACAAATGTTAAAATTTAATATCTTTATTATATTTTAATGATGAAATAATTTTATTTTATAATAATATTTCTAATTTTTATATTTAAATATTATTTTTTTTATTTAATTAATATCTTTATTTCTGAAGGACAACCTGTAATGCGAGGACCTGCTAGAGGAGCCGGCAACGAGGGGCCATCACGAGGACGAGGCACACGAGGCCGACGAATGCGCGCTAAATATCCTTACACTCGATATTCGTAATATTGCACAGCGACTTCAGTGTCTTGTAAGTCTTTTCATTCGTCAGACATTCTACGTAGTAGTTTATACTATCACACTATATGTTAAGCGAGTAAAGGTAAAATCGAGTAAAATGGACTAATTCATTCTCGTACAATATTTTGATTTTGTTTTCTGATTGAATTTTTGAAAAAAGAAGAAATATGATGACGAATTTGTGATGTTTGTATTATATACTTCATTCATAATATAATATACTTTTTTTCATAATATATTTACTAGAGAATATAAACAAAAATATTCTTTCTTTATAATCAGATCAAGGATTTTATCGTCATAATTTTGTTATTTTAAACTGATATAAGAAGCTGTAATAAATTTTTATAGATTTAAGAAAATGGAATTAAATTTTCACTTCTCTTATTTTCGATTTCGTTTGAAGAACAAAAACACTGAAAAATCCTATCCAGTTCCATTTCGCTTGAACGAATACATGTAAAATGTAGATCACAATTTTTCTAGTTAATAATGTAAGATTGAAATATTTTTGTGTATAAGGACTAGCGAAACTTTTTCTTACTTTTTTTCTTTTCTGACAACCAACTTTGCAGAACAGGTGTCTGTAAGAGTTGACGCCTCTTTATTGGGCATCAATCCAGTTTCGTTTGCACTCGTCTGTGTGCTAAATCGAGAATTCGCATTGTTCTACTATTTCCGTTCTGTAAACGGTTGGGGGAGATAAACGATATGTATAGCTAATAATAAAATTATAATCATAAATATTAACATTAGCTTTTCGAAATATTTTGCTTTCAGTTAAACTCTGTTTTTTTTTTATTTTTTCGGGAAAACTTTTTATTCGAATTTTTTCATCAAATTATAGGAATAAGTCAAAGGAGAAATAAGCTGCATGAATTGATATAAAAATAGCCAAAACTGGGATTTATTTTTATAAACATTTTCATCGGTTCTCATAAATTAATCGATCTATGTATATACATATATAAATTAATTAGTATAAAAATTAAATAATTGAGTGATACATATATATATTAGCTACTTAATTAGATACTACAGGAATACTGTTCCTTTCGACATGTTGATTTACATCACATCTCGACTCGCTTATCTTACTTTTATTTATTCTACATTAAAAAATAATTTGTTTAATAAATTAATTATTATGCAAAAAAAAGTGACCGCTTGTCAAAATTGCGTAACATTTAAAAAAGTAATATTAAAAATACTGTTTTTACTGGATTAAATTGTTAAAACGACGCTGAGTTGATTGCTTTATAAAAAAATCGCTTATAGTTAAATGAAAAAAGAAAAGTCTTTCTGTGCATCCGAAAGACACAGAACTATTTACATGTAAACGAAGGACGTTATTTTCGCTGCTTCGTCTGGACTTTGTTTAACTAAGCAACACAGTGTCTAACACAGCGCGCGAACAGCATCGCAATTTAACGAATCGTAAAGTTATATTTAGCGTTAAACGTAACTGTCAGTTTCGCAGTGTTATTAGTTTCATATAAATATCACGTTTGAGTGCGAGAGAAGTAGACTGGCGTCCCATTTTCCATATATCTTCATACTACGATCATAAATTGGTACGATCTCTTTATCACAATCTCGATAAAAAGTATTTTTCAACTGTTAACGATTTTATATATATATATATATATATATATATATATATATATATAATTGTTATTTTTAAAATCTTTATTTTGCATCTAACATTACTCGAAGTATATGAGGCAGAATGAGTAATGTGTGTTTACGATAGAGAAGAGTACATTGGAATAACTTGTTATATTATTTTTCTGTATATCCTATGAATTGTTCGTACATCTTTATATATTTTTTTCAATACTTTATATTGTATAAAGGAAGATATGGCACGATTCGAAATTTTTAATATTTTTTATAGGCCTTAAATTTATCATTGAAAGACTCTTACCTCTTCTCAATCATCCACATGAATCCTTTCAAAGTATTCTTAAATGTCTATGATATACTTGTTCGAAATCACAATAACTCATGATTCATTCTATTAAATAGATCCTAGAAGACTTCACATCTTCGCAAGTTGTAATTTAAACTTGTATAATCTTTGATATTCTGTTACATAATACTAGTGAGTATTAGAAGAATATTTATTTCAATCTAATCTATTCTATCTCAGTCTCTCAATTATGATCAATCGACATTTGTTTAGCACACTTATATCCATTTTTTTACACAGCATCGCTTGGATTCAAACACTTTTGATGAGCAAATCACTACTGGTATCCATCGCAAGTCTATTCCTCCTAACCAAGGCTTCAATCCTGAACTCAATCTTAAAGAAACCTCAAGTCCAGTCGCACTTTGGTTTCCATTCACACCGAATGCCATTCTTTTTGTACCATAACATTGTCTAACAGAAAAATGCAGGATGATCAGACGACAGAACAGCCTTCAGCTTCATCCTCAAGAATCTTCAAAGGATCTGTATACCAGGTAGCTGAACGTCCGTCCTGAATCTCTCGCTGGCGTTACTGATCTCGCAGCTGCACCTGCCGTGTTGCTCGACTCTGATCCACGCCCTCTTCGTGCTATTCGTCAGCAGGCTCCAGACTTCGACCTCCATCTCCTCGTGATAGATGGACGACTGCACCGGCGCGCAGCTGAGATCAGGACTGACGCAGCAACCGGAATGACTGTCGCATCTCTTCAGCACGATGTACACCGGCTGATTCGCCCTCTCGCTCGGATGCATGCTCTGCACCAGGTCGCGAAGATTGTAAGACCTCGACTGGGGCTCTCTGCAGAGGAACTTCTTGGTAGTCTCCATCGCGCGGGACAGATGGATCCTCCTGGACACCCGCTGCTGATGGTGACCGCCGTGATGAGCCGCCCAAACGAGCATCATCTGATCCAGCGTCGTCAGGATCAGGATCCAAAGTATCAGGAGGGACCTCCTCGTCGATCTGCTCTTCATGCTTGCTCCACTTTGAATTCCCTTGATTGAAAAATCAAATGTTGAATAATGCTTGACCCGAAGACTTTCTCTTCTTCCCTTTAATAATGGAAAATATCTTCTCTCTTCTTCTTCCAGGAAGAAAATGTGTATACCGACACACAATGAACTTGATGTATATTTCTTCTAAGACGAAGTATAGACTTTTCTTCACGTCGGAAGTGGCTGATGCGGACTCACGTGGCGATCCTGCAATAAAGTCCTGATTTTTGGACTTTAGCTCGAGATGTGTGAATGGGCTACGAGAAGCTACAGACACCAAGTATCGCTCGACTGAGATTTTCCCACTGGCATACGTGTATTTATATATGGAAGAGCTTGCACACGCATGCCTCATAGCGAGAGCACGCGTAAAGTCCGGATCGTGTCTGCCTTCCGCTTGATGATTCCGCTTTATTGTGCAACCGTCGTTCGCGCTTAATGCGCGACCGCACGGCCGCTGTTTAACCCCTTTGCACCTGGAATAATAATTCATAGCCGATAATCAGATTCTATCGAGTCAGTCACATTGATATGTGATACAAGATGTCCAGAGGAAATTGCTGAAACTAATCAGCTGTCATTTTTTAACGCATGCAGCTATTGAGGAAAGAAAAATTGTATTGGAAAGAGGAAAGTCTGCAGTTTTTAATGGATATAAATAAAATGTTTGCATATCAGTTTATTTTATTGATAAAAAGTAATAAAATTATTTATTGATAAAAAGTAATGATTTTGTACAAATTCAAATAGTGCGTGCTTTTCGAAAATATTTATCATTAGTTTACATATGTGATTACTAGTTCTGTTTTCATTACTTTTTTTCAATCAAATAAACTGGTATACAAACATTTTATTTATATCCATTAAAAACTGTAGACTCCTCTTTTCAATACAATTTTTCTTTTCTCAATAACTGCATGCATTAAAAAATGACAGCTGATTAGTTTCAGCAATTTCCTATGGGACACCCTGTATCATAAAATTATTATTATAAGAGCTTTGCATAATAATTCTTAACTTGAAGTGACATAAATCTATAAAACGTGCAAATTTTTAATTGTCATAGGCAAAAATTTAGATATGAATTTTTTGTCTTTTTTCACTTTTCTGGCATTTATTGATCTTGAAATGTTCATGCATCGGATTCATCAGGATGAATTTTGAGCTGACTTGTTCTAGGAGGAAAACGTAATGTTCTTGGAAAATCAAAGGACCCGATAATATGATTCTATGTCCCAATGGGTGAATAACCAAAGCAGATTCGCTCAATCACGTTATCTTCCTAGTATCAATTACTGATGCATAGTGGAACATGACGCATTTGTATTTCAAAGGTTTTATTTTGCGCAAATCGACTATTATACGATGACGAAGATGTCTCTTGAAAGCGTCAAAAGACTACTTTATGACGTCTTCAAAGTGTTTCACATCCTGATTTACGACACGCATTAGGCATCTTATTTAAATTTAGACTATAATTGGTTGGACTCATACATTATTTTATTATATTATTATTATATGACTATTGGAAATAATCGACCAAACTAGCAAGTAATAATCGTTCATTAAATTTTACCTTATTTCCAAAATTCATATTTAAATACTAGTGACTGTCATTAATAATTGGGAATTTATTTATAATTATTATATATATGCATTCTGATATATATTTATACTTTTGCAAAGTAATTAAAATTTAATATTCTTGTATTTATAACGAGGGGTCTCTCATCTTCGCGCGCGAATTTATTTCAGAATAAAATAAGGAATCTTCTTTTTCTACTTTTATTCTTTTTTTTTAGCAATTGGCATCTGGCTAGATGACTCAGATGAAATAGACGCTTTTATTTTTAGCGAATCCAATATACTTGGTAGTTTTTCATTGTGATCAAGTTTCCTGCTAGAATTTGCTTAGCTGTTATAATTACACATGCGATAAAGCTCAAGATCGAAGTTCTTAATTAACACAGGCGCCTCTTTATCAAAGATATGTAACACGTGTTCATAGTGTATACATAAGTTATTTTAAATTCAAAAATTACGAATACATGTATATATGTATGTATATAAGTAGCTGTAATAATCATTAAAAAAGATGTGTTAACTTTTATTATTATGTATATTATAAAAATAATTCGATTTGAATTTGTGAATTAAATTTTTAAAAATATATAATTATACATACGTGGAACAAATGATATTTCTCATCAAATTATAAACCTTTAATCAAGAATAGATTAAAATTCCAAACTACTGATAGACTCAACTTCACAGAAAATGATGCAATGAACACTAATATAAATTCCATAATAGCTATATTTTCTACTGTTTAATAAATTCATTAATTCGTAAAATAATTTATAACGCAAATTTTTAATCAAACAAAAAATTAAATATTAATTTCACATGATGATGATCTACACAATATCTTCAATTGGAGAACTGCTGGTTCAAATCCATAAGAAGATAATATTTTAATTGTTAAATAAAAATTGATGTGTATATATATTATTTTTAAAAATTGCATAAAATTTAATTTAATAACCTTTTTTTTTTTTACGCAAGTCATTATTAGTCATGGAATTAAATGCGGATGAAGAATGCGAAATGATTTCACCGGCGCCTACAATATGATTTCACCGTAATTCTGCGTAAAGGACCCAAATACCATGAAATTCCCGTGACGATGACGTGGATAAGAACACCTATGGAATCGAGGAGATATGCCCTTTTTTCACTGGGGGTTTCCTTGTTGCTGACGCATCCGTCTGTCATTTGCATATGTCACGCTGCACCGGATGTTGCAATAATGTATGCATGTAAGGATAGCAGGCATTTCTAGATCATTTGCATATCATATATTAATTACTGAATAGTAATACATATCATTAGATTAAATCATTACATAATTAATACCTTTTTTTAATTTTATCGCACAAAATCTCTCATAAAAATATCTAAAAAATATATACATATAGTAAAAGACATAAAAGTAGTAAGATGATGTATTATCTCATCTTGAATATATTTATCCCAATCTTCCTCTCGTAGATGGAATTTCCTTCCTTCTGTCTCGACTTATGCAACTCATTGACCAGACTTCTGTTCCAGAAATAAAACATGATACTAGCCGGTTTATAATTATGACACACGATACAATCAATTTCAATGAATTCCCTTATTTTAGTCTTTTTCGTGATAATAAAGATGATTCTTTTTTTACTCGCAATTCTATTTGTTTTTCTAATTTTTTAATTGTCAAATTTCTTTTGTGATTTTTAATTATAAAAATTATTAGTCGCTACAAGATTTTCAATTAACAAAAAATACTATTATAGCTATTTAATGAGATTCTGAAGAATATATAATTAGATTTCAATTTAGTTTGCAATACGAAGTAAAATTACATAAAATACAATATAAAACCTGTAAATTGAAAAATGTGGATCAATACCGAAATATTTTAAAAATTCTTAGAACTTAAAAAAATTTTTACTAATTTTAACTATTTAAATATTAATCACACTTAATATAATTAGACGACTCTTGTTAAGTTTGTTTCATTGTACATATTTTTCAAATTTCTGTATAAACCCTAAAACAAGTAATTGTTAAACGATCAATTGATGAAGAGAGAAAAGAAAAATATGAAAGGATAAAAACGAGAGCAAAACGAAATGAGAAAGAGAGGAGTCACGAGAAGCAACATCTAGTAATTATAGTTAACTCAAGGAGTTTCTCGGAACAATTAGACGGATCCCTCTTCGAATCTCCTCCTCTTCCTGGGAATTCACAGGGAGATGCTCCGAGCAAAGAGACATCGAAGAACAAGTGTGAGAACGAGAGACAAGAAATCGGAGAACGGAGGATGCGCAAAAACAGCCTGGATAAAAATTACACAGTGTATACACAGCACGAAAGGATTCAGATCTCCTCTGGCAGCAGTTGCAGCGAGCCTTCTCGAAAGACAAATCAAAACAAGAATTCACTTCTCCCTGGAAAAAATAAAAATTAGTTATTTTTTTAATTTATAATTATTGATGAAATCGATGTGAATTAATAATAAATATTGTAATAAATTTGTTTTATCAAGGGAGTTCTTTCCTTTTATAGATATATATTTATACTGTTATTGAGAAAAACCTTGTGCAGTGATTGAAAGACGTGTGAAAACTTTGTTGTGTCACACTGTGAATATGAAGAAATTTTTCTTGCTGCTAATCTGCGTTCAGTTCACACTAACTGTTATTGGCAAACATTTATACAGGTGAGAAGATGCTGTGTCGATTTATTCTATTAATTCCTATTTTGAACAAATTATTTGCAGGGTTGGGAAGTAACGAGTTACTTAAGTAACTTTCCCAACCCTGATTATTTGTTAAACTCTGTTCCTCTGGATTTATTATTATTCATTGTCCTTCAATGGACATTTGCCCCCTCCTAGGAATCAGTAAAAAAATTAAGCATTTACTCTCCTTGTGAATAAACACTGTAATTTATCTGCAATTTTATTTAATATCCCTAATAGCACAATTAATCCGAAAGATATTCAGAGGATATTTAAAGGATATCCAGAGGACATTCGAACATCCTCAGGATGTTCTCTGAACGTCTTCGGGATACGTGTGCTATTAGGGATAAAAATATTAAAATAAAATAATAAAATATTAAAATAAAAAATAATTAAAAAATTGAATTTAAAAATGAAGGAAAAATAATATAATAGGAAATAAAAAATTTAATTCCTGCGGACGCCCATGATCACAATGCATTCTTTCTGTTCGATGCAGGGATAGCAGTTTTCTGAATCACGCGCAATTGGTGTTTCAATTTCAATGCTCCTTGCCCCAATTGAGGGCCGTTCGGGTGAAGGACCTCCTAACCGCGGGTCTAGGACCTGATGAAGTCTTCTATCCAGCATCCACAGTTCTAGCTCGATGCTCAGGAGCAGGATGTTGTCCCGACCCCAAGCAAGTCTGCGCTCCGATCGAGATCAAAAACGTCAGCCTCGTCTTCATGATCAGGCACCTGATTGATCAACAACGAGATCGTCATCACGAGGTCATCCATGCTGTGGAGCACATCAAGTGCGCCTGCATGGATGAGATTCTGGCCACGAAGAATGACAAGCTTTGAACAAGGACAACAGCTTCGAAGAGAAAAATATTCTTCTTAAATACACGATTAATTAAAAATAAAGATAATTTTAGTAAATTAATTATAATAAAGAAAATAATTGGAATTAATTATAGACACTGTGTAGAAATCTATTTCTTGAAATAAAGAAAATTAATTGAATGATTCTCGTAGTTATAGAAGAAAAAAATTCTAAAAGGTCAATAATACACTATATCTTGTTATCCTCTTTCTCCCTATTTTTATTCCTTTATATTAAAATATTGTTTAACGCTAAGAAGATCGTGCTTAATGCTCTCGTTATTAGGATCTAATTTCAGAGCAGCCTCTAGTTCAGGGATTCCGTGTTGCGGTGAAGACAATTTGCAAAGTGCAGCACCTCGACGAGCATGACATCTCGCTCGCGATACTCTGTTACTCTCACATTTCGGTTCCATCAGTTCCAATACCTGGAAAGAAAAGAAAATTTTCGTTTTAATTTTTTACATTATATCTCAATTAATATATGCATAATATTTTTCTCTTCTATACTTCTTCAATTTTTAAATATTTTATACTGTAAATTTTTTCTTCTTTTCTTCTTATATCACAATTCCTCTTTATATGTATATCTTTTATCTTAATTTTTCTGAAACCTTCGAAAAATATTTCCGAATAAAATATTTTAGAATAGTATCGATTGAGGGTTCCATTACCTTAGAACAATCGTCAATGCATCTGTAATAATTTCCGAGAGCATAATGTGCTGCCGATCTGTTCACGTAGAGTGCCGTCATCTCGTTACTAATTTTAATCCCGTGTGTATACGCACTTATGGCAGCCAGATAATTTCCTGTCTTGAAGAAATCACTGCAAAAAAGATATAGAAGCAATAATGAAGTGAACAATCAAAAAGATATACGATCAAACACAGATTTTCATTAACGTACTCGCCCTTATCCTTCAACCATTGAGGATCCTGCTCTTCAGGACGAAGATCCTCGACAACAAATCCCGTTTTTCTTCTAGCTTCTACTTGTTTTGCAAGCCACTGATAAAAATATACTTGGATAAGAAGATATTACTTGTCACATAATTTATAATATTTATAATATTATTATTTTATATTTATATATTAATATATTATTATTTTATATTTATATATTATTATAATATATTATTATTTTATATCTATATTAATATTTATAATATAATTTATAATATAATTTATAAAATTTATAATAAATTAATAATTATAAACGTACTTCTTCCTCTTCAACAAGAGCACTTTCCCGGGCTGGAGTAGGAAAGGCTCGTTCAGAGAAAGTTATGTTAATGGTTCCACTTTTTCTGGGAAGTGGAACTGCCTTTGCAGGTTCATCAAATATCCGATTCATCTTGGAATATCGATTCTTCAGTACTTTATCGATCAAATTCTGGTCCGATCTTTCTTTCTTCACTTTTGCAGAGAATTTTCGCGAAGATTTTGGGTTCATTTTTTGGATTAAAGGATTTATTGCAGATTTTGAGGAGATGATTTCGTAATCCGATTCCGAATCTTCGGAACAACTAGATTGTTCTTGAAGATCGATCTTATTCTGAGTTGTCTTCTTTATCCCTAAACTATTATTCGTTTCTTTCTGAATATTTTCAACAAAAATTTCTTCAAGATTTGCTTTGTCAATTAATTCTGTCTTCGAGCTTTCTTTAACAATTAGTCCTTCCTCCAGTTTCTCTTCAATATTTAATTCCTCTTTCAGTTCTTTTCCGATAATTGAGCTTTCTTCTATATTTTCTTCGATAATTAATTCTTTCTTCAAATTTCCTTCGACCGATGATTCCCTCTTCGGATTTTCTTCAATTAGTTCTTCTATAATTACTGGATCTCGTTGCTTTTCCTTTATTTCTTTTAGATCTTTATTTAATTTTTCTTTTTCATTAATTTCCCAAGATTGCAGGATACCGAGTTCATCCTTGAACCATTTAAGCGGAGGCCTATCAAAAAATTCTTCGATTAAAATAAAAATTAAATAAAAAGAATCAAAATAAGTTTGTAAAAAGTAGTTTCAAAAATATATATCAATCTTTAATCGTTAATACATCAAAGTTTATGCTAAATTGTCCTATTTTTTATTACCTCGATAATTATTCCTTTAATCTTAATTATATATATAGTTGCAACTATATATATTTCCTCCGATATTTTATCACGTTCATTTTTTCGATGAAAAAATAATATTAATTGTAAAAATTGTTTTTTTTTTTAACAATACCTATATGCGTTCCTGTTTTCTTGCACCTCCCCGGAAATATCCTGAAAAATCGGCAATTCCGCCTTCGATCGCCATTCTTCAAAATCCTGCATTGCAGCTCTACGATGAGAATCTTTTAAAGCCTCTATTTTATTTAACGTGTCGGTATCCAAATTTACTTGCACCTTCACTCCTTCTTTTCGCAAACGTTGACGTTCGTCTGTAAAGCAGTGGTAAATATTTCAACAAATATTCTCATCTTTTATTAAAAATTTTTATTCTCAAAAATGAATACTTCTTTATTTTTATTTTTATAATTCAACAAATAGAATTTATTTGCATTTAATATTATTTTTAGTTTTTTCATCTTTAATATAAAAAAATTAAAATTTATTACGTTTTAATATATATTTAAAATGCTGTTGTAAAAATCTCATTTGTTTGCTTCCAAAAAAGAGCAGAAAGTGATTAATTAAAATTATATATTGTGATAAATAATAAATATCTGTAACATATATAAGTATAAAAAATTTGTTATGCCAATCTTTATTCCATATGATTATTTCTTTTTTGTTCATAGTTAAAAAATGAGGATTTATATCATTTTTTTAATTAATAAAATTCTTACCGCTTTTATACTTCACACGACTATCCGAAATACTTTGTGCCTTTTCTATAGCTCGTTTTCTAAATTCGCGTTTCTGCTCTTCATTAATGTCCTTCACGAGATTTGGCCAGACAGAAGTCACGTTTGCTTTTTGCAAAGAGAATATAGCTTCAGCATCTGTCAAAGTACATTCACTCTCTTCCTCAAGCACGTTTGCCCATAGAAATAATTCCAAAAAAAAGGGTGGAAAGCTAATCTTAAAAAAATTCAATGTCAGTCATTTAATAAAAATGTTCACAATTTTTTGATACATTTTTTAATTATAACATTTTATGCATCCCTTTTAAAAGTCACTAAAATTTTAAAACAGAAAAATCATTAAAATTCTCTCTATAATTTTAATAACAAAAAATTCTTTGGGCCTTTAAATATTTTTAATTATTTAAATTTTATATTATTGAAAAAAATAAAAATTAAAGAAGACATAAATATACCTTTACATAATCATCCATTACGAATAAGTGTACATTTTTAGGATGACCTCTCAGAGGCACGTAAATTATTATCCTCTTCTCTGTCTGTCGCCAATAATAATCCTTGATAATTATTGCCATCATTCAAATTCGAATTTTGACAAATAATTCACTCAATGTGATGCAACTTCTCTTTTTCCTTCCTTGCTTGCTGTAAAATTTTACATACAGTGCTATATAAAATATCGATCAAACGAATGTATCTAAGCAACGACATATTGTATACATTATGTAATAAGACATAATTATATTTATGATTATATTATAATATAATATAATATTATAATATTAAAATTATAATATTATTATAATATATAATATTTATATTTATATTTTATTATTATATTACATCATGATTGTATATAACCCAAGGATTATTTTTCTTTAAAAAAACATATTTATATGCAAAGCAAAGAATATGTTTTAATTTTGTTACTATTGTATATATATATATAAGAGTAACAAATATAATAAAAAGTCAAGTTTTATGTATCGTACGAATTACTTTTAATTAAAACGTTCAAGAGTATTTGTTTGACAATATTTTTCGTAGACATATTAAAAAGCTGCCGTTTCGCATGTACTTCCATTATCATTATCATCCTCGTCATCCTTTCTTTTTTATCACCTATTATCATCTATTATCTTCTCTCGTAAGTAACAATCTCAAATTAATTAATGGAAACGTGTACATGACCCGAATCACACACGATCCGACAAAAGCAACAGCAAAAGTGTGCGATAACGTTTCTTTTTTTAAATAAAAAATTATTAATATATCTATATATAATATATAAATAAATCAAAATATCTATAATATAAAATCAAACATATGTTACACGTTTGCCACTTACAATTAATTAATCACGTACAATATATCGTATCCGATGCTACAGCAATATGCAAGTTTACAAAGATCATCTTCTTTTTATAATTGTTGTAGATCGTTAAACAATCGTGCAATCGCATGATTGGGAAGAAACAGTTTTTTTCTGAAGAACCTTGTTGATTTTCGCGATTAATCGGATCGTGTATGAGGCGCTCCTCAAAGTTATGCGATTAAGTGATTTTGTTTGAAAATTGGCTACAAAACTTATGGTAAATCAGTCGGCTTTGTAAGGACCCCGTCTTTCAGACTCCTGCTTCCTCGCTGCAGCTACATTGAATTATGCGTACAAATTATTTTACATTATTCCGAGATCGTTTTATTAATACAAAGAATTATTTTTAAAAAATTCTCACGATTTTCTCCCATAATTCAATGTAACAAATGAAAGCGAGGCGCTCCAGGAGTTTATTTGGAGAACGGAAATACATAAATGGAATCCAAGCTTGAGAATTGGCTCAAAAAACAAAAAATGTAACGATGTTCGATTTAATTAACAATTCAAGAGAAACAAGCGATCAAATAAAACGATTAAATCATGATCAATTAAAAACATTTAAATATTTGAAAAAAAAACAATCTAAAAATCCAAGAACTTAGGAATAGAAATTCCAAGAGGATAAGGAAGTCTTTAAAATTACAAGAATCTAAAATTTCAAAGATTTCTCGAAGTTTCAGGCGATCAAAGATTTTGAGAATCCAAAGTTCGAAGAATTCTAAAGTCCAGGAAAAGAGTTTCTAAGGATCAACGATCTCAAGATTCTAAAATATTTTATCATAAACGGAGAAAATACAAGACATCATTCGACGAGAAACAAGAGAATTTGAAGAACTCGCGTTTCAAGAATCTAAAGTTCTAATGGTAACCTGATTTTTAAAAATGTATACAAATTGTAAGAAGACTGTAGATTTCCTACGGATCTAAAGATAAAGAAAAAAAAATAGGAAGGCTCAAATTTAAAAACATCCCTGAACATCTATCTAATCCCTATAATACCAAAAAAATCCTCAAAGCTCAAGATCCACAGATTCTTAAGGCTCCTGGGATCCTCGCCGCGGCTATGTCAGATTGTGACGTCAGAAGCGAGAAAGCACAACGCTAATTGATGATAAAGGGAAAAGGATAGTTTTCGAGATATTTTAAGAGTGCGCTGAAATGTTGTTTCACCGATAGATCTTTTCATCTCGAAATGGCATCTAAGAATTTTTAGCGTGCGTTTCTCGCCTCTGACGTCACAATTCCAACGCAATCGGCGAGGAGCCAGGAGCCTTAATAAATGTACAATTAAACGAGTATCAAAGGAAGTAAAAGCAAAATTTCACTATGGATAGCCGAAGTGCAGGAGGATCATACTCCGTTGACGCGTTTTATCGCCAACGATGATATATATATATATCATTACAATCCTTGTAAAAGACATAATTAATTCCCGCAGTTCGTTGTGAGTATAACAACAAAAACAAGTGCACGTCGCAATCGCTGAGCGATGCAACTCTGGAGGACTTCTATAAGAATTCACAACGAGATGAAACTTCAGGATTATGCCTCGTAGATTTAGCATTATGACACTGTAATCGGTTCTTGTCGCTCCGCGCTCGTGTAACTCATACAAATCGCATACACACGCATACACACACATTAATTAATTCGTCTCTCTCGCCAGAGTTACAGTCGTCGTTATTAATTATATAATCGTATTCAGTACATGTGTGATATTTACATATTACGTTCCACGATCGATCGAACACCTTTGAATACGTTGGCGCATTTTTGGCAAGGCGTTTCAAGAGGTGTTTCAAAAGGTGGGGATCGCGTTCAAAAGGTCTCAACGCTACTATATAAATAAGTACGCTCGTCTCCTCTCGTCTGCGCAGCCTCTCGCTTGCTCAGGATCTCTCCTCGATCTTGAGCGTCCTTGAGCAGTCCGAGCCACAGCAGTCTTGGGCTTTTAATTCTATCCGGTTTCATGTGGAATGTTCGACACCGAGTGTCCCAGAATTTACAGCGATACAGTTTGACAACGAAGGACTTATCCCCGAGTCTTTCGCGAGTGTTTGACAATTCCGCGGGGAAATTATTCTGAGAGAAGGATGCAAATCTGTTAACATCTGACATGTAAAAGTCTCGCTTTGAGCAAAATTCGGAGCGAATAAATATAAATTACGAGAAAAACGATGTCCCTTAAAATTACAAAGTAATTATAACAAGTCTGTAATGCATACAAGCTGTCTCTGATCAATTTCTTGTTCCTTTTTACAAAAAGATTTTCATCCAGATTTTGCGACACAAAATATATCTATTAAAAAAGAAGTTATTAGGAAAATTTGTACCTGATATGAGATATTAATTGTATATTATTTTAATCTTTTATACTATTCAATATTAAAATATTATTAATAATTCAAAATCATATTCAATATAAATGTTAACATTTAATTGAAAGACATTAATTAAATAATATGCTAATATTTAATAACTATTATTGAAAAATATTAATATTTTTATTTTAACTTTTAATATTTATATATACTTTTATATTTATATTACTAACAGATTGTGTATATATATTTATTATTATTATTGATATATATTTGTGGGGTACAGGGTCCACTCGTGGTATTTAAAGTACTCAGGATATTTAAGTGCTTTCACTCCTTAAGTTCGAATAAAATAATTAAATCTTATTAATGGTCCATTATGTTTTCCAAGCACTCACTACAAGAAACTACAAAATGATGTAATTATTCAAGAAAGAAAAGTTTTCCTAATTAAAATCGGCAATTATAAAGACTCAGAAATGTTAAAAATCCAACATAATTGATCAGAGACGAACTTTAATTAATAATTCGTTGACGCGACGCATTTATATAAAATCGAGGAAAATGACGATTACGTTTCATTCGAAAGATCGATCCTTAGTTGCGAAAAAGTTATATATATATATATATATGTATGTATGTATATATATAAGTATATATATATATATATACATACACACACATACGTTCGTAGAAATAAATACGGGAACAATGCTTAATATATACGTGGCAATATATAACATATATGTATAAGTATGTATATACTATATAGGTACAATTACAAAAAAGTGTACTTAATACGGTTTTTTTATTACACATTTTCCGCGCTCTAAACCCGCTCTAGCAATATAAAAGCGGCTCGCAATTTTATATCCATCGTAAAAGAACCGGCATTTATTAAAGCAAAAATCATGCGGCCGCTAATGTAGAGCAAAACGAGTCTGGAACGCGGCTGTTTAATTCAATCGCTAGTTTTTTTACACGCATTCACATACATACACACTCGTTTTTTAAATAGTATTAATAATTGAGAAAAAAATACTTAATAGCAAAAGTATAAGTATGGCGATAACAAGTAAATGCAGAGGCTCAATACGTGGCCCTCATTTAAGGAAACAGATTACACAATTAAACGAAAGCGGAGTAATCTTGAAGAAAACGTTAGTGTGTACCGGGTATCCCAGCGAGAGGCAACTTAAATTATTATTAAAATTATAACAATAATTTTAATTATTAGGAATTATTTCCACTAATTATGCACTTTCGCAATTATTTCAATAGAAAATATTAAAATTTTAATATCTTCTTTCAAAATTAAAAAAAGGCTCAAAAACTGACAATTACAAATTATTTCAAATAATTCATTAATATAATTAAATATAAATTATTTCTTTAAATTAATTTATTACAAGATTAATACTACTCTCTTAGTATTATTATGAATTATTTGAAATAATTATGATTCTTAGTCATTATCTCAGAAATTACTCAAAAAATGTGTAATTTTAATTTCAATCATAGACAGCCTGAGTTATATTTTAAAAGAACCAAAGAGTTTATGTTCGAAAAAGCACAATATTTAAAAAAACTCGCTTACTCGCACAATTCTTTCATAGATATGATAAGAACACGCATCTCTCTAGATGACATCCTATGTGAAATGGACGGCGTCATTTCTTCATTCGAATTTCAAATTCGATTCCCAATATCTCTCAATAAATATAATATATCGGTCATTTAATTCCTTTGCATTTAAAACCCCTTTCTCGAGATACTCTGTACACACCTAGCGTCGAGAAAACCCGCATTATGTATTCTCCTACCGAGCGTCTCTAATTGATATTAACGAACGCGTCTATAATTCACTCTCTAGCTATTTTTCCGCGCTGCCTTTTCTGCTTTTCGTCGCATTCGCTCCATTTCCTTGCGTTCCTTGCGCTCGCGATCGGCCTGGGCCCTTAGCTCCTTCAGCTTGCGCTTCAGATGCGCCTTGGCTTCGTTGTAGACCCCCAGGGCCTTCAATTCCCTAGACTCCAAACGCAGCAAGTTGCTCCCGTTAATGCCGTTATCCAAAAACTGCGGCGAATAGTGTTCTAAACCGATTCCCGTAAGCCACTGGCAAACCTATAAAAGAATATTTTGTTAATCATTTATTATGACGAGAGGAAAAAAAAGAAATTAAATTATTAAAAAAACTTTTCAGCATAAAATTTCTATTTTTTTTTTGTTTTAGATATTTATTTTTAGAACGATTTGTATGCACGTGTGTGAAAATAAATTTTCTTCTGAATCATAAATTATTTTACTCACTTGTTCTTTGGACCAATCTGCAACTGGTGCGTTCTGCCAGAAGTGAGATTTTTTGTCACCTAAACCAAAGTCGCTTAGGTGAGCGGGCAACCAAACTGTGCTCGAATCTATATTGATAACGCATGCATGATGGAAAAATAAATAAAATATAGCAAGATCTTATTATGCTATTAGTAATCTCTATCGGCAATTAATCCTTCCGATGTTTGCATTTTTTCTTTTACTAATAACTGTTTTATTATTATTATTAATATTCATTTTTTCTTTAAATATCTTAAACGAAAAAAAGAAAAGGTCTTGAAATGAAAAAATCGTGCATTGTTAAAATTGTCAAGCAAGTAAAGCGAGATTATATTTCTCAATAAAGCATTATATTGATAGTGCTTTGACAGGAAGCGAATTGAAAGAAATTTATTCTTAACTTTAACTTAAACTCTCTGACTTTAATGTGCAGGGGCAAATTAAAAGAGATTGGCGCAAATTTGTTTCTTTAGAGATATTCTTAGATTTCAATTCCGAAGGAAGAAAATGCAGGAACTACGTTATACGTAAAATAGCCAAAGTACCTGCGAGACTACCGGCTTTCGAAGGACTAGGATCAACACCGGGAGGACTCACGGAACCGCCGGAAGACAAACTTGAAGGAGAGCTTCCCGGGTGATGCCAGGGCGCACCTCCGGCGCCGAAGTTCGACGGGGAGATCGATACCTTTTTCACTGCAAAAACAGCTTATTTAATTGCAATAAAATCATACTCTTGTTACAATTGTCATTTGTATCTCAAACTTGTTTTCTCTCACCTCTCTGATTAGCCTCGTTAACAGCTTGTCGTATCTCCTCCACTAGATGATGCGTGACCATCGTCGGGTCGTTATGAGGATTGTTGAGATCACTGAAGTCTCCAGAGCTCTCTCGCGAGGAGTCATTCCCGCCAAGTCGCTTCTCCCTCTCGGCTAAAACCTGCTTTAGCTGTTCCGCGAGCGACGCAGGAGGTCCAGTTAAAGCTGTCGAGAAAAATGTAATTTTTCAACGTATTGACGGATATAAAATTTAGAATTTTGTCTCAATAATAAAAAATATATTTTATTCTATTTGTTTTTTTTATAAGGTTTATATTTGTATTTAAATTTATATTTAAAGATAATTTATGAGTTAATTTAAGGCTTATAATTGACTATGTTTTTTATTAATGTTAAGAATATGAATTAATTATTGGTATTTTTATTAATATTTATTATTTTGATAGTATTTTTTCCTTCAATAAATTTAATTATATTTTATTTAATATTTGAATTAAGGTTAATTCCTACTTTTATTATAACTGAACGGAAAATGAAACTCTATTTATATATAAATTAAATATCATTAGTTGAATTCAATTTTTAATTAATAAATTTGTATGCAGGATACGCCCTTGAAATTATAATGCAGCAAGATAATTCTTCCTGAAGTAAATCTGATAACTTGTTTGATGTCACAATTTGAAACGCATAAAACTTACATGATCAATAATAAATCAATTAAAGCAAATATATGTTCGATATACTTTTTTGCGATTGTGGCCAGCTCTGCTCGGTCATTGCCCTGACTTGTGAGCTAATGGTACTATGCTGCCGGATCATAGTGGCATGTATAGGATCCATGTGCGATTTGCCCTTGAGCGAACTAATGGACGAAGTGCTGGAGTAAGAACTCAAATTGGATTGCTTGGACGTGAAGTCATTGGGCGACCTGCTGCTGTTGTCCTGTGAGGTGAGTTTCGAAGAGGAATCGTCATCCGTGTTATCGCCCGACTCGTCCAGACCGTAATCCTAAAATCAAACTTTACTTATTAATCATCTTCATCATTTAATTACTACAATTGTTTATTTTTAAAATTTTTTAAAATTGCATTATATTTTTAAGAGCACATTAAGCAGAAGGTCTGTTCTTTTCAGCTAAACTAACTGCACTACTTCAGAGTTTTTCTTCTTTCCAATGTAGAGTATAAAATATAAACTCTGAATTAGTGCAGTTAGTTTAGGTGAAAAGAACAGACCTAAAGTATATTATACAGGGTGTCCCATAGGAAATTGTTGAAACTATCAGTTGTCACTTTTTATCAATCAAATAAACTAATATACAAACATTTTATTTACATAAATATTAAAACCTGCAGACTTTCCTCTTTTCTACACAATTTTTCTTTTCTCAATAACTGCATGCATTCAAAAATGACAGCTGATTAGTTTCAGCAATTTCCTATGGGACACCCTGTATTATATGATCTTGAATGAATGAAAAGATCGATAACGCACGGAGCTGCTATTGCTGAGGCCTCCGGATCGTTGCTTGGGTAACTGACGATTCGCCAGACCGCCCCGGCTAGCCAGCTCCGCCTTGCTCTTCCCGGCAGAATTGTCCAGGAGACGATGGGCTGGCACGGCGCGATCCAGTTCCTCCTTCACCGGTATCGGCAGAGGCAGCTTTCTCTCCACAGTCGCGGTCTTGTCACCGTCATCCGGACTACTGAGATCAGAGGTCTCCGTATCTGAGAGCTGACAACTGGTCGACGAAGGTGGTGGTAGTATTTGTCGGCGAGAGAGCTGCGGCGTCACTATCTTGGCAGTCGTGTTGTCGTAAGGCAACCTTACAGGCAGACCAAATCGTCTCTGCGTCTCCGTCAGCTCCACCTCCAGCGTGATCACCTGAAAATATACACATTTTCGCTTTCAGAAACATCTATTTTCCGACTCGAAGTTGTGAATAATACCAGGAATCAGTCAGGGTGTATACTCAAATCTTGGAAATAATTCCCTGAGGATTCCATGATTTTCCAAGTACTTTTGTTCAAATTCCAGGTAAACTTTAAGTATTTTAAATAATATTTAGAATACAATTTTGAATTAAGTTAATTATATAGATTATATATAATTTTTCAACATAAATAAAGTATTTCTCAAATATAATGTGTGTAATATAGTATTATATTATAATAAAATATATTTTAATATATACTTTATATACAGGATGTCTCATTTTAATGTCTCACCCGAAATAAGTTTTTTATTTTTGATTGTAGAAAAAATGTTTCAGACAAAAGTTGTATGGTTTCGAGGACATAAGATGGTGCCATTAGTTTAACCTTGAATAGTTGCTTGAAGGACACGTAAAAGTCACCTTGAGGTGAGAAGATCTTGTCTTCAAAACTCAAAAAGTACTTGAGATAAAAATGTTTCATTATAATGCTTTGGAAAGCTCTCGATGTCAGCTACAAGAATATGTAATGAAAAGTAGGTGGTTCCATTTAAGAAATTAAAAGTGACCTTCACATGACCCTCAAGCAACTATTCAAGGTCAAACTAATGGCACCACCTTATGTCCTCCTCGAAACCATACAACTTTTGTCTGAAACATTTTTTTCTACAATCAAAAATAAAAAACTTATTTGGGGTGGGACATTAAAATGGGATACCCTGTATAAAACTAATAAATTTTATATTCTTTAAAACTATAACAATTTTTTAAAAAATTTCCCGAGTTTAAATCAAATTCCATGATAATTCCAGGATTTTTCACGGTAGAACAAAATTCTCTGAGAATTCCAGGTCTTTCCAGGGAGTGTACACCCTGAGTCTCTACGAGAGTCGATTTCTTCAGCATCCTACGTACTCTGTCCTTGAGACTCTTCACCAACGCGTTGTACTCTGTGTCTTTCTCTTGCAGCAGTTGCTGATAGAACTCGTCCCTGGCCGCAATGTCCGTTCGCAGCTCTCTGGTGGCTCGTCTCGCCCTGGCATACTTTTGCTGCAACGCCGCGTTCTGCGCCGTCGCCTGCGACAGCATCTCCCTGGCCGTGGACAGGTCTAGGCGGGCAGTACCCAAAGCCCTTTCCGACTCGTGAAGACGCAGTCCGGACTCCCGTAGTTTGGCCGCGTACTCCTCACTGCCCGCTCCGCTGTTTTCCAACTCCACCAACTGTGCAGGAAATAATACGAATTATAACAATTAAGCTTGTACAAGAGATATATGATAAATAATAATAAATATATAATAAAATACAACAAGAAAATGAAATATTTAATTATGTAAAATGTAGTGATGAAATTTACAAATATATTTATATATTATATCATTATATTGTGTTATATTGAAGAGAAAAGGAAAATTATCGTTATTTAAATCCATCTGATGAGAGAGGTAGGAGACAAAAAAATCTATACTCTTTCAAAGACTGGAACCACATGACAAATGTGCCATCGGAAAGACCCCTAATGACCTTGTCAATGTTATTATTTCAGCCACAAGTTCAAAGAAACAATCAGTAACACAATCTATAAGTTATGAATATTATACATTCAATATTTCATGTATTCTGACGTAGTGCAAGCAGTGAGAAGAGCAAGACAAAAATTTGTAGAAATAAAAAAATTAAAAAAGACAAATATAAAGAAAAGCATGCTAAAGCATAAGTACAAATGCAACGTGCACACAGATATATCAAATATATCTTGTATTTTTCTGAGAAAGATTAGATTTTTTAATAGATTTTACATTAATTTTTTTACATTATTAATATCAATCTTCTTGTTAATTCGCAAGCAGTTACGTGTGTAGCATGAAGAGGATATAATACTAGTTCGATTATGTATAATTTTCTTTGTTTTAATTATTTAAATAACTATTACAATAGTACGTTACCTTTGCTTTGAGCTTTTCAACTTCTTCATCCGCTATTGCAAGTTTATACTGACTCTGCAAGCAACCAACGAGACACATAGCAAAACAAAAACAAAGAAAATCAGTGATACACACCGTGCGATTGCAGTAAATTTACATATGTGACACCCACGCACGCGGACTTTTCATTTACATAGACACAGAAGAATGTACAAAAAAAATGCGCCATATATCATAAAAATACAATTGCTGAAAACATAACTATATATATAACTTATATATAACTACAAAATACATATTATAGCTATATATATAATTTATACGTAACTATATATAACTATATTAATAACTATTTACAAAAAATATTAACAAACACTACTACACACATATACATATCTAAATAAACAGATGAAATATCTTGCTAAATAAATTTGTGAGATAATTTTGGAATAAAAGAAAAAAAAGATACATTTTCTGTGATTGAATATGAAACGTAAAAAACGTAAGCGATGATCAAACGAGATACCTCTTGCAAGAGCAATCTTAGACTGTCTACGTCGCTTTGCGTAGTGGCAGTGTGTTGTGGCATAGATGAGCTGAGTATCGGAGATCGGCTGCGACTAGAGGGTGACAGGTAGTTCTCGATGGGACTGTGAGTTGGTTCCCCTTCGGAGCAGGAGGACATCGCCGGGGAACCGGGGATCCCGCTTATCCCGCTGCCGATCGAGATATCTTCGCTGCCTCGTTGACCGTCCGGGGAAGCATCGGAGAAGTTGAGTTTCCTGGTTCACAATAAATGCCAATGAACGATCTCTTCCTTTTAATTGGCACATTATAGAATAATTTGCATTTATATATATATATATATATATATATATATATATATATATATAAAATCTCTTCTATTACTTTCATCCTTCTTCTCTTCTCTCTGATGTGTTTATATGCTAATGAATTATGTTTGTATGATTTAGATTTACAGGGAATTGCTGAAACTAATCAGCTATCATTTTTAATGCATGCAGTTACTGAGAAAACAATAGTGTGTTGAAAAGAGGAAAGTCTACAGTTTTTAATGGATATAAATCAAATGTTTGTACACCAGTTTATTTGATTGAAAAAAAGTAACGAAAAAAGTGCTATTATAAAATAAAAAATGACAGCTGATTAGTTTCAGCAATTTCCTATATGAAATATATCCTGTACCTGTTGGCAGCGTTTGCCAGCTCTCTTTCCTTGTCCGCCTGGAGGCTCTGTCTGATCAACATCGCCACTTCCGAATTCTTGGGGTCCCTCTCCCTGCCAATTACGAATCGCACGAGACCGGAAGTGTTCCTCAGCACACTGGCGGCGTAAGCCTGCGTCACGCCGACCAGACTCTTCCCGTCGACCTCGACGATCTGGTCGTTCACTTGGATCCGTCCCTCGCGTGCAGCCGCACCCTTGTCCGTGATAGTTTTCACAAAAATGCCCAGCTTCTCCAGACCCGCGTCCGCGCCCACGCCCATCCCGATTATGCTGAGACCCAGGCCCTCCGGGCCCTTCATCAGCTCGACTGGGAATACCTAAGTTGTTTTTTTCTAATTAGTAGCAGCGCAAGCATGTTTTCAATTGAAGAATGCTTAATCGAAAAGAAATAAAGCTTATCGCTGGTTCCCTCAGCACTCCAAGATGCCTCGAGCTCTCATTGGAGTGGCCAACAAGTGTCGTCATGGAATTTTAGCGAGCAAGGATAGATCATCATCATCATCGGGAACGCAAGAACTTTCAGAGATTTTATACCGAATCGTAATAAACAATTCAGACCAACAATTTACTGAGAATTGTCTCTCTGAGTTCTAACCCGCTATTTTTCTTGTTTTCTAATAAAAAAAAATTCTAAACAATCAGGAAAATCGTTCGCAATATTACCTCCATCTTCTCAACGCGTTTCTCCAATTCGTACTCTGCGCTAGCTGCGACAGGATCAACGTCCTCGTTGCGACGATCATATTCGTTGACCGAATGCGTGGAGTAAACGCGCATGGGTCCAGTGTCGAAGGACACCTTGGTGGTCTTCTTCACGGGTATGGTGGTCGGGTAATCCTCGTCGTCCTCGTCGGATTCCGGAATTCCCGCGACCTCCATCCAAAAGTGGCCATCCTCGAAGTAATGCACGCCATTTTCCACGAGTACCTGAACAATCCAGAGATTTAAGTTCATAGAATTCTCCTCAAGTTTGATCATCACCAAGAAAATCATCGAAAAATATATACTTTCTACTTCATATTTTTTGTAAGAAATAATATAATGAACTTTCTAATAACAATACTAATAATGTTTAAAAAAATATATCTATATAGGTTTTTTATTCATTTGTTCACTAATTTTTTTATTACTTTTTGTGATTTAATCTAGTTAAAATATATATATATATATATATATGGATATTGATAGTGTTCTATATTATAATATATATTACTATTTTTTGTTCTTAATATTTTTGTAAAAATAACATAAATAAAATGTCTAATAAAAAAACTAATAATGTTTTAAATATATATATATATTTTTTTATCAATTTGTTCGCTAATTTTTTTATTACTTTTTGTGATTTAGTCTAGTTAAAAAAAATATATATATTGATAGTGTTATAATATATATTACTATTTTTCCTGGAGTCGGAATGTATTCATCCTGATGCTCGGTTTCGGTGTCGTCATTAGCCTCCTGTGTGTCGTTCAAGCTGCTGACAGAGCCTAGGAGTCCGCTCTCGCTTCCAGTCACTGATCCTATTTGGCTCTCCGTCAACGAGTCGATTGTCAGGTCACTGCGGGATCTTTGGGACAGGCTGAAACAGAGATAACGACAACGAATTAGCAACAAAACCGCAATTAGGATCTTAAGTCGAAGAGAATCTTATCAACAATTCTAAAAGAGATGGGATCCAACATTATCCAAGAGTGAAGAAAAAGTATCTAATATTCAGGACTATAAAAATTCTAGGAGTACAAATATCGAGTATTCGGGAGAAGTCGAGGATCAAAAAAAAATCTTAAAGTTCCTGGAACCTCGCCGCGGCCAGATTGTGACGTCACATGCTGCTTTCTCACCTCTGACGTCACAATTCCAACACAGTCAGTGAGGAGCCAGGAGCCCTAAAGGTTCCAAAATCCGTCGCGAAAAAACTCTCTGAAAAATATCGATAAATAGAAATGAAAAATGCAAAAGGGGAAGAATAAAGTGCAAAATAAGAGGGCGTGAAAAAAAATAAGCTCGTTCACCTATAATCATGAGTGGCGCTATTGATAAGACTGGAATCAGGAGCAGACAGGACATCGGACAGCCAATCGGGCGTGTTGTCCTGTTGGTCGTCTCTGCTATCCTGTCCTTCCTTATTCTTGTCATTAGAAATCCCGTCATCACCTGCCATCGCGCCATCGACACCGGTGGGAGACAGCAGCCTCGCTATCTCCTGCGCCTCCTCGTCCGATAGCAATGCCGAACCTTGTCTAATTTGTACGTTCACTTTGTCATTCAACTTTGCTTTTACCAGCCAACAATTAGCGTCGTCGCTGACAACTCAATCAATCTCGCGAATTAAACCCGACAGAAGCAGTCGTATCATGATTTCGAAGACATTCTATCATTTTATTTTCACGCTTTCATTTTTATTTAACATAACTTTCATTTGATTAGCTTCTTTTTCTTTTACAAATAATTTTTTTGTATTTTTATATTAAAAATATTTTATATTAAAATATTTTTATATTTTTATATTAAAAAGACTTTAATATAAAATATTATTTTAATATAAAATATTTTTATATGAAAATATTTTTATATTAAATTTTTATATTAAAAATATTTTAATATTTTTTTATGGGAAGATAACTGAAGAATATTTTAATCTTGTAAATATTATAAAATGACATACCACCTGCTTCTGTGGTCTAATTACAAAATAACAAATTGCAATGTACTCACCTGATCTTTTTCTCTAAGATTCTGCATAGGCCAGGGGGCGATCGGGAGATTTGCATTTAAATAAATACGAACGTATTAGAATCGAAATAAAAAGAAACAAGGTCGTTAATATTAAGCTTTTTAAATCAAAAGTTACAGTATTAAATTACCAAGCTGCAGCGCAAAACAAATATTGAATATAACATCATTCCAGAAAAACACCTTTTCTTTTCATAAATAACTGATATTGATGCATTAATATATAAAATAAAATTGTCTAAAAACGCGTCTCTAAATTGTTATCGTCGGACTTCTCGTTTATAAAATTGCAAATGCATTCTAACACATCACAGATGAAAAATTCCTCTTCCCACTCGCATAAATCACTCACCGGGAGCTCAGCAGGTTCTCAGCCTCGTCCGGAGTCATGGTGTCCGGCGTCACCGGGGTGATGTGATTGACGGCGGTCTTCGGAGAAACCTCCGTGATCTTGGGAGAATTATTTTGCATCTCCAGGCACTCGAGATTGGTGACGGTCTTAGTGTCGCTGGAATCGCTGTCCTCGATCTGGCTGCTCTCCGAGGCGGAATGCTCGAGGGATTTCCTGCTCGCGGAATGTTTCTGCGAGAGCTGCGCATTAGCCGCCACCGGCGAGCCCTGGTTGTTCAAGTTCTCCGACAGTCTGAGCTTCGCCAGCTCGGCCTTCTGCTTCTCCTGCTCCCACGTGGTCTGGATCTGCTCCGTCGTCGCCTCCGTCTTCCGGTTCAGCACGTTGTTCACCGCGGCGATGCACTCCTTTCGGTTGCCGATGTCGGAGTTGGCCAGCTCCGTCGTGTACTTCTTCTCCTCATCGTTGCTCTCCTTCGCGATAGACCCGAAATTGTTCATTTCCTGGCCGCGATTGTTCACCCGATCCACGCTGTCGATCTTGCTCTCCGCCTCGACAAAGCTGGAACGCTTGCCGGACACCTCCTCCCTGTTCTTCGCGATCTTCTCCCTCACGCTGATCTTGATCTGATCATTCTTTGCATTCGAGACGGTCTTCTGGCATATTCCATCGCTGCTGGGCTTCGTCTTGACGTCCTGCAACGCCTCCCCCGATGTGGAATTCATCTTTATTGCTTCCGTAGTACCTATACTGTCATTCTTCATTTCTACACTTGGTTTAGTTTTGCATTCGACATTACTCTGCGAAACTATGTCTTCGCTCTGCAGCTTTTTAGCATACGGAGAAGGAATAGGGATATCCTTGTGCTCCAGCGGAGGATACTCCTGGTCAGAACTGATGACAGAGGGCGGACGTGGACCTAGACCAGCTGCCTGGAGATCAAGACGCACGTGAGAACGTCGAATCACCGTAGTTGTGTCCGTTTCGTTAAACTGGAACTGATCCTTCTCAGAGAAGCTCTCCATGTCCGAGATGCAACTTTGATACGTAGCTGGTTTCTCCTGATCCTCTGTCTCCAAGTCATAGCTATTGCGACCTGGTTTTGAGAAATCAATTGGGAATATTAGAAATACTGAAGAATTAACTCTTATTACGTTATAACAAATATTTATCAAAAGTAAAAGTACCTCCACAATCGATGCAAAGCAATCGCAGGCACATAATTTTTTGTTTTTGGAGTATGTAGAGCTTCGACAAATTTCATGTATAAATGTTGTATTATAGTCTTGTATATTTTTGCAATTATAGGGTATTATCACCAGAACAGAATATAATCTCCATCTTAATTAATTAAATTGTGACAAAAACTTGATAGTCTTATATTAAAAGAGATGTAGATTATTTAATAGAATCCTATTCAACTTTATTTCAAGTTATTTAAATAAATGATTAATTAATATGTATTTATATCGAAGTAGCAAATAGTATCCAAATTATTGTACAACTTTTATTCTATATTTATATATTGTTTCTACAGAAAAATATATATTTACATGTTAATATTTAATTCTCTATTTAAGTTAATTTACTAATACAGAAAAAATACTCAGCATAAAAACTTTTTAATGTTTTCTCTTGTAATATATTGTTCACTTCTCATTTTATTTCTTCAATTTATACATAATTTTAAAAATTTATTAGTTTACTAATTTATATAAGAAATATATTATATATAAAATTTTAAATAAAGAAATGTTTTATGTGTACACATAAACCTACTCCTTGCTCTCCCAAAAAATATTAACATATTCCAAATTTTGTTATATATATATATATATTTGTCAACAATACTAATATTTTCTATTTTCAGAAATTTATATATCGTGTGTTCATATATCAAGGTATTTTACAAACTTGCCGTTTATAAAATGCATTACAACTCATTCTACTGTCAGAGAAGTCATTACAGTAATGAGAAATTTGCTTGGAGCACAACATTGATGATTTTGAAATTCCAAAATTCGGCGAAAAGTCCCAGAGACACTTTTGCAAAGTAAGTAAACGCGACGAGAGGCACGAACGTTTGGCCGCTGGACAAGCTACAGAGTGATTTCTATAAATAATACCGTGGCACACCGGTAGGAGAAGGCGACAGAACGGAAGAGAGGGAGAAAAGGAAGGGAGGAAGGAGGCTTGTGTCTGATACTTTTACTTTTTGGCATTTTGGCCCACTGCCATCTCAGCCCACGACAACGAAAATCGTTTGGCTTCACCAATATTTCGCGAAAATGCAGCAAAACAAATTACCTATCATATTTTAATTTATCTCATGTAATGTTTTTAATATTCTCATTATTATTATGGTTCTTAATAATTTTAATTAATATATACACATATAAAATATTATTAATTTTGAGTAATTGATTAATTAATTTAGGATAATAATATAAAATTATATATATATATATATATATATATATATATATATATATATATATATATATATTAAGAACCATTTCATATAGCACAAGTTTGCAGCAATATTGCAGAAATATTATATAGGCATAATTTTTGTAATATAGTTTAAACAACGTTGCAGCAACATTTCAGAAATATTATGAAAATAAAATTCACGCAAAAAATATTAGATACAGGCCATTCAGTCCGATCAAGTATTTGGCACATTCCCAATAATCCAATAGTAATATTACATATTTATATTGCATTATTGCTGCAATGTTATAGAACAATATTACTGAAAGCGGACATTTTACCGTTGCTGCAACCTTGCAGCAAGATTGCTGCATCATTTCACAATGATGTAATATTGCAATGAAATGTTGCCACAATGCTGCTGCAATCTTGTTGTGCTGTATGAGATAATAATGCACGAGAATATTAAAAAAAAAAATTTCTTCTAATATCTCATATAAATCACCTGTCTGATGCTTTTCCGACATTTCCTTCTCCGCCTTCTCCTCCTTGCTGTCCTTGGAGGGCGAGCTAGGCGAGCTCATGCTGGACGAGGCGCTGTCGGTACCCGCGGAAGGCAGACCCAGTTCGGACTCTGGAGAACGTATCAGTTCGGCGCCCTTCTTTTCATCCGCCACGGTGTCTTTCCTCTTCGCATTCGCGTTGGGTCTGGCCCAATCGGGTCTAGGATCCGGCCTGACGACGTCGCCACGCGCCTCCGTCTCCTCCTTCGACGGAGTTTTTACGTCTTTGAAATCCACGGTTCTCTTCAGGATCTCGTCGTTCTTCGCCAGCCACTCGTTCCTCCACTCGGAAGTCTTTGCCGGCGAGTGAATCGGGCTGGGAGGACAATTGAAATACTCCGGCGCCTCCAGCAGATCGCTCTCCCTCCTTACTAAGACGTTATCCGTCGAGACACTTCGAGTTGGACTAGAAACCTCGTAATGCAATACTGACGACGACTTGGTTTGCTCGGAAGAGTCCTTATTGAATTCATTTGTAACGGCAGTTTTCGATTCCGCAGCTTTCTCTGCGATCGTCGAGCTTTTTGTACCTTCTTTCGATCCTTCAGTCTTTTCTCTTGAGTCCTCTATTGGCTTAGAAATCGTACTTCTGAATACTGGTGCTCCATCCGCAGATGCGGAGTGCTTCGAAGCTTCTCTCGAGCTTTCCGTCGACTTGGAAATCGCATTCTTACCTCCTTCCACAACCGGCGAGCCTTTTGAACTTGGCACAACGGGTTTGGAAATCTCCTTGGCATCCTCCGCTGGCCTAACGACTATAGTTTTGCTTCCCGGAACTGCATCTACAGATGCCGAGCTCTTCAAGTTCTGCAAAATGATCTTGGGGATGTCCTTGGAGTTCTCCGTAGATTTGGAAGTTACAATTTTGCTCCCTGAAGTGGCCTCCGGAGTCGCCGCGCTCTTCTGACCCGCACCGACCTTGGAAGCTTCCTTCTCCGCTGATTTCAAACCCGTCTTGGGGGTCTTCTGCACAACCGCATATTCCGGCAACGCGGAATCTTGAGCCTTAGCAGCGTCTTGACTCTCCTTCGCGGTGTCCTGGTGCTTCTTCGTTTTCTGAACGACGGCGTACTCGGGAATACTCGGCGAGATGTCGTCGAACCTCTCCACCGTCGCGTATTCCGGGCTCTCCAGTAGGTCGGACGGGTTGATGGCGATACTAGCCGGTCGTTCTCTCCTACCGACCGCGGACGAGTTCCGGACAGGCGGTGGCGGCGGTGGAGGCGAACGTGCCGAGCAGAAGCTCGCCGACCTGGTGGCCGGATTGGTGGAGTCGTTGACGCCGGTCGCGCTCACCGTCGAGCTCTGACAGGCGTCTACGGACGCCGACTGCGGAACCTGAGCGTTCTGCGAGTTCAGGGACGTCTGGACCAGCGAGCGATTCGGATCGGAGTTGTAGCGACTCGGTCTGGTCTTGGAGAAGTGGCTGGTCCAGTTTCTCTGCTTCTCGATCAGCTCCTTCGAGTTCGGCCGACGTTCCGGTTTCTCCGGCCGTTCCGGACGGTCGTTCTCTTTGTCCAACGTCCGCTCGACCTTGCTCGCAACGCCGGGACGCCGCTCCGGGGCGCAGTGGCCGTTCTCGAAGTGCCGCTCCGCGTTCAAAGCCGGCACGCTGGCGCTCCACGTGCTCAGATGTTCGCGACTGCCCGGCGGGGAAGGTGAACGAGGTCGCGGTGACCTCGTGGGAGAGGTGCACCCGGAACCCGAGTTCGCGGAGCTGGACCGGGACCGGAGACCGTGCAAGTTGTTGGGCTTGGTGACCCGGTCGACCCTATTCAGCAAAAACCAGAAAATTAATTATGAGAAAAATTAATAACAGAACATTATGTAACATTATATAATATATTATTTATACATATATCATGTAATAATATACATACAAGGTGTCCCATAGAAATTGCTAAAAACTAATCAGCTGTGATTTTTTAATTCATGCAGTTATTGAAAAAACAAAAATTGTCTGCAGTTTTAAATAAATATAAATAAAATTTATACCAGTTTATTTTATTGATAAAAAGTAATGAAAAAGTGATAATAATCACATAAACTAATACTAAAGATTTAATAAGACAGCTGATTAGTTTCAGTAATTTCCTATGGGACACCCTGTATAATGTAATGTAATGTAATAATATATAAATATAATGTAATAATAAATTAATAATATATAATATATAATATTGTACATAATATATAATATATAATAAATAAATAATATCTAATATATAATAATGTAATAATAAATGTAATAATATATAAATATAATGTAATAATAAATTAATGAGAGAAAGAGATTAATTTGACAAATGGATTTATGTGATTATAAATTGATAAAATCAAAAACCTCTGATCAAAAATGAAATAAAATATAAAACCGATACTATTAATAAACCTTGATGACATAATAAATATAGGATAAAGATATCATTTAAAAAAAAGATAGAATTTAATTATTCAAACACTTACGGTCTGTTCGATTTGTTTTCCTCGCCGAGCTTCTCGAAGAGAGCTCGAGCATTGTTAAAACGTGCCACATGACTCTCCGTTCTGACTACTGTTACTTGCGTCGGGGATTCTTTCAACGGAACAGCTGGCTCCTTAAATCCCTCCGACATAATATTGTTCGTCCTATGGCTTAGATTGTCCAATTGCGGCTTGGACTGGAAGATGTTTGCGATGGCTGACACCTTGGAGCCACCGACACGTTTCTTTTCTTCTATAGCTGCCATGTCTGGCGGTAACTTGGGACAAGAAAAAATTATATTATTTATATTTTTAATATTGTTTTTTATTATTTTACATTTTATACTTTAATTTATTAATTTTTTTAATTATAATATAAAATTTCGCCTCTTCTTTCATAGAATCTCAAGATGTTGCTATCAAATTTTGGGGAAAAAATGTGTGAATTTATGTATTAAACATATTTAAAAAAAGTTAATTATTAACATCTGTTAGTATTTAAAAAAAGATTTGTTTTGACAAAGCATTTGACCAAATGTCAAATTGAAAGTGACCAATTATCAGTATGTAATAAAATGCTGTATTGATATCTTACCTTGCTAACAATAGATATGCAATTATGTATAGATGCTAATTATTCAAGCGTTTCAGCCCATTGTCATTCATGCGTTTCATTGCAGCAACTTCTACAAAAAGAGAAATAAAAAATATTAAATCTATATTTTAATTAATAATTATTAAAGATCATTGATTAGAGTATCTAAACAAGTATATGTTTTTTTTGTTTGTACAGGCGTGTATGTGTTTTTATACAAACTCATATTTATACATTTAACTATTACTTAATAAAAAATAAGTTTTGTTTTTCTTATTTTAATTTATTTTGTTATTTTTCAATAAACTTTCAATTATATTTTTTAGCTACAATTTAAGTTTGACTCGATTTAATCAATTAAATGAATCATATTAAATTATCAAATGCTATAAATAATATGTATACATTCGAAAATAAATTTTGATTGATATTCACAGTTGAAATCTGTATTTAGATATCATGTCTTTGTGCTGTATCATAAAAACACATACTTTCCACTACTCGTCTATAGCTATCACACATTAGCACAGTCAATTGGATTTCCTGACCTTTACAGAATTCGAATATCTACCTTTCCTAGAAAATTAATACCACACATTTCTTCTTCCGAAATTTAACTTTTGTTTAACATTCTAAAAATAAAATAAAAATAACTTAAAATAACAAAAATATAAATAATATACTATAAAAATAAAAACAAAAGAGAAATTCAAAATTAAAATCTTGTACCATAACTATAAACATTATTTTGTATAACAAATTATTGTGTGCGAATAAGAAATAATAATTTAATAATTAAATTCAATTGATATAATAATTCATGTAATAATTGGACTTTGATAAAATGTAATCAACACACACAAATTTTTAAATAAATCTCGAATTATTATAAATTCACAGAGTATCAGAAAAAAAATATCAATAAAAGCAGAAAAATTGAATGATACAGATATAAGATATATTATAATAAGTAGGTCTGTCTCTCTTGTCTGGGCTTCAAACTCTCCTCCCATAACACACCATACTATAGCAATCAATACTTGAGTGTTGTTCCTATGGTAGACAGGTGTGAAAAAAGTTTTAATTTTGCATCACACATATAATTATCGATGTGATGGTAGATTGATTTATATTGTATGGTTGAATGATGCTTATTATGGAATTCATTGACAAGTGCTGTATCTAGAAAGATATATGCTAAGTATTTATATATATATATATATATATATATATATATATATATATATATATATATATATATATAAATACTTAGCATATATCTTTCTAGATACAGCACTTGTCAATGGATTCCATAATACAACAACAAATCTATATATATATATAGATTTTTAATATTTGTTGACAATAAGTATATCTATACACAAACACACACATAAACACAGCTATCTATACTCCTGTGACTCATTAATGCGACAAATTTAATTTTTCCTTGTTTTTTCTTTAATATATATTAGAGTAATAATAAACAAGCAGGTTTCAGTTATCTAACCCAAATATCTAATCATAGATATCGTATAAGATAATATGATATCAATTAAACTCTAATAACTATGAAATGCATAATGATACTTGATGACTTTAGTACACAAAAATATTATCTTAATTTCCATTACAGAAAACACATTTAATACTTAAATATTCTTCAACTACAAATTGTCTTCAACTTTCACTGTTCTATTAATAAACTTACAAATTGATAAAATAGCTCAAATTTCAATGTCAAATTTCACAAATTTTGACTATTCACAAAATACTTTTGCAATTATCAGCGAGTATCTTTCTCAATTTTGCGAATTCTAATAATAATTTTTTAATCATTCATTAAACAGCTATATCTCATCAGTAAACGTGATTCTATGAAAGTAACAATTTTAAATGCAGCAAAATCAAAATATCACGAAGAATTAATAATACAATTTTCATATATCCATTGATTCTACAACCTTCTTAAAATAAAACTGCTGCGCTCAACGTCAAACATCAAACTTCCAGATTGCATTATACAATTCCACTGTCGCTGTGATATAATTTCCAATAATCTCACAATAAAAGAACAAGATTGAAAATGAAACAATACCTATCTGCAAATTCATCAAATATACAAAAGGAAACAAGATTTTTCAATCCACTCTTCCCTCATCATCAATTACTTGTAAATTACTACCCAACTTCACACAGCTTCAACTTATGGTGTCCATAAAAAAAGAGAAAAAAAATCTCAATACACACAAACGCAATGAAATGCCAATTAAAGTAAAAAGTCGGCGCGTCATCTTCGTATTCGTGAAAATCGCCAGAATTTCATGAAACAAAACACCTTCCCAATCGCCATTACACCCCATAGGATGGAAGCCTCCCCCCTATAGGATGGAAGCGTCGCCTCGCCGGAAGTACCGCGGGAACGTCGTCGTCGTCTTCGTCGGCGGCGGCCTCGGCGTCATCCGGAGCCGCGGAAGCTTCGGTAAACACAAAGCGCGCAAAAGTCACGGATCTACTTTTCCAACTGACCCGGAAGACGATGTCACCATGTGCGCCCGAGCATCTCTCCTCTCTCTCCTTCTCTCTCTTTCTCTCCCTCCTCTCTCTCTCTCTCTCTCTCCCTTTAATCGGCACAAGCCGCACGAGTCCGCACGACTCCGCACGAGCACGCACGAACTCTTCCTCGGGAGCGCTCCTCTTATCTCGCCCTTCCTCGAAGGGCCGCGCCGACGAGAGGAGTTCGCCGAACCGTTCGCAATTCAACGTTTAACGTCGTTAACGAGACGTGATCGCCGTGACCGGCGAGCTAGAGCGACGTCGATGCCCCACACACATAACACACAACATCGCATGTACACACATACATACATAACACACACACACACACACACACACCTGTACGATCTATCAAATCCTCGGTTTTCGCGACGTGCCGTTCCGCATCGCGGACACTGCCCGACTGCCTCGACGACTGCGCGAGATCTACCAAGATGGCCGACTGCCATGCTTGTTTCTTCGAAAAAAAACCCTAGGGATTTTTCGAATTATTTATTCTTAATTTCTTAGAGATTTCTCGAAAATCCCTAAAAAATTTTAAAAACATTTTTCTCAACAATGAAGAACAGACCCCCCAGTGATTTTTTTAAAAATCCCTGGTAATTTTTTTTTAAATCTCCAGTGATTTTTTTTTAAATCCCCGATGATTGTTCAAAAAATCCTTCGATGACTTTTTTTTTTAAATTCTTTGGTGATTGTTCAAAAAATCCCCCGATAATTTTTCAAAAAATCCCCCGATGATTTTTCAAAAAATCCCCCAGCGATTTTTCAAAAAATTCCCCAGCAATTTTTCAAAAAATCTCTCAGCGATTTTTCAAAAAATCCTCGCTAATTTAAAAAAAAATCCCCGCTAATTTTTAAAAAAATCCTCGCTAACTTTTAAAAAATCCCCCGGTGATTTTTCAAAAAAACCCCCAGTATTTTTTAAAAAACCCTAGTGTTTAAAAAAACCCTAGCGTTTTAAAGAAATCCCCTAGCGTTTTTAAGAAACCCCTGGCGAGTTTCAAGAAAATTTCCCCATAATCATCCCTAGTGATTTTAAAAAATTCCCTAGTGTTTAAAAAATCCCTAGTCTTTTTCAATATTTTTCTGAAGAGATGCGAGAAGGCCGGGATGCCGGGAAAGCACGCCGAAAAACGACACAAGGCACAAGATGGCGACCGCCGTAACCGGAGTGTTTCGTGAGGAATTGCGCGATGCGATTTCAGGGAGCAAGGTGCTCGTCGTGGGCGCCGGCGGAATCGGCTGCGAAATCCTGAAGAATCTCGTGATGTCCGGATTCTCGGATATCGAGATCGTGAGTGGATGATGAGTTTCGATAGCCGATATAACCTCACTTTTTACGCGCGTACAACAGTTGACGTTTCTCTTCTTTTCTTATCTCGTGGTATATCAAGAGTAATGTTGACAATTTGCGGAAATTTGTATGCTAGCACGAATTATTCTTATACTTACTTGATTGTAGAATTTGTTTATTGTTGGAAATTAATTTTTTTGTATTTCAAAACATTGGTTTTCTAAAATTGCTTATTTTTTGTGTGATTTATTTTTGTTTCATTGTTTTTAATTTTATTTGTTTTTAGATGCGTTAATCACTCACTTTTCAATTTTATTGTATATTTTATTAACCGTGATTTATTTTTTGTACTTTAATTTTTACATGTTTTCATATTTATAACCATTTTTATAATTAATATTTGTAATGGATTATTTTAAATTAAATCCATTTGTTTTTTCAGATTGATCTGGATACAATAGATGTAAGCAATTTAAACAGGCAGTTTTTGTTTCAAAAGAAACATGTTGGAAAGTCGAAAGCCAGTGTTGCATGTGAAACAGCATTAACATTTAATTCAGACGCCAAAGTGATACATTACCATGACAGTATTACATCGTAAGTATATATTTTTGTTTTACATTTTTGTTTTATAAACCAATATTGATATCACATTTATTCGACATTCTGTGCTTGCAGACCAGAGTTTGGCTTATCATTTTTTAAGAGGTTCAAGGTGGTTTTAAATGCCCTTGATAACAGAGCAGCTAGAAATCATGTAAATCGTATGTGCTTAGCGGCAGATGTACCACTGATTGAATCTGGCACTGCGGGTTACGAGGGTCAGGTAGAGCTCATTAAAAAAGGTCTGAGTCAATGCTACGAGTGTACACCCAAAGCTGCGCAAAAGACTTATCCCGGTTGTACTATTCGTAACACACCTAGTGAACCTATTCACTGCATTGTATGGGCTAAACATCTCTTCAAGTAAGTGTTGTTACAATGTTTAATATACGCTGAAATTGTTTGATATTTTTTACTAATTGTATATTTTAAACTCACGCCATTCAATTTTACAATAATAAACATTGCAGTCAATTGTTTGGAGAAGAAGATCCCGATCAAGATGTTTCCCCAGACACAGCAGATCCTGAAGCTGCTGGTAACATTTATTATTCTATTATTTTATTTTATTATTTTATTCTATTCTATTCTATTCTATTATTTTGCTTCATTATTATTAATATCTTGAAATATATCAGTGAGAGGAAGTAATATAAACTTTTGGTATTGTAGATGTAGCAGGGGAAGGAGCTTTGCAGACAGAGCACAATGACAAAGGCAACATTGATAGAGTCTCCACGCGAGTTTGGGCTCAATCTTCCGACTACGATCCAGAAAAATTATTCACAAAACTTTTTCACGATGATATCAAGTACTTGCTAAGTATGGACAATTTGTGGAAGAAGCGCAGACCACCGATGCCATTGAATTGGAGAGAATTACCAGATGGAGGTATGTCATTGTCCTAAATACAGAAACATTTAAGTTGGGTGTATACACTTCCTGGAAAAACCTGGAAAACCTGAAATTCTCAGGGAATTTTTTTCTACTTTGAAAAATCCAGGAATACTCATGGAATTTATTTTGAACTCAGGAAATTTTTTTAAAAATTGCCCCTTCGATTTTATTTTCAAATATACCTTTAAAACATAAAATTTATTAGGTTTATATAAAGTATATTAAAATATGTTTTATTATATTAAAAAATTATGTATAACAAAAATATAATTGATTTAAAATTGTATTTAAAATTTGTTTAAATACTTTAATTTTACTTGGAATTTTGAACAAAAGTACCTGGAAAATCATGGAATTTATGTATAAGATTTGAGTATACACATCTTGATCGAGATTAATGTCTTAATTTTCTTTCCAAAGTGGCTGGATGCAGTAAGGAGCTTAATCAGCCTGGACTGAAGGATCAACAACGCTGGAGCATCTCCAAATGCGGTTCCATTTTTGCCGACTCGTTGAAACACTTGAGCCAGGCGTTGAAGGCTTCCCAAGAAAAATCTCTGGACAATCATCTGGTTTGGGACAAGGATGATCAACATGCCATGGATTTCGTCGCCGCGTGTGCAAACATTCGCGCGCACATTTTGGAATTCCCCAGAAGAGCAGATTCGATATCAAATGTTAGTGCAATAATCACTCCATTTACATTTATTTTTTTTTGCATATGGTTTCCTTTTTCTAAGATGTTAAAATATCTAGTCTGAAGCTACTATTCCTGAGAATTTAATTAATTTAATTCACTAATCTCGCACCTCTAGCTATGGCCGGCAACATAATCCCGGCGATCGCAACCACGAACGCTATAATCGCCGGCATGGTGGTCTTGCACGCTTTCCGTGTTCTCGAGAACAATCTGCGGGCCTGCAGGTCCGTCTACCTGCGCCTGAAGATGAACCACCGTAATCAACTACTGGTGCCGGAGAAGGCGGTGAACCCGCCCAACCCGCAGTGCTACGTCTGTGCGCCCACTCCGCAAGCCGTGTTGGCGGTCGACACCTCCCATATGACTATCAAGGAACTGGAGGAGCTGGTGCTTAAGAACAGGCTCAACATGATCGCCCCTGACGTCATGATCGACGGCACCGGCGCCGTCGTCATCAGCAGCGAGGAAGGCGAGACTGAGGGAAATAACGATAAGAAATTGGAAGAGTTGGGCATCAGGGACGGAGCGATTCTCAAGGTCGACGACTTCCAGCAAAATTACTCGCTGACTGTCTTTGTAGTTTATCGCGAGAAACCGGGGCCGAAAGACGACAGTCCACCGTTTTTGATACTAGCTGATAAGAATGCACTTAAACCGAAGGAGGACGAGGAGGAAGAAGAGGTAGAAGAAGAGAAAGCCTCGACGTCGAACGGACAGGTGAATGATTATTTCGAGAGATATTTGTTGTTGCTTTATTTTGATTATTTGTTTACTGATTTCTTTTTTTCTACGCAGAACATCACCGAGATATCAGATTCGATTAAAAAGCGCAAGAATGAATCTGCCGAATCTGAAATTGCGACCAAGAAACGCAGAGTGGAACATGATAATAACACGGATAACAACGACGACATTTGCATCATCGACAATGATGATGATGAACCCCGCGATAACTTACCCGAATTGAAAAAATCGTTGCCGAGGAAGCGGAAACTCTCCGAGGACACTGATTGTCTGATAGTGTGCGACGAGCATAGCGATTAGCTTCAGAAGCAAGAAAGTTTCATAATTTAACACGAGAGACGAAAGAACATTTGAAACAGAATGCGAAGATAAAGGACAAAAGGTTAACAACTTTTTCAAGATAATTAAATTGGAAATTATACTCAAAAATGAAATTTAAATGCAGAATATGGATATTTTTTTCTATTCGCTCTTTTTTCATTAAAAAGAGAATTGATATGACAATTTAGTTTTGTATATTCGAGTACAAATCGTAATGTATTAAAAGTATCATTAAAGAGTTCTTTTTAATATTATTATATAAAAAAACTAAGATTGTATTAATTATTATTATCGTTTGCTATTATAATGACTTCGATTTATAATTTTCATTTACCATTATAAAAGGTCGTAAATTATTCAATAATTAATAATTCTTCATAATTACACGATTAAATAATTTACCTTTACATAGTCTTCCTATAAAAAAAAATGTATATTTTTAAAAATTTATATACTTTTATTAAAAAGTATAAATCTTGTCCAAACCTCACAACTAAAATTTATTCTATATATATATATATATACAATTATAAAAAAGATTACATATTTTTCTCCTCCAGAATTTAATTGTATAAAGCAAAACTATTTTGAATCGAGTATTATCATTGCTCTATAATGAACTTATCTCGACTAAGAATTAAGTTTTTCTCTTAGCACAAGACAAATATTTATCTATCTTATAATCATACATCTCAAAATCCACTTGGTATCTTTCATACAGTCGCAGGACCATGTCAGGTGTCAGATCATGAAAATACTTGCATGTTACGTCAAAGTCAGTGATTCCAGTACGAGTGCGTTGCAACTTAGGCAGGTAGATCTTACTCTTGTCCAGTTTCAGCTTGGATAGAACGTAATTGATCTCCCCGAAAGTGTACTGGTCCAGTTTCAGGATGAAATTGTAACTCGTGTCGCAGACTCCGCAATGAGTATAATATTGGCCCCAGTGATCATCATCGTGATCTGTTGGTTGTCTCAGCAGCCATTCCAGGAACTCTCGGAAGCTGGGCACCACTTTTAATCTGTGAAGAGAGAAGCAGGAACTGATATTTTCTTATATATGAACCAATAGGAGATAATCTACGTATGGATTAGATACGTTTGCTATATGTGTTAAACCTTCTGTTTGTCAAAAATATACTTTGGAGGACGCTGCCACCCGTCGCGTTGGGTCGAAAGAGTTCCGGTCTCGAGAGATAAAGAATCTGACGAGCGTAGAGCCAAGATTGCGCTGTGTATCTGCTGTTGTCCTCGATACGGTCCCTGCAAGATAATTCGGTATCAATGTTTCATGATAATCTACGACATTAGGAATAATTAACAATGTATACTATAAATTTTATAACGATCGAAATCGATAATTTTGTTAACAAAGTTCTAATTTAAAATAAGATTAAATGATGTACCTATAGGATGAGACTAGTCGTTGAAACGGATGTCTGACGATGAGCAACTTAAAGACAGTATTATTGCTAACAAGATATTGGAGATCTGTCAAACTTTTTGGCGACAAAAAGTCCACTTCTCTGCAAATTGCGTGCTATCATTATTATAATATATATATAATATATATATATATATATAATTTATATATAATATATATTAATATAATATATATTATTTATATAATATATATATAATATATATATTATATATAAAATATATATATTAATATATATATTATTATTATTAATATATATATTTTATTTGTGAGAATTAAATATTTACGATATTTAATTAATTTATGAAAAATTAAAGTAAAATTAAAGTAAAATTTAAAAAATATATAATATATTAATAATTAAAATAAAAATCTTTATAAAACAAATTATTTATAAAAGATTGATATAGCTACTTGTAAAAGTTGTGACTGACGCGACGGTTGCTCATGTCGGAAAATAATTTGGTGAAGCTGGTAGATGCAACTTTGCGAATCCAACAATACAGTGATTTATGTTTAGTGTTATATAAAAAATGTCTTTTAACAAGAGGAGTTCTCAGTTTGTACTTTGCGCAGACGTTCGACACCTGTTTAAGTAGGGTCGCACTCTCCTATTAACCACAGGAAAACATTAATTTAAAATATAAATATAACATTTATAATATAAATTTTATATAAATATTATTACAAAGAAATACATGTCGAAATCCAAGATTGAAAAAAAGAGCGACATCGATTATTCTTTTGAATTTTATATTATACCTGAAAATCGATAGCTTCACCCTTCAACTCGTCTATCCGCAACATTTCCACTTCCGACTCGACATTCTTCTTAATTATTCTGTCTAGAGTCGAGAGTCCAAGTGTTTGCACCTCATATTTGATCGCTGTCAAGTTACCTATCGGTTCTTCTTCCAAATTAAAATTTCTCTTCACGTTAATTAAAATCAAACAAACGACGAGATAAAACGTAGCGCATAAACCGCACTTTAAAAATTGCACTTTAACAGACATTGTTAATACAATATAATTATAAATAAATTTGATGTACAGTCACGTGACACGCCAAATAATTTTGACTCGAAAAACTCATCGAAAATATTTAAAATTTATATAAATATTTTTATTATATATAAATTTTGAAAAATTAATACACATACATAATTTAATTAAAATTTGAAACATTATCTAATAATACTCTTTAACTGAAAGATGGCAAAATCACGACTGGTTTAACAACGCATCAAAATAATACTGCGAACGATAGAATCCTTCCGCACTTTTGTCTTCTGCCAGGACACACATCTGTTGGAGAGATTCCCTCTTTGTGTGGGTAGAGATAGATAATTCTTATCATCTGTTGACATTTCTCCTTTTTCCATTTTATTAAATACTTTGTTTTCCTATGAAATTATATCCAAATATCGAAAAAAACCATTTGCAATAAGGCAAAGTAATATATTGATAATTTTCTTATTTCGTTATATACCTTGTAAATAAATCTTCCATTTACATATACATAATGCAATACATATACACATATGTGTGTACATAAACACACACACATAAGAATTATTAAATTGAAAAAAAATCTTTGCTTAAATTTATTGAAAAATTAATTTCGTATTAAATCAAATAAAATTGTTGCTTTCATATTCGTTAAAGATTATCTAAGTATAAATATATAATTAGGATAAGAATACATACATACATACGCCCATACGCACTGATACATATACACACACACACTCACACAAACTGTGTCCAAAAAAAGAAATCGTAGAAAGAGAAAAAGTATCTCTTTTTACCGTACATAATTTTTATCGTATATTGTTTCTTTTTTGTAATCAGAGAGGAAGAAGGCGAAATATTCTTCGATATTATTGCATTTTGTTTGTGAAAAATTCATAGAAAGAATCGCGAATTTCAGTACTCAGTAGTTGGTACAAAATTTACTTAGTTAATCTAGGTTATTTTACAACAAAGAAAATGCCACTATCTATACTCCAGGCAGCTCGATGATTAATGATATAATTGAAGGCTATTGAAACATGATTCTTAATGGATATATGATTCAATCCGTCAATTCCCAGAATTCTTTATAGGCCTGAGAATCTATCCACCTTTGAAAAAGATATAAATCTTAGTATTTTAATTAAACTTAGTTATTTTATTTATATACAATTCAGAATTATATGTATAATTGTATATAATATACAAATATATACATATTTATTTTATATAATCAAATATATATAATTTATATAATTTATATAATTATATATATAATTATTTATATCTATATGTATATAATTTATATCATATTAATTTATATAAATTATATATAAATACAAAAAATCTAATTTTCTTATTTTTTAAACAAACATAGTAAACGATATGTCATTGTCCAATTTATCGATTAATTATTAGTAATAGTACAAGATTTGGGAATCGACGGACCGACAGGAAAATATTAGAGTGAATTCTTATCTGCGATCTCTATATCTGTGATGATCACGAGAAGAACGATGATCGCTGTGCCGACTATGACGACTGGCCGTTCTCCATAAAAACTCGTCGACGCTCCTTTCATAACTGCGTTTCTCCAGTGCTGACGCTGTCGCGCTGTAGTCCGGAGGCAGTGGCAGGCCATCGTAATATCTTTAAAAAATATATATTTTTTTAATCTCACATGTTACAAAGATTTTTATTCAATCAAATTTCTCATTTATTATTATATTTATGTTTAATATATATGTTATATTTTGTCATATTTAATAATATAAATTAATATACTTTGCTAATTAATATATTTTGCCATAATGTTAATTTAATAATAAAAATCCTATTGAATGATTTTTTTACTTATAGTTTGTATTCTGCAAGAAAGAATGGTTAAAAAATATGTAGTTCGAGAAATAATAAAAAATATATCATAAACATATATCAAAATAATAAAAAATATATTAATAAACGATTTTATCTGCTAGTTTGGTCGATTATTTCCATAATTTATAATAAATACTAGTGACTATAATTAATAATTTGGAATTTATTTAAAAAATATATCTTTACCTTGGCGGTGGAGGAGGTGGTGGTAGGGTATCGTATGGATGCGGGCCATAAGGTGGCAATGGTGGAAGTTGATGTTGCATAGTACGCATGTAATCTGCCACATAAGCCTCCGCAACTGCAGCAACACCTAGACCAGCTCCATAACCCCTGGAATGATTATTAGAATAAGTTAACTCGCGCATAAATTTGCGACGTGCAATAATCATTTGGAAAGTTATGGAAGTTATACAGGGTATCTCATAAGAAATTGCTGAAACTAATTAGTTGTCATTTTTTAATGCATGCAGTTATTGAAAAAAAACAAAAATTGTGTTGGAGAGTAGTCTGCAGTTTTTAATGGATATAAATAAAATGTTTGTATACCTACCAGTTTATTTTATTGAAAAAAAAGTAATAGGTGCTAATAATCACAGATTTAATAACAGCTATATAAAAGATCATCAATAATATTAAAAATGACATGGTAGAAAAATTTTTACGAGTTTTCATAAAAGAACAGAATTTTGTACAAATCAAATAATGCGCACTTCAAAAATATTTATCATTAATTTACATATGTGATTTTATTAGTACTTTTTTCCTTACTTTTTTCAATAAAATAAACTGATATACAAACATTTTATTTATATCCAATAAAAACTGTAGACTTTCCTCTTTTCAACACAATTTTGTTTTCTCAATAACTGCATGCACTAAAAAACAACTGATTAGTTTCAGCAATTTCCTTGGGACACCCTGTATATTAATTGAAGCTTTCAGCGCATGTCTAATCTCGTACTCTAATCGTACTTTGTGTAAGGTGAATCTCCTCGATTGAACCATGGTGTGTATCGGTAAGAGTGATCTCTGGAACCTCTGTGATCCCCCGCGGATCCTCTGGCGAGAGAAGCTAAACGCGATCTTGAAGTCAAGAACAGTCTACGTCCCCGTCCTCTTCGTAAAAATCTGGAGCTGCTTATGGGTCTCTTATCGCGATAACGCGATGACTTTACGATGTGTTTCCCCGCTTCCTTGGACTTTCGTAGAATAGGTGTCATCTCGATTCCTGCAAACAAGTATATTCTTAATCATATATCATATTAATATATATTAATATATATATATATATATATATATATATATATATTAATATATTAATATATAACAGTATTAATTTAATACACAAAATTGTGTATAAATATATTAAAATTGGATATAATATCTTACTAATATATTTTATATACTTTTCTCAAGAGTTACCTTCGTCTTCCGGAAACAGTCTGCATAATTCCTCGGCAACTCTAGGCTCGATTTCCTGACCATCTCGGCCGATTTTGACTTGCTTGCCATCGTTCCAAGGATTGTACAAATGTAATGTAGCTGTAAACGGTAATTCCTTTCTGCAGATCCAGTCAACTTTAAATACACCACCTAAAGCCTTTGCCGATAAGCCAGGAGGTAAAACCTGAAATGCATTAAAAACGTCGCGCTTCTTTTTTTTTTTTTTTTTTGCAATCTAAAGAACCAGATAATATATATTAAAATCAACCATATAAAAACAAATTACAATTATATATATATATATATATATATATATAATTTGTTCAGATTTGCATACCCAAGAAACTGGTCCAGCGTCTCTTCGTGATTCTGTATTAAGTCTCGCAAAACCAGCGAACTTTCCCGATTCCTTCACGGAAAATACCAGCAACACGTTTCGCGATTCTCTGTAGGCTTGATTCAGATTCGCTTCATTCTGTGGCAGCGTACTCCACACTCCCTTGGCCTTGGACAGGGTCACATTCTCCGCATTATTGGACTTGATGATGAAAAATCTGGCAAAAGAGACTTGAAAATATTTAGACACTCCAAATTTAGATATTTTTTTTGTTTTTTAAACATAATCTTTTAAAGAAATATTTACATTTGATACAAATACTATGTTGTTACGTATTTCTAACTATTTGGAAAGTTTTCTAGATATTTTCCTATCAAATATATAGTACAAGGAAATAAAAAGCTTTTCCAATAACTCTAAACCTTGTGATACCAGAATATATTTTCATGAAACTTGGTCGTATCAATGTAATAGCTATTTATTGTTGTCCCCATCGAACCTTGCATCTCTAAACAAGTAATTCAACTTGGTGGCATAGTCGTAGCTCTTGGTGGTTCCCTTGCTCTCCTTGGACCTGGCTCGCTTGGGCTCAGGACTGGACGACTTAGAATCTCTGCTGGATCTGCCGCGTTTGTTGTTTCTCCTGCTACGTTTGTTGTCACCACCGCGCGAGGACTTGCTGGAGACTGTGCTGATGGTGGGGTGGCTTGAATTGCTGGAGTTGGAACTGCTGGAGGAGACTTCGCTCCGTGTGTCGTAGGTCTCGTCAGCTGCGATCCTCAGCTCGTCGCCGTTGTCGTTCTCGCCGCAGCTGAGATTCAGGTTGTCGCCATCAGTGTTGCTGTCCATAGTCAACCCGGAGGCTCTGCTGATGGATCAGGCAAGGTTCGCCTGCAATGTAAACACGAGACAGGGCTTATTACTAAGTCACGAGCCAAGCTGGACCACTCCGGTAGAAGGTACGATGAAGTATCATAGCTTTTCTCGTACATCTTACGACAATAGCGCAGTAGCAAGGGACTATATAGTATACAGCAAGGATAGTTCGGGGATTCTGAATCGAACAGATGGTCCACACTGTCCCGAGAACTTTCGAGCTCTCTCTCCAGCTCTTTTACACCTAACACAAATCGACCAAGGGGACACATGACAACGGCTTGACCGAGCTAAGCTCAGACTGGGCTGCTCTACGAAGTGAACTAGGCTTTACGAACAGTTCTGGAGATTATGTAGTAACGTTAACACAGGCGAGCTGAACCCTCCGCAAGTGGAGAGCTGCTCTACGGAGAGTCTCTGTGAGGAGTCTCACGAAGGAATACTTTTTTCTTTTCAATTTCTTTTCGACTTTGCGAATCGCCTCATCCCTAGTGATTTATCTCTCGTAATCACTCCATTTCTGAAAGCAGAGATGAGTTAGGTCGGAGACGATTTTTTTTTTACTTTTTTTTTACAGCGTGAACGTTTTAACTTTTGCTCGGAAACTATAGAAAGAGTCTGTTAAGAGAATTTGCGGTTTTTTTTTTTTTTTTTTTTACTTCGGAATTTTTATTTTGCGCTCGTGTTTAGTTATCTAGAAAAAAGTTCGTGACAGACAATATACGAAAATTTGTGGCTCCCTCCCTCATGACTTTTCTCTCGATTTGTAAGAATGATTTTTTTCTCTCGAAGAAAAGTTTTTGTATAACTTTTTTACGAGTCCTTCCGAGGGCTCGCGACGCGCACACTTACGTGACACCCTTTGTCCCTTCACTGACACACTTCACACGATCCGTGTCCGACGCGATCCCTCATTCACGCGCACAAACACGATATGACACGATACGACGCGTGAATTTCCATGGAAGTCTCACGGACGCCCGGCGAGAATTCGCGAGAAATCCGAGGAAAACGGCACAGTCGTAAACAATCGCGCACAACAAATTACGGAATCTCAGAATCGATAGATTCACTCCCCGCGCAGCTGCGCCACGGAATAAATCAGAGCACTAGGTACACTTCGTGTCCGTGTTTTTCATCTTCATGCCAATTATCCGCCATATTGTTGATCGTGCAAGCGCGCTTTAATTTGAATAATAGAATAATAAAAATCACTATTTTTATTTATTATATATTAAATGAAAAGTTTCAATAAGAATTTTTGCTGTTAAAATATCACGCTATTCAGTATCGCGCTCCTTGGTTACGGCGTCCGGCGACGCGTTGCTAAGGAGCGAGCATATGTCAAAAAATTTGACAGAAAGTTGCAAAAAATCATATACCAAATATTGTGGCATATTTAAATAAATTTGCTATTTACAGTTTTATTATACATATATACATATATAATAATAATAATTTTAATTATAAATTAAATAAATATTATAATAAATTTATAATAAATTTATAATAAATATATATAATAAATTTAATTATAATTGGTGCATTGTGCTCTAGTTACTTATTCGATCTGGTGATATCAGTGTATGCGTTCTAGTGATTTTTTTATTAGCTCGCGCATGCGCGATCGAGCTCGAAAAAATGTAGATATGACTGCGATGTGTTGTTCAAGCGAGTGTCAAAAAATTGACATCGGGTTTAGATAGGATAAACTAATTTTTAGAAATATGTCATTGAAAGTAATTTGTACGGCTTATTATATAATTTTATGTTATTTAAATATTTCATAATTTAGACATACTTTTATATATTTTTATATCTTAAATTATTATTTAAATATATAATTGTTTATATAATTACTTGTATTTACATATATTTATTATATCTTATTTTTATTTATTTAATATTCTATCATATTTCTGTCTTATTCATATATAAATTTCAGCACAAGAATGAGTATCGCAGGTCCATTGATGACTATCAGCCTGCAGCTCCTGTCAGACGCAAGATTGGTCTATATTGGATCCTAGCTGCGCTAAGGATTGCTCTGACTTTTGCTCCACAGACAGGTTACATTCATCCAGATGAATTCTTTCAGTCCATCGAAGTTGTCTCTGGTATGTCACTGCTCTTTGTGTTGCATTCCAACACTCACTTTCTCTAAAACTCTGCTTTTTGTTTTCCTCAAACAGGAGACCACTTTGATATCGAGGTCTATAAGCCATGGGAGTTTAATGCCACCTTTCCTATACGTACTGTGTTCATTCCTCAGCTGGTAGTCGGTGTGCCCTATGGGTTTCTCAAGATATTATCTTTGTACACATTCCATTTCTTTGGATTGTCATTGAGGGGACCATACTTTTTCGTGCTTTTTCCACGACTCTTCATGTGTGCACTATCATTCCTGTCAGATTATTTTCTGTACAAGATCTGCTGCATGTACGGACAGAACTACAGAGTCAGACTCGTCACATATGCCAGTTCTTATATCATGCTGACTTATGCCACTCGTACACTATCCAACTCCGTTGAATTGGTGTTGACTGCTGCGTTGTTGTATTATGCTTCGGAATGTATGGCATATTCGGAAAAGGTACACCAATTTTTTTCCCCTATAATCAGATAATTGACTCTTCATATTTTGTTCTCTGCCATAACAAGTTTATTATATCACAGGTGGTGCTCCAAAGCGATTACCTTTCGAAGAAGTACAACGAAGCTACGACCGGAGTGGAACGTGTCAAGTACTACAAGCTCAGGGCAATGTTGCCCTCGCATTCACTGAACCACTGCTTTATGCTGGCTACAATAACGGTGATTGGGATATTCAACAGGCCGACCTTCGTCGCGTTTGCCTTTGCTCCAATTTTCTTCTGGCTGCAAAGAGGTCTGGGCTCCAGAAGCGTCGGCTTCAAAGATTTCCACATCAGAATATTTGTGTTCATTCTCTGCGGACTACCGACCGCCCTGTTACTCATCCTAATTGATAGCTTCTACTTCGGATATCTGACGACGGGTGAGATAGGCCAGTTGAAGATCGGGATGAACAATTTTGTGGTGACGCCGGTGAATTTCTTCAAGTATAACGTGAACACAAAGAATCTGGAGGCGCATGGACTACATCCTCGTTTTCTGCACCTTCTCGTAAACGTTCCACTGCTGTTCGGCGTCCTGGGCATCGTCGGGCTGCTGACGTTTACGAAAATGGTGTACAGGTCAGTCATGCATATATATCAGGCTTGGGTAACTATATATATATATATATATATATATATATATATAGTTAATTAGTTAAAAGTTAACAAGTTAATAACTTTTGACTTGGTTTTCTAAATTAATTTTTAACTTCAACTCATCAACATTTTTCTTTTTTTATTTATTTGTTATTATAAATTTGTAAAGAATTATAACAAACAAAATTCTAATTTAATATAAATAATGTTTTTAAACACTTTTGATTTAACTTTAGTTATTTTAATCTTAACTTTAACTGAATTAATTTTTGTTTATTCAACTTTTAACTTAACTAAATTAATTTTATGAGCAACTAACTTATCAGGGTTGGATAAGTTAATGATTTTTTAAAATTAAGTTGAGTTCAAGTTAATTGCTTATTAAATTAATTTAGTTAAGTTAAAAATTGAACGAACAAAAATTAACTCAGTTAAAGTTAAAAACATTATTTATATTAAATTAGAATTTTGTTTGTTAATTCTTACAGTATATATTGTACATATATATATATATATATATATATATATATATATATATATATATATATACACGAAAACTACATTCTATGCAAAATAAAACGATTAATTAACATCAATATTCGTTTGCAGCGCATTGAAGGCGCGATGGCTCCATCTACCACGTCTGCAGAGCATCGTAGGTCTGATGACCTGCACGTTCATCGTTCCGATCGCCTTGCTGTCTCTGTTTCCCCATCAGGAGCCTCGTTTCATAATCCCGGTGCTCTTCCCGCTGGTGTTCCTTCACGCACCCGAACTAAGTCAAGTCCCCAGTTTGGACATCGTCCGAAGATTCAACGATAACAGCGATGAATCCTCCAAGGAGCCTCCTCCACATGGCAGGAAACCCAGGAAGTTGATGCTCTGGTACGTCAGCAACCTATTGCTGGCTCTCTTCTACGCTTTTGCGCATCAGGGCGGAGTTTTCCCGCTGACGTCTCACATCACGACGGAACTGAGGGCTAAACCCCATCTCACACACGTGCACTTATATACTTCGTACAGTTATTCGCTGCCTACAGCATTACTACAGCTGCGAAACACTCATAGAGTCTACCGCAGCAGCAGCAATCACAAATACAAGTTGACGCAGGATTTCCATCTGTACGAGCAGGGCGCCAAGCCTCTTCCACAGGTGTTCGACAGCATCGCCAGGAAGATCAGGGACTGCGAAGAGAAATTCGCTGTCAAGAGGATACCTTATAGACTGTATTATGCGTTACCGGCCTCCGCGATAAGCGAGTTCGTGGAACTGTCGAACAACAGATCGAACATGTTTAGATTTCACGTAGTCAAGACTTTCTATCCTCATATCTCCATAGAGAGGTTGCCGTCTTTGCGGTGGTTCGACAGACTGGAAAATCTGTTAAGTTTGCAGAGCAAAGATATCTTTAACAACTTCGTCGAAGTTACAAAGGATGTTTACGAATACATTGAGCAGTTTAAGTTGCTATTGCTAAAAATCGAATATTTTTTGCCTGAAGTAAAGCAAGTACAATGAAAGAGCATAGTAAATAATAATGATTGAATAAATTTTAAAAAGAGAAATAATTTTTCCAGACGTTTATTCTATAAGGAAATATTATTATAAATAATTACAAAATAATGAATAAAAACTAGTCAAAGAAAAAGAGAACTTAAAGTGATCAATTGTTAAGAGCTTTATAAAGAATGTTGAAACTTAGCTTAAGCAATATACCAAAGAAATATATCTCAATTCATAAAAGCCATTACACAAACATACACACTCACGTACACAAAGGTATACTTTTTATAATTTTTTACATGCAATTGTAAGAATGTATCAAATCATTATGTGATACAATATTTAACTTAAAGTTAATTAATATAAAATCTAGAAATAAAACAGTATTAAAAAAATATTTAAAAATAGATTTTGTTTCTAATTTAAAACTTAAAGCTCAAAAAATTAGTTCTTTAAATAAAATTAATATATTGAAATAATGTATTGTTAAATTATTAAATTGAATTAAAAGCTTTCTATAATAATGAATCTGCTGAAATATTTTACAATTATTGTATTTGCATATAATTTGAGTTATATAATATTTATAAAATATATTCCACATATGTATAATGTGTGAAATATATGACATGTTCCATAAACATATAGGAAGATCATTAGACATTCAGAAATTTACGAAAAATTAATTAATAAATAATAAGAATACAAGTTTTGCATTTTTCTTGTTATTTTTATTTCCGGTTATTCTTTAACAAATTCTTTTAACAAAAGAGATATAATCTTTATAAGTATAACTTATTTTATTAAAATAAACTTATTTACTTCCCGGCATTCAATTTTTGATTAATACAAGAACAAATCTCTTTTCATTAGATTTGAGAAAAATGAATTTCTGTGTTAACTTAAAAAGATGAATCTTTTTAGAGTTAAGTCAAGAAGAACGAAATCAATTCCTTTTCGAGGAAATATTGTGCAGTGTAACATATTACAAATACAAAATGTATTTTATTCTTTTTTAATTGCACTCTTCATGTGTATGATAATATCCACATTTTTTAAGTTTAGAGTATTCAATGGAAATTCTTATGAACAAAAATTTAATTTATATATGATGGGAGGGTAAAAGAGAAATACGGGAATTTAGAGATCTCAATCATAAGATACAAATTCCCAAGTTCCTAATTAATTTTTCGCAAAAACATCGCGTTTGGCTCTATTGGCCGAGATATATATATATATATATATATATATATATATATATATATATAAAATGTAAAAATTTAATTTTTCTGATATAATTTTTTATCTGACGCATTCTTATTCTCTTACAAATTATATATTCTATCTTGTAAGAGAGAGAATGACTGTTTTATTATCAGATGCATAGATTGAGAGAATGCATATATATATATATATTTATACACATATAGAAAAATATATACACACAGTGTATCAGAAAAATTTCAGTAAAGAAAATTTTATATATTTAGCGAATTAAATGATTTATCTATTTACATGGAAGAAACAGATCACTTTAAGAAATTCTTTTCAATTCGCTGAATCCCTGAAATTTTTTCAGAACACCATGTGTAAATACACATTACAATTGAATCAGTACGAGGTATTTTTATTTTAGTATAGCTAAAATATATATTTTTTAATAAAGTTAATAATAAATTAATTCGGTATGTTATTAACATTCTTACAGTTTATTTGTAGCAGTCCTAATGTATACTAAATCGCATTTTTTTCTTATAGCAAAATATTTTTGTAATTTATAAAAATCTCGTTATTTAATCCTTTCAGAACGAGATTTATCGTCAATCAAAGATTAGCAGTACAGTAGGACATATTGTTTTTTTTTTTAATTTGAGTGTTTCTAATGTAATTAAAAATTGTCAAAACTGATTTTTATACTTACATAAAATTTCAGATTTAACTACAAAAGATATTAATAATTAAAAACAATTATTTGTAGATTTTAATGATATTACATATTTTAATTACCATAATTTTTTTCATTTAATTTATGTTATGTAATTTTTTATGTAGTTGATTAACATTTTAGATTATAGAACATTGATCATTTTTTTCCAAATTTTTATCCAATCGCAAATTTATATATAAATATTTTTTTATTGTTTTATTAATTTTATTTTTTTAAATTAACTAAGATGCATTTAGATGTCATTTTCATTATAAGTCCAAGGAAGCTCTTCATTAAACTTGCTTTGATAAGCCGCGTTTCTTGCCGCATATAATATCTGAAATCGTATATAATGCATTATTAATCAGCAATATAACAAAATATTTTTAAAAAATCATCAATTTTAATTAAAAAAATGTTTACTTTATCTTTGAATTATTCTATTCGAGAACTTACAGGATTATCAATATAAGCTTCGCAACCGTAGCACCAAACGGAGATGTCGCTGAAACTGAGCGTGATGGGATGCTCGTACTCCTGTGCGTGTTGCATCGCGTGCTGGTTTACGCTGCGAGCACAATGCACGGTGTAACATTGCAGGCAGATCCAATTCTCCGCGGTGCTACCGCATTCGACGCAAGGTAGAGTTACATCGATTCCATCTGGAGGAACCTCGTTCACCGCGGACAAGTGCGGGCAATCTCGTAGAGGCACCACCGCGAACATTTCCCCCGCTGTCAGAGCCTGTGTGACAAAGAGTGCTTTAGTTATTTTATTCATTCATATTCATTTTATATATATATTATTTTATATATTATTTTTATATATTATTTTATATATAAATTCGATGATATATTTATGTGATAATACGTGTCGGATCATCACCTGAAGATTATCGGAGAGGTAGTCTAGAAGGGTCGGTTGTGTTTCACGTTGTAGGGACGCTGCGCCTTCGTCGTCGTAATCCTCGCCTGTGCGAGAACTTCCTTGCTGACTGTCCCTAGACTGCTTCATCTCATTTACACACTTCTGTATACTCTGCGACACTGAAAGTCAAATGCATGCCTTACTTATTTTCCGATGAAATGCAATAATTATTCTAAAAGTAATTAAGTGTGATTTTAATAATATATATAATATAATATGTAATATAATATTTATTTTTAATATATAGTATATTAAAGTTAATGTATAATATTATATAATATATAGTGTAATATGTAATATAATATATATTTTTAATAATATATTATATATACCGTCCGACTTTTTAGCCTCGTCCTGTTTCGATCCAGAATTTCTCCTCGTCTCGTCCGTCATGCCTTTCGTAGGTCGCACTTCAGAATTCTTAATCTTAATATTCTCCACCTCGTTCGTCAACTTCAGAATTTCCTCGTCAGTCACCAGGTTCAGGTGATTCTTATCGATTGCTAAATTCAGTTCCAACTTCTCACTTTCGATCACTTCTAAGGCGATTTTCGATTCCGTTTGTTTCGGCTTATCTGCTATTCTTTCTTCTTCGTTCTGCTTAGTCAGGGGTTTCTTGAGTTTGGGCAGGAGCTTTTCTTTCGGCAGGGACATTCCATATTGCAGATTAGGCCAGAATTTCTTATGAGTCTTCAGCACGTTGTTGATGGAGTTGATCGCGCTGGCACAGGGGATCAAATTGGGATCCAGCATAGGCAGAGGATCGCCCAGGAGGGCTTTGGTGCACATCGTCATCGCGTGAGAAATGGAATTGATGTTGTAGCCTCCTTCAAGACTGAAAATTATGCGACCGTTCGCCAGAGACGAGAGCCAATGGATCAAATGACCGTAGAGCTCCGGACTTACCAGGCAACCTTACGAGATAAAAACAACTATTAATTCGGATCAGTAATTCATTAGAAATTGCATTTTTTCCGTAAGTCTTTATAGATTGAATATAAAATTGTATTATAAGTGAATACTTAATATTCAATAATTATCGTTTATATTATAAGATGCAATTTACCTCCAAGTGGATCACCTACGCAAGCATCAAATCCAGCAGAAACCAGAATCAGCTCCGGATTGAACTGATAAGCGATGGGCAGCACGACTTGTTGGAAAGCTGCTATGTATTCAGCATCTCCCATTCCTTTCTGCAAATATAATAAATAATTAAAATAAATATAATAAATAAAATTAATAAAATAAATGAAATAAAAATATAATTATATAAATAACTTTGAAATGTACTACTTGAAACACCCGACTTATTACTGTTTATTTACTTTATTCCACGGTATGTTCACATTGAATCCTTCGCCTGCGTTTAGACCAACGCTCGTATAATTAGCTGCCTTGGAATTTGGAAAGAAGCTTCCGTTGTCGTAACGATGAACGGAAATGTAAAGAACTTTGGGATCTTCCTCGAAGATGGATTGCGTTCCATTACCGTGATGCACGTCCCAATCCACTATCAGTACTCTAGAATACGTATTAAATATTATATTATACATATTGAAAACATTAGAATCACGATTCGATAGTAACTAGTTAATTAGTTATAAGTTAAATAAAAAAAGTAATTTTTAACTTGGTTTAGTTAATTAAAAATTAGTTAATTTTTAATTTAAAATAGTTATTTTTTTCTATAAAATTTTGAACATTGAACAACTAAATTTTTAAATAACGATTAAATTTTAATAACAGCATCATTCATATGTCATTCTAACAATATTATGAAATAAATAAAGATACTATTAGTTTATATTTTTTTCATAATTCTAATTACAACGAAAAATGCATTCCTATAAAAAAACAACATTTTTGGTTTTTTATATAAATTTTTAAAAATTTAAATTTAAAAACAAATAACATTAAATTACAATTAATTTATTAACGCAACTATAATGGTTTATAAAATTAATTTAGTTGAGTTAATAATTTAATTTAAGTTAAATCAAAAATTAATTCTTAAAATATTTACATTGAATTAAAATGTTAAAATTTTATAATTTAATATTTTATTTGTTTTAAATTAAAATTAAAATTTTTTTTTAAATTATTTTAATTTAGTTGAAAAAATAATTAAGACATCTAATCAGGGGATTAGAATACATATTAAATTTTCATAAAACATATGTTGTGGTATTGTTAGATAATTCACGACTATTCACAGAATTGAGCTGGAGATATCGTACCTCTTTAGATGATGAAACTGCACGGCGTATCGCGCAGCAAGGGCCACATTATTAAAGATACAAAAACCGCACGCAACATCTTCCTCGGCGTGGTGTCCCGGCGGCCTCACAATCGCTATTCCAGATTGGCTTTCCCCGTTTAAAACCGCGTCTACCATCTGTAAAAGGCAGCCGGCAGACACACAGGCACTCGACCACGTTTCGCTATGAAGGTAAACGGAGTTGTAATCCGACGCTTGTTTCTGCAATTCCTTTGGTTTTAACGTTGACGTCCTTTTGATGCTATCGATGTAGTCCTCTGAATGAGCCAGAGATAGCTCTTCTATTGTTGCGCTCCTCCCCTGTAGGAAAAAGAAATAATCATTTCTTTTTCCTTTTTAACTTTTCTCGAGATAGATAAAAATTTTTTAAATTAAGTTCAATATTCTTTATAATAAATAAAATATACTTTTTTTTAGGTATATAACACAGTTGAATTATCGTACTTGTAGCAAATGGCACCGTTCTAGCAGGCCATGCTTTTCATGATTCTTGTAAATGCTGGAGATACGAGCTGGCTTCTCCGGATGAGTATTGTCAGAAATATTGCAATGCTTTTGCATCTTTTCATCGTAAACGATAGACACTTTATGAGGCGCCTTATGCAACTTTGTAACTGAAAAATTTAATAGCTTTTAATAATAGCAATAATGAAATAAGAATATATTCTTGTCAATATACAAATATATATTTTTGACTTTAATGTATCATATTTTAAAATTTAAGTCTTTAATAAATAGTAAATTTAATCAACAGATCAATTATCTAAAAGTTTCTATCCAATTTTCTTCAAATATATTGCAGTTTTTTAAATACTTACATTGTATCAATTCATTCAATTTCTTTTCTATGGTCTCTAAAACTTCTTTGTTTTGTGTAGGATAGCAGTTTCTAGTTTCGTACTTGTCTGGTGTATAAATGCTGCCTCTGAAATAATGACAAGATGTTAATATAATTAAATATAATTTATAATAAAATACAATACAAAAATATTTATGCAATATTTTTAACTCTTTAAATGATTCTAATTAATCTTCTAATTAATAATACATCAAAATAATATTATATACATTACTAATGTTTATAATTTCTTACTTATATGTAACCGTAACTACATGTCGATTAGCAATTTCTTCTTTATTATGTGTTACACTATTGATACTGTGTGTTTCTTGATATTGATAACATTTCCAATATGGTCTGTGCGCATAGATTACATTCAGAATAGTGTCATGTATACTGGAATAATAAAGAGCATGTTATTATTATTAATATTGCAACAATTAATAGATAATAAAGTTAAGTTTAAAATTAAAAGTTATAGTGTAGATATACACTGTTAATAATAATAATATATTAAAAATCATGTTTAATAAGTTTTCTATTGCTTACCTTATTGATGGTAATTCGAGTGTTTGTAAAATAGGGCAGGGATCGCCCAATAAAGTTCGCAAAGTCAATGCTGCACCTTCTGCTAAAGATTTCAAGCAATAACCACCCTATATAATAAAACATTATATTTAGTACACATGTATATTTAAATGGCATAAATAAAATATAAAGATATATTAAAGAAAAAAAAAATCTTTTACCTCTAAAACTACAGCGACTTTTCCAGCTGCCAGACTTAATAACGACGATAGCAGATGTGAATAACACGCTGGAGTAATTAACATCTGGCCCTAAATATAAATGCAATGTATTTATTAACTTGTTATCTTAGCTATAATAACAAAGGTAAAATAATATGTATTATGTGTGCCACAGATACATTAACTTTGTATATGATAATTATAAGATAATTAAATAAAAATTTTTGTGATAAATAATACACACACATGATTAATTAATATAAAATAATAGAAAATTTTGTAACCTTCTCGTCACCGATTGCGGCATCGAATCCAGCGGAAATAAGGATGAGGTCTGGAGAGAACTGGGAAGAAAATAAGAAAAGAGGATAATAATAAAAAGTATGAATAAATTTACCTCTGGACAACCCAGAGCCGCATCATAACCAGCTGACACTATTATAAGATCCGGTTGAAACTACAATAATATTAGTACATTCATTAATTTGTATATTATTACTATATATTAATAAAATAAATACATAATACATACCTCATAAGCCATTGGCAATAAAACTTGCTGGAAAATCGCAATGTAATCAGCATTAGTCATGCCAGTCTTATTTAAGGGTATATTAAAGTTATAACCCTCTCCAAGATCTTCTCCAATGTAATGGAAGTCTGATTCCTTCAGATTAGGCCAGAATTCGCCGTGTTCATAACGATGTATTGAAAAATAGACTACACTGTAAATTTGAAAGCAATTAAAATTACATAATTATTAAATTCAAAATCAAATATTTAAATATTTAATATTATATATGTTAAAAATAATTCAAAACAACAATTTGAAAGAGAAAGATGAGATGAGTACCGTGGATCATTGTAAAACATTTGCTGCGTTGCTTGTCCATGATGAACATCCCAATCCACAATTAAAATCCTATTTGCCAAATTACTGCTCAAAGCTTTCTCTGCTGCAAGAGCCACATTGTTGAAGAAGCAGTAACCACAGTATTCTGATTTCATGGCATGATGACCCGGTGGCCTATAAAGATTTATTAATACTTATTAATAATATTATATGCATTATTTATCCCGAATAAAACATAATAAGATTAATAAATTATATCTAAAATTACATTATGCATGAATCTCTTATATAAAATCATTAAATAAGATTAATCAAATCGAAGATCAATATCTCATCAAGATCTTGAAATATTTCGAACTCACCTAATGATAGCCATACCATTTTGAATCTCGCCTTTACAGATTCTTTCTACCAAATTGATTGTCGAGCCCACAGCTAATAAAGATAATCTATATGTAGACTGTAAATAAAGTTAATTTATAGAATTAGATATTCAATATAATAATTTTATATATTTGTATGTGTGTAAAATATTATTTAAAATATAAGCTTATTTAATTGTATCATTATTTTTTATATACTATTTAAAAATTACACTGGACTTAATTTTTGGAATTAAAATTGGAATTTAAATAATTCTTGGAATTATACATACTGGATGAACGTAGATAGCATCGTACTTGGAGGAAAGCAATTCCAAATTCTCAGAATCTGCACAGCCATCTGTTGCTTTCAAAATATCAATCTGTTTCTGGCTATGCTTTGTCAGAATCTCATTCTCCGTAGCTTGTCTCGGTTCAATGAGTTTGCATCTTTGCACCAGGCCTAATTCTTCGCATCTCTGCAAAACTCGTGTAAATCTGGCCGGGCATTCGGGATAATTCGGATCCCAGAGACATTCGTGCTCCGCCATGCTTCGGTCAAACACAAGACCAGTTTCCTTTCGCACTACTTTGTATGCATCAATTGCATTTTGATATACATCTCGTATAAAACTGTTGTTGGACTTTTTGTCCGATACCAGCTGTCTTTGCGCTGCCTCTCGCTTGGCAGCCAACAGCGCAGCTGATGGACGAGCCTGTAATGCCAGAATATAAATGTATTATATGGATTTTAAATGTTTTGAGATTTTAAGAGTTGCATGCGTTATATATTATAATCTATGCAAATATATTTATTATATTTTTTGTAAAATATAATTATTTATTACATTTTTAAATGTAATATTTATTATATATTTTTTAAATAAATTTTTCTACATAGATTTTTAGCAATAAATCATTAATGTTTACATTTTTTGATTTCCCAGGTTTCCTCGTTTTCTTAACACTCTCAAACATATTTGTAACAGTTCTTTGGCACTTGCTGGAACTCTCGATCACTTTTATTAGCTCAATTTCACTGTCTGCTAATTGTTTAGCAGCAGTGAATAAATCTGATCTCTCTATAGGCTCAGTCTGTAAAAATATAATATTTTTTTAAACTCTAAGCATAAATATAAAAATAATATTAATATGACAGAAGGTTTTAAAATATATTATTTGCAATAAGCATTTTTAAATATTATAGTTAATGCAAGTATATTGTGAGTATAAAAATAGCACAACAATTTCCAAACCAATACAAAGGCAAAAATAGATTACAACAAGCAAACAGAAAGATGAGAGAAAACAAAAAAAATTAATTCTGAAATTTTTAATCAACATAACTCAATGAAACTTCAGCAAATGCAAAACAAAGTAGAAGTAGAAAAGAATAGCATTTGTTGCAATTTTTAAATATTATAATTAATATAAATATATATTGTGAGTACAAAAATAGCACAAACATTTCCAAACCAGTGCAAAGGCAAGATTAGATTACAACAAGCAAATAAAAAGAATTAATTCTGAGATTTTTCACCGACGCAACTCAATGAAATTTCAACAAATGCAAACCAAGTAGAAGTAAAAAAGAATAGCATTTATTGCAATTTCTAAATATTATAATTAATATAAATATATATTGTGAGTACAAAAATAGCACAAACATTTCCAAACCAGTGCGAAGGCAAGATTAGATTACAACTAGCAAACAAAAAGAATTAATTTTGAGATTTTTCAAGAACGCAACTCAATAAAACTTCAGCAAATGCAAAACAATGTAGAAGTAGGAAAGAATAGCATTTGTTGCAATTTTTAAATATTATAATATAAATATATATTGTGAGTACAAAAATAGCACAAACATTTCCAAACCAGTACGAAGGCAAGATTAGATTACAACAAGCAAACAAAAAGAATTAATTTTGAGATTTTTCACCGACGCAACTCAATAAAACTTCAGCAAATGCAAAACAATGTTGAAATAGGAAAGAATAAGCATTTATTGCAATTTCTTTGAAGAAAAACAAGCATTTGCCAGGCTCACCTTTAATCTGTCAAGATCTGTAATGCAACGTAAAGTTTAATATAGCAAAGCTGTGTGTAGGCGGTACAATCAAGCCTTTTATAGTTATGCCCCTTCTCTCTCAGACATGTTATCGCTTTATCTTCCGAGGCTAACGACAAGATAATAGTACACAAACATATATGGAGATCATTAACGATAATTAACTCTTACCATTTGCTCCAATTAAGATGATCTAATAAATGTCAAAATCGTACGCTAGGTAAACATTGACTCATCACAAGCGATGCAAATTATTATCCTCACTTAATTAATTTTTTTTTTTCTAAATTAAGCCAGAAAAGATTCGAAGACTAAAGTGCTTTTTCTTCATTCATTCACATCGTTTTATCCGTGTTTTTCTTTTCCTCCTCTTTCAATTTCGTCATTGCTCCTGCGTGTTTATGTTCCGAAAAAACACACTGACTGCAGTGTAGCATGAAATGACAGATGGACGATGAAGGGGAACAAAATGTGATTTTTATTCCCCTTTTATTTAGACTCGTACGATTGGCTGACGCCTAGGGAATTCTAGGGTCCTAAAATGTCATCCTAAAAAATTCCACACTAGGTCCACCGTCTATGGATAATTACGTGTTTATAGCCCGAATCCAGCTCAATTTAATGCCATGCGATTTTTACGATTTTTTAATATATTGCAAAAAATAAATTAAATAGGGGCAACTTGTTTTTTAATTACGACTGTTTTTCTGCGTGCAAAATGTTTTGTCGAAGACTTCACGTGTCGATTAAATTGAAAAATGTCATGGGTTATGTCAATGAATCCAATCTTCTTGTCACATGTGCTAAACAACGTACGTAAATAGAATAATTAACTAATAATTAATTGTGATTCTGTCATCAGATTTATCGAGTAACTCGATATTTTCTATTTTACATTTTATATATATTTTCATAAATAATTAGATATATATATATATATATTTCTCTATAATTTAATTATTTCTGTATTTAAATTCTGTATTTTATTAATTATTTCATATACATATAATAAAATATAAAATAATTATACAGAATTATTAAGAAATAATTAATAAAATTTTAAATACAGAAATAATTAAATTTATATTTTTACACAGAATATTCCAAATTTCATATATATTTTCATAAATAATATATATACATATACAGTGAGAAATAAAATAATTATATAGAATTATTAAGAAATAATTAATAAAATTTAAAATACATAGAAATAATGGCATAGAAATAACTAAACTTACTCATTACACAGCCCAAAATGAGCATCCGCAACTCAGGTGGCAGCCTGCAATCAGTAACTTCTGCACACAAAAGTTGCCAAAGACAGCCAATGTCTTCGGAGACATCTCCGGTAGGAAATTCGACCACTTCAAGATGGACGAGAGGGAGAAGGAGGAGGAAAACTTCCAGGACACCGAAGGGCGCATTCCACGTCGACTGAAACCCAGTGCAGGGCAGTACGCCAAGATGATGAAGTCGCACATAGCTAAGAAGAATCTGAAATCTGCTCTGCAGGTGCTGGATCTGATGAAGGAGAACCGGGACAAGCCCACAATATACCTTTACAATCTTCTGTTGCACTCTTTCGCTGATCAGGGTGACCTGAAGCAGTGCTTTCGTCTGTACAACAAGGCGAAGAAGCACGGATTGCAGCCAAACGCAGCCACCTATACCTGCTTGTTCAATGTATGCGCTGTGTGCGACAGGACCGAGGAAGCTTTGGAGCATTTGAACAAACTGAGACAGTCCCTTTATGAGAAGCAGTTTCCCTTGAACAACACTCATTACAATGCCATGATGAAGGCGTACAGCTGGCACAACAGGCTCACCGAGGCCTTTCAACTGGCGGACGAGATGAGGGACAATAATATTCCCATCAAAGAGATCACTTACAACTCGCTATTTCACGCGGCGATTGCTGATAAGGAGGCTGGCTTGCGACACGCTCTAATCATATGGCATCTAATGCGCCTGAAGAAGGTCAACCCGAGCTTGACCACGTACAATCTGCTGCTGAGGACGATCAGAGACTCTGGTCTGGGGAATTTGAAGCTCGACGACGTCCTTATTTCGGGATGGGAGAAAAGCAGAATCGTGTTGGCGGAGGGCGAGAGGCCGAATTTGTTGGCCTCTCCACCTGTTTTGAGTTCGATGTTATTATTAACGGACAAGGGTCAGGTTGCGCAGCGTGGTGATGCTGATCCGAGAGAGCAGGTGGAATCTATAAATTTAAACGACGTCTTCGTGAATAATCGCTTGATCCTGTTTGGCGGTCTGGAAGGATTCTTGAATAAGATGGATCGCAGCAAAGTCAACCCCGACATCAAAACTATTACGTTGCTGCTCTATGTGATTCCGAACACGACCCAAGCTGAGAATCTGCTCATCGAAATAGCGGAGAAGAGGAACATCGAGCTGGACATCGACTTCTTCAACATGGTCATCAAAAGACGCAGTCTGCGATTCGATTACAAAAGCGCGAAGGTGAGATGCAGGGTGTCCCACAGGAAATTGCTGAAGCTAATCAGCTGTCATTTTTTAATACATACAGCTATGCGAAAACAAAAATTGTATCGGAAAGAGGAAAGTCTGCAGTTTTAATGGATATAAATAAAATATTTGTATAAAAATGTATTACTTTCCTCTTTTCAAGGCAATTTTTGTTTTCTCAATAACTGCATGCGTTAAAAAATGATAGCTGATTAGTTTCAGCAATTTCCTACGGAACACCCTGTATATCCAAAATTTGATTTATCATGATGCAACTCAAATTTGATTTAACATGATGCAATTTGATAATTTAGGAAGTGATAAACTTGACGGAGAAGAGGAACCTTACCCCAACTGTGATGACCTTCGGGGTCCTGGCACTCGGTTGTCAAGAGTGCAGAGACGCCCAAGAATTTTTGAGAGGAATGGAAGCTTTTGGTTACGTACCCAACAGAATAATCATGAGTACTCTCATCAATGTAGCTTGCCACAAGAAGAACTTTGAATACCTGTTATTTGTCATGAATTATATGCTGGAGAATAATATGAAACCCAACACGCAAGCCTTCAGAGACGTGGACAAATTTGCGAAAGAGATACCGAACATCAAGAAGCCGACAGTACGATGAAAAGGATCTATTATCCTAGCTACTATCATAATATATAGAATCAATATTTCTCCTATGTATTTAATAAATTTAAAAAATATTTTTTTATTACAGGGACTATACAGATTACGAAAACTAAAGCGACTGGAGAAGAACATCGAGCAATTCGAGCAGCAGTATCCGAAGTGGCAGAAGATACAAGACAATTCGTCGGAGAATTGATTGTATTGTCAGGAAAATTTTCGAAAGGATTGATAAATTGTTGTCAACACGCTCGCAAATATATACATATGTGAAATGAAGAGGCTCGAGGAGTCAGCGAAGGTAAGGAGGACGCGTCTCCTGCGTCCAAGGTCGACTTCTACCGCCGCCGCTGATCGCGCGCGACGGACAGCTTCCGCGAATGCTGAGCTTGTTGTATCCGGTAGGACCTGTCGGCTGGGCCCCGCAAGTTTCTAGCGCCACGAACTCGTCCACGTGAAGGGACGGCGGTCTGGAAGTGTTGGGCGGTCTCGACCGGAAGGGATCGGCTCCTCTTCCGACCCCGCCACCCACAGGACCACCTCGCAGTGGATTGGCGAACTGTGTGCGACCTCGTACCGGTGTCACTAAAAAGAAATAGAAAATATATAGTGGACCATGATTGTAATTAATTATTCATACAATAGATTAATGACAAACTTAAAAATACAAAGTAAGTCACTTTTCCGGGTTTTTTTGTAGTGCCGATCAGAAATCCAAAATTCAAAATGGCGGATAATAACTGAAAAAATGTTTTATCTGATACATTGAACCAGTATTTGAAAAATAAAATAACTTTTGAACTATACTAATTTTGAAAAATTATCCGCCATATTGGATCCGCAATCTTCAATTTCTAAAATCCGACATTAAACTTATAATCAGCGACCTCAAAAACATAAAAGTATGCATTATCAGTTCAATTGCTACACTGCAAAAGTGATGCGGATTTTTCCGTCATGAAGCACTTTTGACCAGTTTTATTTTGCCGAATTTTTTCGTCATTGACACTTAAAGGATTAACAATCTTACCGAATGGCTGTTTCGATTTAACCATAGGCGAAGTCTGTTTCTCCGTTCTGCTTTCCTGGTTCTCGTCCTGCGGCTTCGACTGGACAGGCTGCGTGGCGTCGTCAGGCGGCGTCTTGGAGCACAGGTTTTGCGCTTCCGCTAGTAAATTAAAGTCCGCAGGTAGCAGTTCGGTAGCCAGCGCCAGCAGGTCCACCGTATTTTCCGCCTGCATCTGATTAGCCGTCGCGAATACAAACTTCTTGGCTCGAGATGGGCTGGTGATCGCGCCTCTCTGCGAGAATTGGTTCAGGAGGGCTTCCGGCGTCGGCAGTAGAGGCTCCAACATCTCCGGGATGGGTTCCTTCTCCTCTTTCTCTTCGGCGGTCTTCAGGGTCTCCGCCAACTCCTCCGCGCGCTTCAGCTTCTCCAGGGGATGGTCGCTTTTCTCCCAGGAGATCAACGACGCCAGTTGTTGCGTCCGCAGATGCAAGGATCTCCGTTCCGAGTCGGAGGCGATCAGGTTCTCCAGAAAGGTCACGGTTAAGCCCGCGATGGGATTCGTTTCTGGGTTCTCCAGGGTGGACACGTGGTCCAGAAGCGCGCGCAAGGCGCCGGGATTGTTCTCCAGGCAGCTCTTCACGTGGTACAGGCCGTAGTTGTGGCCGACGAGAGACAGGAGAATGTGCAGCGTGTCCTCCACCACGTCCAGCTGGAACTTGGTGCTGGTCGCCAGGATCTCGATCAGCGCCGCGAGGATGGACAGAAGAGGTTCCTTGCTGGGCACCGAGTGCGTCAGTCTCTTCTCGAAGGACTCGCCGTCCTCCTGCACCAGGCTGAGGCCGCAGTCGCACAGGGTCTCGAAGATGCCGAGGATCTCGCGTTGCGCGTGCACGTCGCCGCTGCTCTTCAGGATCGAGCACATCATCTCGATGACCGGCGGGTACTTCTGATCGGACTTCACCTGCGCCCTGGACGCGGGGCTGGTCAGGGTCAGCAAGGTCGCCTTCATAGGCGCGTGTCTGGCCAGATCGCTGATCAGAGCCAGGATAGGAATGTTATTTTCTACAGGAGCGGCCGCTAGGATCCCATCCAACAGACATCTCCCGACTAGAAGAGCCGTCGGCGCCGCCAGGTCGCTCAGTTGCTTACAAACCGTCGATAGAAGCAACAGAACGTCTCTGTTCCAACTGGCGCAGAGCAGCCGGAGGGTCTCGGTGAGGTTCGCGGCTTGAGCTTGAAGGTGCGCCGACCAGAGCTTCCGCAGACCCAGGATCCTCGTCGCGTCTTCTGTAGCGGTCTCCATCGGCGTCAGAACAGGCGGCAGCAGACGGCTCAGCAGCTTCAGACCCGGTACAAAATTACAGGGCCGCAGGGAGACCATCTTCAGGACCTCACCGAGCATCTGGGTCCACAATGACTTAGCCACGTTGCCCGAGCCGTCGGAATCGACGGCTTGGGTGAACACCAGCAGCGTGCCCACAATCTCCTCGGACAGGCTCCGCATCGTCGGGTTAGCCGGGATGGCCTCGATCAAGGAGTAGACCCCGAGCAGCGGGACCACGGCCGTGAGGTCCTTGAAGTCCGTCGCCATGCACTTGATGAGTCTCTCGAGCAGCGCTCTGGTCAGCTTCACGCAGGGCAGCAACAGGGCGATCAAGGCCATTTTTCTGCGACCCGTCAGGGCGGCGCGATGGAGGAACGGTTGCTCGTAGAACTCGGACACGTTCGCCATGACGGCGACCAGGGCGGTGAGGCCGTCGGCAGCGAAGAGCTGGGTCAGGGCATTCCTGTACTTGAGCTCGACGTACGGTTCCAGGGGATCGACGTCGTGGTTGTACGAAAAGACGAGGTAATACAGGATCCTGCAGGCGGTGACCAGCTGGCCGGGCAGCGACGCGGCCTTCTCCGCGCTCTTTTTGATGCCGGCCACCAGGAGAGAAACATCGTTGTAATCCCAGTGAGAAGCCTGGGCCGCGGTGGTCAGGTACGGCACCACGTCTCTGAGAACCGCGTGCTCCCGAGCTTTCTCCAGGATAAGCTCCGCTCGATTCTGGAAGATCTCCACTCGGTCGGAGTAGCGCACGATGGCGGAGATGAGCTCGGCGGCGAACTCGCAGAGATTCGAGTCCGAGAGGAAGAGGACGAGGGTGTCTATGAAGTCGCCCAGAGGTAGAACCGCGACAATGGCGCGCAAACCCTCGGGGAAGGCGAGGAAGGAGTGCAGTCTCTTCAGGATCGTCCAGTCCGAGCTCTGCTTCAGGCGGATCAGACACTGGGCGACCTGAAGACGCCACGCTAGGACGCAACCGACCCCGGGTAGCTCGGGTTTCAAGGCCTTCAGGATCAAGCGAACCGCCTCGGTCTCCTTCAGCAGGTAGTACAGGCCCTCCTTGGTGTCGGAGAGCTGCAGGAGGAAACGCCGGATCAGCCTGATCGTCTTCAGGTCGGAGTCGGGAGAGGACAGTACTAGCAAGAGCCGGTAGATTAGCTTGTGGTGCTCGAAGTAGGCTATCAGGTGCGCGCGAGGGTTGCGGGCACGTTCCCGCTCGAACTCCATCTGCGCGCCGGCCGGGAGTTGGCGTCTAGGCTGCGCCATCAACGTCGGGGCGCAGACGTAAGCGTTCATCAGTTCCGTCAGGCCTACCTCGTCGGGTTCCCTCACCTCTTCCAGGTACATGTACACGTGGACCTTGCGGAGGAGCGAGCCGAGAGCATACTTGAGCCGGGCGAGCTTCATCGCGTCCAGCATCGTCAAGGCCTCGCTGTAGAGGTAGCTCCTCGAGTTCAGGAACTCCTGGACGATCACCGGGCTGATCAGCGCCGCGTCGAGGGCTCGCAGAGCGGAGAGCTTCACCGGCAGAGCGACATTCTCGCGCATGCAAAGCGACAGTAACTTGGACGGGGCCTCGACCTTGAGGAGGATCTCCGGACCCTTCGACAAACGACAGAGCGCCTCCGCTAAGCGAACGCCGACCTTCACATGGCGCACCTTGTACGCAGGCTGCGGTTGAGCTTTAGCGAGTTCCATATCCAGGCCGGCGTTAACCACGCTGGTCAAGTTCTCGAGATCGTCCAGGTTGGGGTCAAAAGGACCCAGGATGGCGCATAAAGTCTCGCAGTTGTGGACGAAGGTCTCTTTCTCCTGACCAGACGCGTTATGGAAATGCGAGACCGACTTCGACAGGGACTGCAGGAGCTCCTTGATCCTCGACAGGATCTCGCGGTTCGCGCATAGCTCTTCTAGGTTCTCCAGCTTCTCCAGATTCAGCAGATCCGGCGGCGCCAGGGTATAGATCTCGTCGATTTGCGACGAGGCCTCGCACTCGAACTCGATCGCAGGCGGAACGTCGTCGGTCATTATATCCTCGTCCGATAATATAGGCTCGAAGGGCTCGCCGGTTTCCTGCTCGCCCGCTTCCTGTTGCTCCGCTTCTTCCTCCTCGGCGGAGATGGATTCGGGGCTCAGGGAAATTAGGGATTCCGTGGGAGGAGACGAAGGTCGCTTCGAGGTCTTCTCGCCCGCGCTCGACGTCTCGTCCTCCCATTGCACCGATTCCGCCTTTCCAGTGTCCGATATTGATGTCCTGGATGGTTCCACCACCTGAATTGGTTGAACCGGAGGCGGTGGAGTCGCAGTCACGCATGTTTCCTGTTGATGATACAAAAACTTAAGTAAAAATATTTATATATTAAATATATATAAATATATAATATAATATTATAAAAATATAATATTAAAAATATAAATAAAATATAACATACAAATATATATATATATATATATATATTATATATATATATATATATATATATATAAATGTATATTAAATATTTATTGACTTAAAAAATATATATTTAATATATTATAAAAATATTATAAATATATATTTTGACTTAAATATATATTAAATCTATTAAAAAAAATATTATATATATTAAAAATATATTATAAAAATATATATATTGACTTAAATATATATTAAACATATTATAAAAATAAATATATATTGACTTATAAAATAAGACATCCAAAAGAAATTTAAAATACATCCTCATGACTTAAGACGCGTTTTGACATCTTTTAGATGACGTTTGTCATCTAGAAAATTCCTTTAGAATTACTTTCATCGCTAAAAGCAAAGGTGTGTTTACCAGTGAATTCGTTGGATGTGGATTCTCATAATACGTCCAGTCAGATTGCTGTTCGGAGGAAACTTGAGCAGTGTTCTCAGTATTCTCTTCGTGCACACTAACACAAGTGGTAGATCCAGCCGCTGAACTTATGACTTCCTGAGGATTGTTTAGGGATTTGGTCAACGTGCCATACACAGCCAGCGTTATAGTGGTGTACCATCCTCTTAGAACCAAGCCATCGGTTGGTATCTGCTTCCGCTCGCATTCCAGTTGAATGTGGATGTTTTGTTTGTATTCCAAGCTACCCAAAAACTCAAACGTGGAAGCTCCAGGTTTACTGAGATCGTTCACGAAAAACTCAATTTCGAATTGAGAGGGATTGGTTGCTCTGGAAAGATAGAAAGTTTCTTTTAGTACTTCTTTAAAGATTTTAACATTAATATCTATATAAAACTTACCCAAGTCGCACTCCTCCTGGAAAGTCTGCTTGCACACGTGCACCTAATGGAATTATTCTCACTTCGCTGATATAAACAGGTTTGGGAAATTGTACTAAATCCAGATTTAATTCCTGTAATGTCCAATTAAAAAAAAACTATAAGCCATTTATGTTGTAATAGAAAATTATATATAAATTATAATAATTTTATTTATATGTAATAAATTATATATAAATTATAAATAAAGTACAATCTGAAAATTTCTGAATATTGTAAATTTAATACATTTTTCTAAGAAAAAAGAACAAAAATATGCTATATAGTATATAATGCTACTTTCAACAAGTATTGATTTTTTAAAATTTTGACAATTTGGACTGAAAAAGTAATTTTTAATAATCAACGATTGTGTGGTGCAAAGTATAGTTTCTCTTTCGCACATCTTTATTCTTCAATTAATGCATCATAAGCACAAGTGTCAATAGAATAAGCAGAGCTTTTTATTTATTTTTATCTTAAGAAAATCACTCAAACAGGCAGCTTTTCTGATTTTTAAAAGCTCCAATTTCCATTCTAATCCTATGAAATCTATGTAAACAAACCTCCGAGATGTCGTGGGAAAAAGTATCGAAGAACAATAATTCGGTGTTATCCATGTTTCACACCTTTCAAGTAGCATATAATCCTTCGGCAATTAATTCTTAATAATAAACTGAGTATCTTTTGAATCTCTTTTCCATTTTATCCTCCTATTTAATTCATTCTCCCTATTTTGCTTGGTTATGTTTGTACGCGCACATTTTTTCACCACCCTATATACAGTACCTAGACAAGAGCTGTCATCGGCACTTTCTGTCACTCGCAGTTTTCTCCCTCTCTGACGCGCTGATTGGCTGAAAAGAAATTATTCCCTAGAAATTCCCCATTCGACGTCAGTTTACGACGCGCTGATTGGCTGAAAAAAATTATTCCCCAGAAATTCCCTCTTCGACAGCCAATCGCGTCCGCCTGGTCACGTGACGTCGCCCGAAGAAGTTGACAATATGGCGGCCTCCATGCGACGCACGTGCGCGAGTGAACACGTGGCGATGGATGACGACGCGGTTCAGAGCTCGAGGAGAGCTCGCAAGCGAACCTCGCGGAGCGAAAATGACGCGTCCGCGTCGAAGAGAGCGAGGGTCAACGGGTTTGTCGCGGAGGAACCGGAACCCGAAGTGTCAACTGACATCAGGAGTGACGAATTTGACGGACGATTCCTGAGATCCCTTCTCTCCTCCTCCAGCGGCTTGGGCTCCCTGAGGAAGTTCCTGACGATATGCAGCGAGAACGAGGAGAGGGACCTCGCAGGGGAGTACTTGCTCGCCGGTGGTGGTGTCCTGGAAGTTCTGAGACTTTTAGACTTCTCTGACAAGAAGAGCACCAGCAACGCAGTCACTGTCTTCTCCGCTGTCAATATTTTACTGATGAAGTATGCTTGTATACAGGATGTCCCATTTTAATGTCCCACCCCAAATAAGTTTTTTATTTTTGATTGTAGAAAAAAATGTTTCAGACAAAAGTTGTATGGTTTCGAGGAGGACGTAATAAAAACCATCTTATGTCCTCCTTGAAATCATACAATTTTTGTCCGAAACATTTTTTTCTACAATCAAAAATAAAAAACTTATTTGGGGTGGGACATTAAAATGGGACACCCTGTATATATGAGACACCTTGTATATTTGCTGATATTTATGTAGGTTTTCGCTTTTAATTAAGCAGATATGTTTTTCTGCTCACAGGATCTTGACAAAGTATCCTCAATGTCAGAATAGTGCGGTGGAAGCCTGTCGCCACCTGTTGAACTCATACATGTCTATTGTACACTCGATGCTTTCAACTCAGAGCAATGTCAAGCAGCGCAAGATAGTATTGAAGCTGCTCACAGCGGTAGTGTCTTTAAATAATAGTTTGGCTAGAGAGTTACTTGCACATCTGTCATTGCAACGAAATGTACTGGAGAGTCTAGTGCAACACACCAAGCCTGCGGATCCTCAAAATATCAGGACGTGTTTCATCCATTTTATTCTTGCTTTTCTCGTGGAAGGAGACTCATCGGTGATTAAAACATTGTTAGATAAGCATAGCTTATTTACTTGCATCTTCTCAGATTTGTTGTACGATTCCAAGGATATTGTTACTCTGATTCTGACAACTGTGAAGACATACGTATTGGAGAACAGTAGCATCACCAAAACGATGAAGCTACATGTATTCTCTACATCTGTCGTATTGAATCTAATATCGCTGTACAACTGGAAAGGCCCAACTAACTGGCCTAAAAATAAAACTCACTATTCTGGTGAGAACAACAGCTTTTTAGCTGACAAAGAGGTAATTAAATTAATCTTTATGGGATATTTTAATATTACAAATTACATTTCATCATTATTGATTCTCTCTTTCTATTGGTTTTTTTTCTTTATTTTTCTCTGTTATAATTTAGGCTGTCAACGATACAATTCATGCATTCTTAATCACTCTACTGACATCACATCGCTATGGAATTATTTTCCACGATCGAACATTAGGTTCGCGGAATAAACACAATCAGCTGGTGTATACGGTTCTCCAGAGTTTGGAGAAACCTTGGGAACACGAAAAGCCATCGGATCTAGTTATCAAGATAATGAGGGCTTGTCCGGATCTAATACGTTCGCAATATGTTGCCGTCGAGCCGTTTCTCGAACCTCGCGTGTCGTCCAAGTGGATCTGTCTTCTCAGATTCGTAAAGAAGGTGCAGTGAGATTTTATCTACAGGGTGTCTCATAGGAAACTAATCAGCTGTTATTTTTTAATGCATGCAGTTATTGAGAAAACAAAAGTTGTGTTGGAAAGAGGAAAGTTTGCAGTTTTTAATGGATTTAAAATGTTTGTATACCAATTTATTTTATTTAAAAAAAGTAATGAAAAAAACATTAATAACATATGTAAACTAATGGTAAATATTTTCGAAGTGCGCACCGATTGAATTTGTACAAAATTCTGTTCTTTTACAAAAACTCGTAAAAACTTTGTCTAACATGTCATTTTTAATGTTATTGACTATACTTTTCATAGCTTTTATTAAATCTGACACTGTTGAAAATATTTATCATTAGTTTATGAAATTTTGTGATTATTAGCACTTTTCATTAATTTTTATTAATAAAATAAACGAATATACAAACATTTTATTTATTATTCATTAAAAACTGCAGACTTTCCTCTTTCCAACACAATTTTTGTTTTCTTAATAACTGCATGCATTAGAAAATGACAGTTGATTAGTTTTAGCAATTTCCTATGAAGCACTCTATATATATACAAGCTGTAAATTTGTATATTTTTCATTTTTGGGGTTTTTTTCGCAGGTAATCGAATCACTCGATCCAGTCAATTGCATCAAGACCTGTACTGCAGAATTAAATGCAAACAGATTGACAAATACGCTATTATCCTTGACAATTCCGGACATAATTATAAAAAACGCTATCTTGCCAGGATTAAGCCACGACAGTTTGTTTGTCAGACATGAGACTCTGTCTCTTCTTCTAGCAATGACTTCTCAGTTGAAAATCGTTTGCTCCACCTTAAAAGACTTCCACAGGACGTTCGTAGTTCAAAACCAGATAACGGATTTCATACTGAAGATTATTCCCAACTTGGAAACGATCTTAAAAGTGTGGCATCAAGCCTTCGAAGCTGATGTTAATACGATAAATTCGGAGAGCACTGAAAATATTCACAATCCGGATTTGTTAGATCATCTCGAGCTCATCCTTAATGTTCTTCACTCGTATAAGGATATATGCCCAGAATTGCTAGATAATTCGATGAATTTGCAGCCAAATGTGCTTCTATCAAGCTTAAATGATCTCCAGGATGGCGAAGAAGAGGATGGAGGAGCCAAATTAAAGAAGATAAACTGCATGAAGGTGAAAGCAATACAATTCTTGCTCGTCTTGGACTCTTCCATTTTCGCACCTAGAGAAAAAGTTTTTAAAGAAGCTCTTCCTTTTTTGATATCGTTGATTCATCAAACAGATTCTTCATTGGAAAGCTACGAGGATGCTACCAAAAATGCTATTAGAATGTTGCTAAACGCGACAAGTCTGTTTGAAAGCTGCGACGATCAGTTTGATATTTGGATTGATGGTTTCTCAATGATAACCGATCCTAAAGAGATAGAGGAATTAACACACTGGTTTATGTCCATTTTGAAAAGTTGCATTAAACACACCGATAAATATATAAACAGTATAACGCAAGCAGAAGAAATATTATTAAATGACCAGGTGGTTAGCCTCGATGTAAAAGCAAAAGATGTAATTAATGAGTTATTTGATAAGGCCAATAAGAATCCGAGTCCTTGCGAAAAAGAATTTGTCACAGCAGACTCGTCTTCAATTAATGGAGAATTAAATGTTGATGCAAAGAGAGATGATACGGTTAATAGTCTTGATAAGCTCAACAAAGAAGATTCCAAAGTCACCATTACGCATACTAATAATTACAGAGTGCAGAGGAATGAGCAAATTATTAATCTTGAAGAAGTGAAGAAGATGGAAAATGAGATCGATCGGCTACTTGAAAAGATAAATCCCAATAGTTTTTCTAATATTAATGACCATTCTCTTTCTTTGAAGAAAATTGTCTCTGCATCAGGGACGGCTTCAATTGATGAATTTGCTAATTTTGATAGAAAGAAAACCGACGACGTGACTGATCATCTCTCCGACCAGTTTAGCAATGAAAATCTGAATCCTTACAAAATGCAAACCTGTACGTTGGTGTCGCCGCTTTTATGTTGCGCTCTTGAAAAGACAAGAGTGAAGAATCATTCCGCCATCATCTTAAATTATTTATCCTACGTAACAATTCACACTTTCCATCATCAGATTGTTCCGGATGTATTGGTCCACATGACGACAGATTTGATTGACTTGCCGATTTATAATTATTTACAGAGTTGGTCGAGGAACGGACAACCAGTTCCTTTGAAGAATAAGCTTCCATCCTTGAAGTTATTGCGCAAACTAGGAAGCGCATTGTTGAAGGATTCCGAGGTGGACATAATCAAATTTTTCAAGCTGTTTGGAGGCGAACTTTCGTGTTGCTTCAAATATGCCGACGAAGAAGTCACTGTTAACCACTCTTTGTCTTCACACGACGTCAAGGTTTTACTGAAGACAACTGTGTTTTATTTAGCGCAGCTAGCCCAACGGGGACTCTTGCAACGGATCCAGAACGAAAATTGCAAAGTCTTGCTCATTTCTTTGCTGAACATCGCACAATCTATAAATGGAAATAGGATGTTTGTAGAAAACGTAAAATGTATCTTTACGCATCCCATTCTGTTGCATTATTTCTCGCCATTTTGCGGAGAAGCGTCGAAAGATTCGACCGAGGATATGATAACTCGGACGATCCTAGAAGTCTGCCAAGTTGTTGCATCTTTCTTCGAAAAACATGATGATGCTACAGAAACCTATAATATCTTCTTCGCATTTAGAAACAAGTTCCTCGCCCGACTGAGAAATATCGAGAAAGATCCTCTGGAGGTTTCTGATAACAATTATGCTCTCGCATTCTTGAAAGTATTACAATTGAGCGCACAAGAGATCTCGAGTTTGCTGCTTGCTTTGACAAAGCTGGAGAAAATCGTTTTTATTTCAAACGATAAACAAAGCTTGTCTGTAGTCGGACATGTCGTTCCAACATTGTTAGACATGTATTGCAGCAAAGTATCAAAATTGCAACGCAATCAATATAACGAATTGAATGAACAGTTTCTAGAAAGGTTCAGCCTACACCTGGTGTACATAAAGTCTAATAAAATACAGTGTACGGACAGGTGGGAGCAAGCTTTGGCAAAATACCTGTCCATGTTTCCATGTAATATTGCTGATGTTAGCAATATTACATGGAAACATGGACAGTTCATCAGCACTGAAACTTTTGCATTATTGTTAACGAAGGGCATCGCCGCGTCCACGATTCACCTGATAGCAATTTTAATTGTTAAAAATATCAGACTGATTCCGTCGCTGATGAAATACCTGCTGAAGTCGGAAAATATGAAACGAGGGGATATTGTGTTTCCAATATTGGGCGGCAACTTAAAGTACAAGTGGACCGAGAAGTTTCTTCAAAGTCTTTACAAGTCTTTCGGCGACGATATCGCCGCGTATCTAACCGAGCCGCAAAATCCCGTTCCCTGGATCGAAGAAAACGCATCAGCGATCGCCTACCTCATCGAGAACACTTTCGATCGTCCCTTGTGCAAGAAAACTTGCATCAGTATTTCCCAGAACGGCGATAAACTGGACATGGTACCCGTCCACTTCGTACAACTGTTGGCAAGTTTATACAAAAGGTATGAAAGTCTGATGACTGTGAAAGAAAAGCCCTTAACCGATCTGTTATTGGTATTATTACACGTAATGACCTCAACGCTGAAGAGGGAGTCGAAGAACAAGGAAAAGATCAGAGTGTTATGCGAGAAGCTGGACGGTACAGTGCTCTGTTTGAGGAAGATCAAACGCGACTTCAACTTTAGTTCGCTAAGCAAAAGCTACTCGTGGCCACAATTCACCAGGTTTTCCTTGAAGTTAGGTCTGAAGGATGCTAAGGATGACGAGATCCAGTCGAGTGTATTGAAGAGTCTGAGTAATCTGTGCGACATCGCGTATGAGGATAACGAGAACGACGAATATGCGAAGACGTTATTTGAAATGACGACCTCCCATTCAGAGTTTGTTAACGTCATGCTCAGCTCGTCCATTGTTAAAGGTATAAATTCACTTGTGCAATAATTTTATTAAGAATTCTTATCAAAGAATATAAGGAAAAATGAAGGTAACGCTCCGACAGAAAATTTTTATTTTATGATAATATATGAATTTAATTCAACATTATATAATTAATAATAAAACAGGAAAAAACAGACTTCTCAAAATCGTTTAGGATCCCCTTAAGACTCCTGACGTCACAATTCTAACATGCTCGACGAGGACCCAGAAGCCTTAAAATCTTTTTTTTATCTGCTATGAAGCGTTGAAGAAGCATATCCATACATATCATTAGGTGAACAATTTCATTTCCTTTGAATATTTTTATAATTGCAGACAATCTGGTGGAATTACTCAGGATACTCATCCGAAAGAATGAATCGGTGATAAATGTCTCGCACGTGCCCCTTTATCTCGCGGCTTACAGCGCCACTCTCAGTCACGCCGATCAGCGTATTTTGAAGGTAATACATCAAGATCATCGGTGTCGTCAAATATTGGAGTCACGATATCACGTTTAACCGTTTCAGATTCTTCGATATTACGAGGCCCATGGCGTTAAACTTCAACAGTACTGGCCGTATTTATGGGGAAACGCTGCGGCAACACGTTATAGTGTGAAGGGAGAGACGGACACTGTCCTCTGGAGACAACCCTCCACTTCAGAGATTTTTAACTTGTTTGATAAGGACATCGTCAACGAGACTATAAGAAATTATCCCATACACAGAACGTTGGAAGTAAGCGAATATGTATAATGTTCTTCTTTTGCGATATTTCTATATATTTATTTATTATATTTTATTATATTTTTTATTCATATATTTTATTTATTATATTTACATTTTATTTATTAATATCTATTAAGACATCACTTTTTTATTAGGTTTATCTTTTATATATTATATGTACTATATTTATTTTTATATTTATTTATTTTAATGTATTTTAATATTTTTGCTTTTAATATATTTATATTTTGTCATTAGTCCCGCGTGAAATAACAAATTAATAATTCTATTGTATTCCCTTGTCTCTGGCAGGCTGATGAGTTACAGGACAACACTAAGGTGTACGATCCAGCGTTTTATCTGCCGTTGCTGTGTTCTTTATTGGCAGAAAACAATGTTATCGCGTGCCATAAAATAAATCAGAGCGGCGCATTAGCCTTGGTATTCGCTGCTTGCTGCAGCGATTCGAGCGGTATTCGGATGGCAGCATATACCGTCATCTCCAGATACTATTTTCACTTGGAAGCGTCCAAGTACGATAACAAGTAGCAGATAATATATGTGCAAATTATATAATATTGCAAAATATCTCAAAATGGCCCATAACATAGAAACATTATCGCTTATCATAATTTAATTTAATTGTATATGTTTCAATTTCTTAAGTTTCAAAATTCAATTTTTATCTAATTTTTCAATACTATGTAATTAATTTGTGGTTCCTTTTATGAAGAATATATGAAGTTTAAAGTTACAGTAGGAAAGTTTACTTTTGAAAAGCACTATTCGTTATATATATATATATATATATATATATTATATATATCATATATATATTAAATCTACTTTCAAATCTCCATTAAATCTACTTTGATTTAAATTTGTAATTAATTTTTTCTATTTATCAGGTCGAAAGAGAAATTATTGTGGATGCGTCTGATCGACGCTTTACGAAATGGCATCGTACTCCTGAAATGTCCATTGAAGGACGTTAGTCTGAGCTGCCTGGTGACCACCTTTCTCGCTCGGGCCTCCTTGATCGCCAGTCAACCTCTGCATCCGCTTTACTCGTCATTGCATAGCTTCTTAATGGCCAAACCTGCGCTGGACGTAAATACCATACCAGAGCTGTTACAGTTGTTGCATAGTTCACATGTGGAGCACAAAGCGCATCGACACTGGATCCTACAGACCATTCGGGACGGTATGAGAAAGAAAGGCGACGTAGACCTCGCTTTGAAATGCGTGCTATTCAGGATGCTTCTGGATTTTTACACTTGCATATTGTCGGACTCCAAGACTAAGGTGAGTTAAAAACAATTCTGTCTCTACATGATGTGTACACTCTATATAAATGATTCAACCATGATGGAATCAAGAAACATTCGAGGTCTAATTGACCTTACCGTTTTGTGCGGTAAAGAGACAATTAGAGGCAGATTTGATTCTAAAAAATATTCCCTATTGCTAACGAAACTTCTATTCAAATATTAATATAAGTCATGTGTTACTATTTGATTTTTTTTTTCAGAAACTGATATTGGAAGTTATTGTCTCTACTACCAAAATTCCTAAAGCATCTTTACTTCTTATACGAGGATACGGCATACTTCCTTGGTTGTACGAGATTATTCATCGTGACGGGGAAGTTTACGAAACGAAAAGTGGAGCTATTAATAGTATAATTGAAAATTTACTGAATAGCTTAGACAATTCAACAGAGGACGTTATTCATTACAAATTTCTATTATTTAGTATTCTTTTACGATTAAAAACATATTTAAAAGACAAGTATAAAGTTTGCCGTGTCATTTAGTTGCATTTTTTGCAGTTTTCATGAGTGAAACAAAATAGATGTATATATATTTTAAATAAACAAATATAGGAAAAAATATAGTACAGGAGATGCAACTAAAGCAAATAAACCTGTTACGAATCCGATTTCTCAACGAAATAAATAATTGCACTTAATATATATAATTCTGCTTAATTTATATTTATTTATTATTATTAATTTTTTGTCTTGCGAGAAATTCAAGAAGAAAGCCTCCCTTTTACGAGATTCCTCATGAGGAACCACCACCTATTGAAGAGGCTATTTCACTTACTTTTACAAATTTGTCAGTAATTTTGTGCAAAATAATTCATCCATTCTTGGCATCATTAATTTGTTTTGCTCCAGATTAATTCAAAAATTGATACTCCAAAGTAACAAGCTCACATGATTTGAAAAGTTTTCAAAATTGTCACATCTTTCAAATTAGCTTTATTTTGTTTTCTATTACATTGTTTTTGTAACTTTGCACTAAGTTTTATAAGTATTATCTGTTGAAATTAATATGATTATATATAACATTTTTATTATAGAAAAAATTTATTGTATTTTATTAACTGAATTTTTTATAAATTAATTATATATTAATAAGCCAAGCTGCCCCCCTCATTTAAATATCAAAATGTAAGATGGTACAGAGATTTGTACATCAACATACTTCTTTTTTGCTATTTGTGTAGAATCCATTATGTTAGGTAATTTTAAAATGATTTTAGAATGGTGCATATTTTTTGATATTACAAGATTGTATGTTTTACTTAAAAATTTTTAGATTTTTTAATTTTTTTATTTTGACGACGACAAACCATTCAAAGCAACTTTCGTTGCTTTGTAATTGTTTTTTGTGACATGCAGCATTTCATTTTCTTTTTTTGAATCAACGATTTCTCGCTGATTACTTTCTTGATCGACTTCATACAAATTGACACATTTTCGCATGATTTATATATATCGAATTTCTCGAGTTAATTACTTGAGACACGATTCTCTTTCGTAAAATGTCGAGTTGTGCCTTCTCCATTAATAAATAAATATCAGTTCAGGAGTAATTATTAGTACGTTATTGGCTGATGTAGAACATTTTAAATATTATATATTAGACAAATGTATATAATCTTCCTTGTAGATAATGATCCATGAATTTTATCTGATGAAGAAGGTATATCCTTCTAACGATGATGTTAGTTTATTTTATATCTATTACATATAAAATTATATAAATATAAAAGAATATATATATTTTTAAAGAATTTAAAATATTATATAAAATTAAAATATAGATTTATATCAACATCCCATTCGTTAAACGAGTAGAATTATATAGAGACCGAGAAAAAGAAAGCAGGAAGAATGAATATTTAATTAATAGATATTAAAAACGTAAAAATATTTCTTTATATTTTAACATTTTTAAAATATTTTATATTTAAATTTTATATTTTTTATATTTTATTTTTTAATTATTTATATTTTAGTAAAAGTGTAGGTTTTGTAACGGATTTTTTAAACAGCATTACGCTGCTCGATTCTTCATTAACAGTGACAGGGAAGTGTACGAAATGACAAGAGGGACTATGAATAGTAATTGAAAATCTACCAAATAGCTTAGACAGTTCGACACAGGACGTTATTCATTACAAATTCGTATTATTTAGTATCTTTGTGCGATTAAAAACATATTCAAAAGACAAGCATAAATTTGCTGTGTCATTTAGTTGCATGTTTCGTGATTGAAATAAAATAGGTGCATATATATGTATAATATTTGAAATAAACAAATAGGAAAAAAATATAGTGCAGAAGTTAAAGCAAATAAACCTGTTGTGAATTCGATTTCTCTACAACAGAAGCAATTTCTTTGAATATAACTCTATTTAATTCATATTTATTTATTTTTCCTTTTTTTTCCAAGGTATATACGTATATTCCGTTAAGAATTTAATTCAGTCTAGGGTAACAGGTTTGCACGAAAACATCCGCATCTGGATTATTATACTGACTTGAGTGGTGTCTCAACAGCAAAAACACACTTCTAATTCTTTTTTCATTACTCGTCGCTATTCCACCTTCAAATTCTCTTCCCCTGGGGAAACTTTCCGAATGATTCATCTCTGAAGGCAACACATCTATCGCTTCTGATGTCGCACCTCTGTTGAGCCTATCCATCGCAGCCTTAGCTTGTTGTGTGGTCAAGGCCAAATGGACAACATAATTTTGGTCATCTCGCGATAAAAAAGCTGTCTTCCATCCTCTTTGAGAATAGGTCTGGACATTAGGGGGCGACGGATGCACAGCGTGTCCTCTGGGATGGCCAGGATTCCCATGTCCGTGTGCGAGTCTACCCTCCGATTGGTCAAGAATTACCCCGGCATGATCGGGCGAGGTGCCGCAATAGCGAGCTCCACCGATCAACAGGATTATCTTGCCATTTTTCTCTAATTTCAGGATCTTGTCTATTCGATCGGCCAATCTTCCTTTTCGAAAGTGGCTCTTTAGCTTCAACACCGTCCATTTACGAAGTTTCGATGGACTTTCCCCGATCTGAGAGCCGATCACCGAAAAGAGACAGCTATTTAAATCTATGGAGACATTATCGGGATCTTTCCCGCATTTCAGGGTCCAATGGCCTAGAGAGGAATTAAGGAAGTGGATAGGATGGGAGTTAAGGGGATCCTAAACGTTTTTATTGAGCAGTCTGTTGGTTTTTCCTGTTTTATCGACAAAATGTGAGATTAGATAAACTATAAATCTATTTATTGGCTATACGGATTGTTTTTCACTTACAATTAGAGCGCTTCACCCTTTGTTTATATTAATACTTTAATTTGTACAGGAAAAAGATTGATCAAACTGCATATCTTCATTACAGAATTATGAATTCTAAACATTCATAATTCTGTAATCAAGATATATATGAGACTATACAGATTGATAAATCTTTTTCCTGTACAAATTAAACTATTAATATTAACAAAGGGCGAAGCGCTCTAATTTCAAGTAAAAAACAATCCGTATGGCCAATAAATAGATTTATAGTTTATCTAACTTCATATCTTGTCGATAAAACAGAAAAAAAACAACAGACTTCTCAAGGACGTTTAAGATCCCCTGAATTGGTATCAAGTGGATACTGTGAGATTAATCTTGAAATAAGTTGCCTTTGTCTATTTTTATAATAAACTCTTTGCTAACAACTGACCTATCTGTTCGGAATCTGTTTTGTGATACTCGACATCTATGGGCTCTCCTGTTTTTCGCTTCCCGATGATGCTGTTTAAACTACCATCAGCGTTCCATACCCTAATGGGTTTTCCAATTATATCACTTAAGACACAAATATGTATTAAACCAGCTGGTCCATGGCATTCCAGATCTTGTATGATGTCTTCCATGCATTTAATTCTGTCAATTCTATCTTGATTTATCTGATTGGAGTAACCATTCGATGTTCGAATTTTGCGCATCTTTTTATCACGGAATTTTTGAGCCTCGGCCATTTCTGATTTTTCCAAAGTTGGATTGCAATGCATGAAGAGCTATTGATTCTTTGGAGTAGCAATTTTAATTTGGATATTTGTGGAATTTTATGTTCTCTGTTAAAGGGGTGAGATGGAATATAAAATATCATACAAATAAAAAATATACTCGCATTTAAATAAAATAATATAGGGAAGAAAGAATACGATGTAAATAATAAGAAAAAATAAAAATTTTTATTGTGCGATAAACTAAATTTTACAAGAAAATTAATAAATTATTTTTGAGAGACTATTGAAATTTTTACAAAGCTTTAATTAAAATGGTTGAAAAATGCATATGTTTTCTTAATTATAATAAGATTTCTTGATGATAAAACAATAATTATTTCTCTTTAATATATAGTATAGGACAAAATTTTGGGAATCTCTCTAAAGATGTATTTTTTTTTGTATTATCTATTTCACTTACATTTACAAATTTGTCATTAATTTTGTGTAAAAAAATTCATCTCCTCTTGGCATCATTAATTTGTTTTGCTCCAGATTAATTCAAAAATTGACACTCCAAAGTAACAAGCTCACATGATTAGTAAAATTTTCAAAATTTTCACATTTTTCAATTTAGCTATATTTTGTTCTCTATTGCATTTTGTGAACTTGCTTGATTTTTTCCATTATCTATTGAAATTAATACATTTTTATTACAGAAGAAATTTGTTGCATTTTATTAACTGAATTATTTATCAATATTTCTAATACTATTCATTATATATGCAGTATACATTAATTCATTATATATAATATATAATATTTATAATTCATATAAATTAATTATATAATAATATAAATAAATCAAACTCTTTTTAAATATCAAAATGGAAGATGGTAAAGAAATTTATACACAGCATACCTCTTTTCTGCTTTTTGTGGAGTTTCCATTATATTACGCCGTAATTTTGAAAATGATTTGATTTTAGAATAGTGCATATTTTTTTATATAAAGATTTGATTGCATGTTTTATTTCAAATTTTTTAGATTTTTAATTTTTTTTTATTTTGACGACATGACGAACCATTCAAAGCAAATTTCGTTGCTTTGTAATTGTTTTGTGTGACATTTGCAGCATTTCATATATTTCTTTTGAATCGACGATTTTTCGCTGATTATTTCTTTGTGATTGACTTCATGCAAATTCATCAAATACATTTTCTTTACATATCGAATTTCTCGAGTTAATTATTTAACGCGATTCTCTTTCGCATAATTTCGAGATATTTTTATTAATATATTTTTTTATTAATATATAAATATCGGTTCACAGGAATCATTTGTACGTCATTGACTGGTACAAAACAGATTCATAGTAGTCCGGTTGTCGTAGTGGAATGATGAGGTGGGAAAGGTATGAGGGAAGGAGTGACTTTTGCTCCGATAGTAGGGGACAGTAGCGGATAACAAGTTGCTCGTATTGATTTTAAAGATTTTTTAAATATATATGATATTTATATATCAAATTTATTTATAAATTTATATATAAAATATTTATATATAAATATTTTATTTAATATATAAAATTTGTTTATATATAAAATTTATATACATATAATTATATTATTATATTTAAAATAATATTTATATTTATAATTAAATATTTTAAACATATTATATTTTTAAAATCAATCAAAATAAATATTGGACGCTAGTGGTGAAAATAAACTTGGCAAAATTGATTTCGACGTAACTAGCAATTTTATTCAATACTTTCACGACGACTTCAACGACATTGACGAAACATCATAGCGATGGGACGTGTTCCTCTTTTAACTATTAATTTTAAATAAGATCGGTTTTATGTTGCGTTAATCTCATTTTAATTGATGGAATTCTCACTTGATAAGGACCACAACCAAAGGGTCGAAACGTCGTGAAAGTATTGAATAAAATTGCTAGTTACGTCGAAATCAATTTTGCCAAGTTTATTATATTTAAATATTATATATATATAATATAAAAATCTTGTTTAATGGTTAATGATGTATATCCTTGTTAACCATGGTGTCAGTGCGTTTTATGTCTATCACATATAATTTATACAAATATAAAAGAATATATTACTTTTAAAGATTTAATTAAAATATAGAGTTTATCAACATTTTTTGTAATATTTCAGTAAAGTCTTTTATATATTTTAATTATATCTCAATGTTATATATTATTATATATTATATTTATTTTAATTTTATATATTATTATATAGTATATTTATTTTATATATTATATTTTATATTTAATTTAAAAATTTTTCCATATTTTAGTAAAAGTGTATCTTTTTATCGGATTTTTTGAACAGCATTACTCTGCTCCATTCTTGGTTGATCCCGGGTTTTATCGACGACTTGGGCCGGTACTGTTGTGGGCTTCTGGAGAACCGCTTACAATTCGCAGCTTTCTCCCGATGCGACCAGTCTCGACGCGGCCGCCTTTCCGGGTCTTCCGGTCGAAGGAATACGTCCTCAGGAATATGTGCAAGTTGGTCGTGTCGAGATATACTGCAAATTCGAAGTACGCTATTGATAGTGAATGAGAGTGAATTGAATCGCGCGCTCGCGTAAAAATGTGCTCGTGAACAATTTCGGAGTAATTCATCTCTCGTGATTTTGCATGCGAAGATGTCGGGAATTTGAGGTAGAAGATGCGGGATGATTAAGAATCGTTGAAAAAATCCTGTGGTTACAATTATTGGAAGAACGTCCTGAAATTTCATACACGAGTTTAAATGGAAATCAGACTTCCGAGAATTAATTTGTGAAAAAATAATGTGATGTGATAATCAAAGCGCGCGTGTATCATCCACGGAACATTGGTTGTGTCGCCAACCATTTTGAAATTTTTCGAGAAAGTAAAAGGGCTTTGTAGAGATTTCAAAGTATTCGGCTCCGATAATATTAGACTTGATAGATTGTTTGACTGTAACTAATTAATTGTAGATCTCAACTTATTGCAGAGTTCCTATTGCAAAAATTTAGTAATTTTTCTTAGTTATTTGATAAAAGAATTCTGCGGATTTTACATAAAAGATTGCAAATTTTAGTCGCTTTTGTTAAGTATTGTATATCGTTCACGCTTTACTCAAGTATATACAATATATTCAACGGGATATTAAAGTTCAAGAACTACCCAGGTAATTGTCTAACAGATATTTAATCTTTATGGTCTCTTTATCCATAAGCTTTGCTGGAGAAGCATCTAATATAATGACCGTAAAATTGAAACATCAAAGAGTTTCAACAAGATATATTCCGAGAATTGCATATTATATTATTCAAACCTATATAACCATCATCATCAATAACTGATGTTCTTATTTTACCGCGCATTATATATAATATAATTTAATAATATATATATATATATATATATATATATATAATAAATAATATTACAATACCTAATAATATAATAATAATAAAGTATATTCATTATTTTTTTATTTTATTTCCCGAAGAAACCTAAACATATATATTTAAAATGAAATGTATTTGTTTGAATAAATGGATGAAATTAAGAATTGAAAGAAATTACATTTTGCTAAGAAATTCAATTCTACAAAATATATATGATCTGCAACTAGTGCGGTCAACTTGCATATGCGAGCATCGAAATCTTCTACGATACGTGCGGGCATCGAAATCTCTCTGCGTACAAGACTTTTTTGCTTCTTTAATCACAATATTAAATATATCTAATCTGTGCAAAAATAAATAGAGATAATTTACAAATAAAAATATATTTTATGTAAAATATACACACTGAAAAAAATGACTAAATTAATATATATTTAGTTCAATACTGCCAAATAAATCATTTATTTGAAACAAATAAATATTTATTTGATTTGAAAAGGATTTATATCAAATAAATATTATTAGTTTCAAATAAATGATTTATTTGACAGTATTGAAATAAATACTTATATAAGAATTAACTAAATATTTTTTTCAGTACATTTTTTTAAAAAGAAAGATATAGATATTTTTTTATCGTGAAAAAATACTTGGATTTGTTAAATTAATATAACTATTTATTTAAAACTGATCAGGGATACTTATTTCATATAAAATGTTGCAGTGGCGAAGATTTCGAAAAATATCTTAATTTTAGATATAAAATTCCATATCATTCGTTTCAGCGTGATAAATCAAATCTCATTATTACTTTAGTACAACCCTCTGAATATCATTAAACTGATGATGATTCGTTATAGCTGGTACCCAACGATCTTCGAGCTACGTGATATCGAGCAAGAAGATCGAGTCTTTGTGCGATAGCTCGTACGTAGTGCTACAAGAAGTGATGTGTGGCTTGTGCTTAACTTGGCAGTGGATTTTATAAAAGACAAACTGTCCGACATTTCGACACGGATTAAGGATTACTTTCGCAAACGACGCCTTCTGGACAAGCGTATATGGCCGGTGAGTATATCTTTGTGACTTGGGATCTCTTTAAGTGGTAAAAGAGTGTAATAATCGTAGAAATTGAACCTCCATGTTGATTAAAACAGGCTGTTCACAGAATAATAATAAGAACATTTGGATATAGAGAGGATAAAATATATTCTTCCTTGAATATCAATTTTTTTCATTAATTGGACGTCATTTTCTTAATTTTTAACATCGCAATTATTCACGTTAAGGGGATGCTGCCGCAGTTCTGTTTTACCGATTTTAAGTTAGATTAGCTTCACTTTTTATTGAATATACAGATTGATAGGCTTTTGATCTCACTTTTATTACTTCTGTATTATTCTTTCATGTCATCTCTATTGGGAGCGCCATATTTTGTGCACAAATAAACTGCAGAACTTTTGTATTAAATAAGTATTGTTACGAGCTGATGCAAGAGATCGATAAAAACTGTAATTTTTTAACTTTTATTGTTTTTATACAAAATTACAGCGCTCCCCGTTCATTATTGTCAGTACTTTAATTGTGGAGAAGGATTTCTCAACCTGTATAGCCAATAAAAAGAAAAGCCCTTGAACTCAAAGTCGG